CATTAACCAAATTATCATCAAAAAGATTCATTGGCGAACAAAGTGTGGAAAAAATAAGAGTGACGCAACGCAACTCCCTGTAGATTGATATAATCGACCTAATTAACCAAATTATCCTCAACAGGATTCATTGGCGACCAAAGTATGGAAAAAATAAGAGTGACGCAACGTAACTCACTATAGATTGATATATTCGACCAAATTAACCATACCGTCTTCAAAGTGATTCATTGGCGACCAAAGTATGGAGAAAATAAAGGGTGACGCAACTCACGGTAGACTGACATATTCGATCTAATTAACCAAATTGTCTTCAAAGTGATTCATTGGCGACCAAAGTATGGAGAAAATAAAGGGTGACGTAACTCACTGTAGAGTGACATATTTGACCTAATTAACCAAATTATCTTCAAAGTGATTCATTGGCGACCAAAGCACAGACTAACTAAAGGCTGACGCAACTCTTTGTACAAGTGTAGATTAATATATTGGGATATAATCGACTTAATTTACCAAATCAACTTCAAAGTGAGAGTCAGCGACCAAAGGAGAGTAACTATAGGGTGACGATCTCCACTATCGACTCAATACATTCGGCTTAATTAACCTAATTAACCTTAATCAACCTTAATACCCTAGTCATCACTATAAATAAACACAGTGACTAAAGGGTGACGCAACTCACTGTACATTAACTAGTGGGCAAAGTAAACTATGACTGAATCATGACGTCACTCACAGTAGACTAACGTACGTAAGGTGATTTAAACTGTACGTAGTGACGAAAATACGCATAAATTCAAGTGCATACTGAAGAAATTGCAAGGTTATTTTCTGCCGTGATATATACTCGACTTAATTAACCAAGTTGTTTTTAAATAACCACATAAATAATTCAATTTGTTTAATTATGTCAAGGTTAACCCTTTGTCAGTTCTAAAAGCCACTGCGATCAGTTAAGGCAGTAGGACATACCATAAATGTCACAGTCGGTGAGAGAGATTCGATTTTCAGGAAGCAAATAGGCACTCGGTACCCATTACGTCTGCCTCCTATCAAATGAAAAAATTATCCAAATCGCAGCGTTCCTTCAAAGTTCAACCACTGAACGAAAAAAAATTCTTTAAGGAGTATATATCTGAGTCTGCAGTAGAGACAAGAGTCATGTGTTTTCAGCTGAAAAAGCTCTTCCTTTCCATGCTGGCCGGGGCGGGCGGAAGGTTGATTCCTCAACCCCATCCGTCAGAACACCAGCAAAACATAACGACCAGAAGACATTTGCAGCACTAAGCAAGCGTAACGAGAGCACCAAGACCCAGAATCTATTCCACAGTTTGCCATCATTCATCACGAAAATTCCTCACCAACAAAGTTGCGATGTAAAAAATGATAGAAGAAATAGAGGAACACTTTCAAAAGCAAATCTTCCTAATCACGGAGATCCAAAGATGCGAAGCACCGTGATAGGTAAGGAGAGAAATTTAAAAATACTTGACAGCCACGAAATGTTCCATTGTAAAGGGAGAATAAAAACAGGCATTCTTGAGACGTCTAAAGTTCAAGAAAAAAGCCATAAAAGCGGCGACTCCCGAGACTTCTGAAATTCAAAAGCAAAGTTACCGGTGCTACTCGGAAACCACATCGAGTGCAGCAACAAAAAGCGTTCTAAGGGACAGGCCTCATGCTCCTACGCACAGGAAACGGGTGAGGTTTTTAACAGCAGAGGATGGTCCTGAGCTTCGTAATAACAACCTCAATCCTAATCTGTCAGAAAACTACACGTGTGAAATGACAATAACCGGTAACACTAAGTCCATAAGTCCACCTAATAAACCTAAAACAAAAGCTAAGGAACAGAAAGGCGAACTGGATTTACCATCTGTTTTTGATGCTGCAAAGTATAGTGTGTCGAGGCGTTCCTGTCCGGGCACGTTCGTAGCAAACTGGCTGCGTTTCTCAAACGCAGAAACGGATGGTCTTAAGAAACACAATAACAGCGCCGATCCCAAACTCAGCGGAAATAAACTTAAAAACTTGTGTGATATGACTTTAACTGCTGGCTCACAAACATCAAAGGTTGCCAGCCGACTTCATCACAAGGCCAGAAGCTCTCATCAGAAAGCTAAAATTGAAAATGAACCGTATAGCAGACGGGATTTATCTCCTGTTTCTAATATTACAAACGATGTTGTATCGAGGCGCTCCTGTCCGGACTCGTTTGTAGCGAAATTAATTGCTAATTCCAAGACAGAAACTTTGTTTGACCCCACTGAAAGTCCAACACTACTAAAAATGACACGGAGAAGGCCCACGCGGTCGAAGAACGCCAGCAAGGGTTCAACAATTCAAAATTTGAAAATGGGTAGCATCTGTACACGTATTTTTCACAAATTCTAGCAAAAAAAGCAAAGAACGAAAACAACAAGGCGAAACAGATGGGTCTGTTCTCATTATGATCAGAGACATTTTCTCTTTTTATGATTGGGCCACTTCAATTTAGAGCTAGCGCTAAGATGGACTCTTATAGTATTTTATGGCATTAGGGTCCTTAATGAGCGGTAAATAGATGCTCAAGTTACTGCCACCCTGTAAGCTGGAATGGAAAAGCGTCGGTCTGCTGTTGACTAGTCCATAGGCCTTACTATCTGTGGTCCAGGCGAAGAAGTGTTTCCCGCACATTGGCCTCCGATACGTTACCAAAGTGCAGCCTAGCTCAAGGGACTGGGCAAGATCTGCTGAGCGAGGTTTTTGCGAGTTCAAAACCCCTTTTAGATAATTTTGTAAACGCTCCTTAGCTAAGTAAAGTATTGTTACCAGTAGTAAGTTGAGTATTGCAATTAGGTAAATGTAATGATTGTTCCTGAAAAGCCCCTTTAGGGAGGAGACAATAAAGTATGTATGTAATATGTATGAATGTATGTACGTCCGAGCTTTCTGTTAACATATGTAAAGAGGACAAGTACTGATGTCCTCTCATGCGCGACATTATACAACGTTATTACAATGCTTTCGGTCACACTTTTTAAGGTGATATCTAAAGTATTACTTAACAAAGCAATACTTTCTAGATTATTGAACAATAGCTACATGCTTCTGAGAGGACTCTGTGTCGTAGGGAAACTGGGGAGAGGAAAAAAGAAAGCGCGCGGGGGACAATGGGAAGGGGAGAGATCAGAGGAAGCTGCCGCCTTTCCCTCTTCCCATCATCCACCACACGCTCGCTGTTTTTATCGATTATTGCTATTTTTATTGGAATATCCATCGGGAGCCTCTGCGCAGAAGAGAGGAACAGCAGCATGCGCAATAGGAAAGAGAAATGTGACGCCTCAAAAATCAAAATTTGTGAAATATGGGATTGGTTGGTATAGTCAGGAAGAACAAGATGAAAAATGTCCACTTGCTAGAAATCAGCCCGTTACAGCAAATTGGTGGGAAAATATATAAGCACCTTAATGCTCTGATGAGTGATGACCCCATAAAAAGCCTTTTAAAATTGGCCTAGATAGCAACGCTTTCGATCCAGACCTATTTTAGGGTTTATAGGGAGTCATCACAGCGTGCAAACAAAGTAGTGTCCGATAGCCCGAGGCTAATCGATTTTGCTGTCGGGCTAGTGAATTCTGTTTTTAACGTGCCCGACGGGCAACTGATGTTTTTTTGAGGAATTCGAATAACAGAAGAACTATGAAATCAATTCTGCTAGTCAAAAAGGTTTTTGGGGCTAGCTGAAATGACATCTGGGCTAGTAAATGCTAGCTTCAGCTTGCCCGAATGGCAAGCTGTAAAAATGATTTTCTTTGCACCCTGCATCAGAACATAAAGTTGTTTATCTCTCTCAACCAATTTGCGTTCTTTAACAGGCTGATTCTTAGCAAGTGAGTATTTTTCACCTTGGTCTTTCTGAACACGCCAACCTATCCTATAATTTCACACATTTAGTTTTGATGACGTCATCACTTCTCTTCTCTGTGGCACCAATCTCTTGCATTAGAGAGTTTAAGGTTTTTAGTGAAGGGTACAGAATAAAAAAAATGTCAAGAAGATCATCGCAGTTAAGGACGCGACATACGCAGCTGCAAAAAGAAAGCCTGAATCTGCTTGCCGAGATACGAGCCCTGACCAATGCGATACCAGGATTACCAGGGCAGCGCTCTAACCAGTTGAGCTAGAAAGGCAACTGAGAGCTGGTCATTAAATTGGTTCGTAATATACCCGGTAAAGATGATGATAAAATGATGAACCGCGGAATAAGCAACTAAATTTAAATAAGATCATCGCAGATGCAACTTATGCAATTGCAAAAAAAAAAGCCTGAAAAATTCAGAATAAGTAAGTTAAAGACCATGGGTAAACAAATCAGTATACAGACCTCGCTAATATATCTCAATATGGTAACTACTGTTTTTATGCACCTACAGGCTGAAGGAGCCTTTCTTCCTTTCTACCAATAAACATTGTTGGATCAACCGTTCGTTGTGAGCGCGGGAGAATTAAAGACCTCTACATAACCCAAAATACAAACCTAACGGCACATCAAGGATGTCAATTTTAAACCCAAATATATTTAGTAAAATTACTAAGGAAGTGGTTTCGCTTGAATAGCTATACAACAGCTTACGGGAAAGTTGTTTTCTCGATGCCAGCTACTAGTCACTATATGATATGATATGCATTCAACTGCTGAAATGGAGTCAAACAAAATGCTTTCTTGTGGAAAAGGACAACAAAAAAGTTTCCAACAGAGATTTATTAGGCTATATCTACATCGGACATAGTACATATTGAATAAATCTGATGATAAATCCGAGTGCAGCGCTCCTGGGTAACAAAGAGCACTGACGAGGTTCACTAATGTTCACACGACAGGCATGTTTGTTATAATATAATCAAACAAAGAGGCTTATCTTTGTCTTTAGGCAAATGTTTTTTTTATAAAAATAACCTCAAGCTTTTGCTCCTTTAACAAGTAGAGCAAACGTGATTACCATTACGGGAGAGTGTTCATGGTTTTCCTGAGATACATGTTCACTTCCTGACATGTGACCTCAAGGGTCACGTGCAAACATTGTTTTCTTGCTGAAGCTGTCGTATTAGCAGCAACAAATTCAGATTCAGATTCCTTGTTCACGAATTGACCTGTGACTTCCCACCACTGATCACCCAATGATATATATTTTGGTTTGCAAAGAATAATGTTTCAAGAAACAGCTCCCTGTGTATTATTACTTGCATCTTTTAAGTTAAACCACCATAAAGGGCGTGTTAAATAAAGAGATCGAGGTCTCATTAGTCACTTTTGGCACCATCATCATAAATACGCCCCTTTTAGCAGTTAATAACTGGTAGAAGGTTTACCATTAATATTCAAGAAAAACAAAGAGTCATGCTATTCTTAGTGACAATGTTAAACAGCACCTAGGCCAAAATAAACACTAAATTGCAGTACGGGACAGCCTTATCCTCACCCCTTACCCCTTTGAAACAACGTTTTAGCAACATCTTCACAAATTTACTCATTACCCACGAGTTAATAACTAACCGAAGTTTTTCTTTTTTCTAAAACTGATGAAAACAAAGAGGGCAAGCTTAGTTTAGTACCTCTTGAAATGGACAGGGGATGAATTTGAAAAAACTGTATACTGAGTATAAAAGAGCACCTATGCCAAAATGAAAACTAACTTGCACCTCGGGAAAGCACTATTCTCATAATTTCTTTCCAACAATTTCCACAGATTGCAATTTTCCTGACTGTAGGTGATTCGTTTGAGAAACTAGATATTTCACATCGCATCGAAATGGAACTTGTGAGCATCTCGCTGTTTTTCTTTTTGATCTTCTCTCTGCAACGTAACGTAAAACGTACATTTCAGGCCAAGTAAACGACCAAGAATTGATATAATTTGTGAATGAGAAGAGTTTATATGGCTTGGAAGAGGCTTTAAGTGGCTAGTTATTGAAACAACTGAAAAGCGAAGCCTGTAGCTTGCAGCTCGAGAAAATACGCTCGAATATCTTTCGCCTGTAGCTTCCGAAGAAGCTTTTGATCCTGACTATAAGTGGGACAAAACTTTGACCACCTCACAAAGTAACTTCTTACAGGTGTCGACTGTCCTTTTTCAAACTAAGAAACAAGGCAATGATGGCTTAAGAGTCGTGTCTAGTAAATGTTTTGCCTAAATTCATCTCTATTTGCTCTCCATTCCCTTTGAAAATTCGCACTGTACAAAGGAAGTCATTTCTTGGTTGAGATAACTGAAAGGTTGAGCAAAATGCTCATACTTTATTGCTCTTATAGCTTCACGACAACGAACTGCGAAACTGCGGATAAAAATAACCAATTACTGCTAAAATTTGGCCAAACAAACACGAGATGTATAAGAACCACTACCCATTCAACTCAGTTGGAAGCAGCCCCAACCGTTGCTGGAAATAGGACCCTCATAAAAGGGATTTACTTTTTTTGTCTCTTTTGTTTTGCTCTATTTCTGTTTATTTGTTTGTTTCAACAAAGACTGCCGGCTCTTTACAGAACAATTTATGATAAACCAGACTTAAATTGCATCCATATACTTAGTTAATACATGCTACTCGTTCAATGAAAGACCATCGAAAACTTGACCCACTATCAAGTTTTGTAGGCGTACTTATTAACACATACAGTGCTTCTTTCCAACTGATGTTTTAACAGAGGTTTTACTTCTTAACCCACAGAGATGCTATAACATTTTCAAATGCTGTTAAATCAGTGCCTCTTCGTTATTTCGGAAGCTCAACAGTGGGCGACACAACACATCAATCAATGGTGTAATGTTGCCACATAAGTAGTGCTGGCCTTTAAATAACCCTTCTACTCCAGGGGTCATTTATGGACGCATGAAGTGTGGATCTGACTTTAAAATCTGTGGACGAAAACCAATTGTGTGGCAATTCAAGTGAAACCCTTTCTGCAGTACTTCCACTTAGTGTTATTTACTGCGCTGTATATGCTGGTTCTAACTTTTGAGTCTGTGGCTGAAATTCTACGGTGTGACAATCCAAATGAAACCTCGCCAGCAGTACTTTGGAAGATGCTATTTGTTTGTCCATGTTTCACGACATGAAATTTTGGATTTTTGGCAACTCTTGGGAGTTGAAGGGTTAAAACAAAAGAAACAATGATCAACTCACCTTTTCTTTGAGATGCAACAGCAAAATGATAATACCAATAACAACACAGATTCCTAGAAGACTTAATCCTGTCAGTAGTACAAGTTTACTTGGTGTCACCAACAGTTTCATCGTCCAGCTGAAACCGAAATGAAACACAAAGGAACCGTATTGAACTATTTCTCGATGAACAGGTTTGAACGAATGACGAAAGTGTACTGTACTGAGATATATTACTTTATAGCAGAGCTCTCCCGCGGGCCAGGCGCGCGCAACGGAGCACCATGGGTTATAAAATTTGGTTATCTGTGCATCCGAGAAAAAAATTGGTAGTTAAAGGAACAGTATCCCGTTACTGCGCATGCACCAAACTTTGATTTTTGGACAGGATGTCGCGAAATCAAAAGATGCGAGGAGAGTAAGAGAATCTTGAAAAATCCGTTTGCATCGCCGGAGGACCAAAAGATTGGAAGCACCTTAATGCCGATTGAAGGCTTATTTCTTCTGCTAGCTTCCATACAAGCTCAGATAATTGTGAAAGGAATACGCAGAAATGAAACAGCAACAATAAAGACTGTAAGAAAGAAACCGTTGAGACATTGATGTGACTGAGGAGATCTTGTGGAGGGGAGCTTCGTGAAGCAGAATGTTTTGCAACGACGCGTTAGTAAACTTTTAAATGAAAGTCCCTACGGCCGACAAAATCAAACAAACAGGCGCTACATGTTTTGTAAAACTATTGACATGAAATCATAATATTATTTTTGACTAACCTTTGTGATGATTCATAGCGTTGAGATTGCATTTTTATTTATGTCTTTCAAACGTTTGAGGCTAGAACGCGAGCAAATCAGGCAGATATTACTGGACTTGGAGCGATTGACCTCTGACACGAGTTTCAAATTAGAAAATATGTTTTTAAAGCGAGCGGAACGAGATTTTCGGGTCGCGAGGCGACCCAGCTAGCGATAAAATCGCGATGAGTCTTCGAACCGCGAGCCAAATTTTTATATAAGACGAAAGATTTCTTCGAAAGTCTAAAATATTACTTGAGAATATAAACAACAAATCTCTGTCGGCGGTGCGGTCCGGAAGGAAATCTTGTCGAGTCAATATGAAAGTTCTATTGTCTTTTGAAGCAAAAAACAGATGACACTCGCGCGTGCGCATAATCGGGACACTGTCCCTTTAAGTGACCGTACACCCGTCCACAACTTCTGTAGAAACTAAGGAAACATTTCTGAGCCCAATTCCATCATTATTAAAAATTTCAACTGGCTCACCTTGACGGGTCATCTGGGGGATAAGGAATCACGATCACCTGTGAATTCGGTATAATCGACTCCCACGTTTGGTTTCTTTTGGGCTGGAAAAAAAGAGACACAGAGACCAAGGTTAAAAAATATTTAGAGAAAAGATGATGCTTTACATGTTCTCTAATGCATAAATACAGCTTTCGAAGGAAATATAAATAGAATATTACGCAGTTCAATAGATCACCGTTGTTAAAACACCCACACAGCCTTGGTCTTGTCCGATGGTGGACGACTGATTTCAAGCAAGTCTCCTATACAGTCCCCTGTGACTGGTGTAGTTATAATTGTATTTCGACCAAGCTCGTCATAGAGCCTTCAGTAGCTCAGTGGAGAGTATCCGAACTGGGACTCGAAGGGTAGTGAGTTCGATTCTCGGAATTTTTTCTGTGCTCTCTGGTGTTAGATTTCTCCTTCTTCCAAATTTATGAATTATTAGTACGAGTAATCAAACGGTTAATATGACGGCGTTAAAGGAGCCAGTGACGCGTCCTTATTCGCTGTGAGACTTCAGAAATAACTTGTGAAAGCCAAAATTAGCATTTATACAAGCGAATATGTCTCCAAAAACATTATATCAAACGTTAAAGACAACAAAAATGAAAAATGATAGGCAAAAAGCTCAATTAAAATCCGTTTCAATCTTCTTGAAGTTTGACCATCTGTTTATCCTTTTGTTCCTGATGTGTTATTTAAACCTTCTTTTAACGTTTGAACGGTCATTTTTATGTTTCACTCAATTGGGTGGCAGTTTCCACTGTTTGAATTTTGACAACTTTCAGAACGCGGCTTCTTTAATATCAAAGAAACCAATTGCGTTATTGCGTTGGTTTAGTGACTACTACCAGAGCTTGCGATTGATTACAGATCCGCGTTCGTCCCTTACGTGAACGTAATCGAGTCGAAAGGAGTTCGAGATGCCCCTGATAAAATCAGTAGGGGCAGCTAATCGGCAGTCGCCAGAGATACGTCGAAAAGTTTTGGCTTTGTACCACAGGAACACCAAGATTAGGATTCGTACTGACGAACTCGATCAGCGAAGACGTGGTGCAGGTGTTTGCCAATTCTTACCCTTTTTATTGATCCAGGCATACCAACTGCTAGGTCGTCTACAAAGTTAGGCGTTCTTCCTAATCCAAACACAGTGTAAGGACATTGAAGGGCAAAGTAGGCTGATTGGGATAACTGTGCGGCTGTAGACAAAATCACGGAACATATCAAACACGAAAAGAATTGATTAATATGCATGCAAACTCCTTAGGATAGCCATTATCAAATGTCCTTAGGAATATGAACAAACATTGTGCAGTTCCAAATTATATCCATACCCCCCACCCCCCACGGAGGGCACTTTTGATTTATACTCCCACCCCTCTGGAATGGTGCTTGCCAAACCCAGCAACCCCTGGATTTTCCGTAATTTCCCTACTCGGTTGGGTACCCGCTGGAAAGAATGTTTCCCTCAAAAATGGCGTTGCACTGTACTTTTATGCAAAAGATAATTGTTTCTACGAAAAGCGAAAACATCTTTATTTATGTTAATACAGTGTCAAATAATCTCCATTTTGCCTTGTTTAGGTCTTTCTTAGTATCAAACTTTATTGATTAAAGGAATTAGATAAAAATAATGCCTGTTAAGCAAAAATCAGGTTAAAAGACAACGTTTTCTTTGCCTGGAACTAATTTGTTCTTTTTGCGACCAATAAGTACAACGCAGTTTAAAATTTGTCACTTGGTTGTCATAAATCACCTAAATTCAATTTTAACCGAACAACCTGGGAAAAAATGTGAAACATGGGAAGCATATACTTACTTGCACTCTAGTTCAGAATGTACAGTATCTACATTTTACAAACACTCAGTAACATTCAAATGCTTCTCGACAAAATCTAGAATGCTCGATTACTTTTGTGTTTTGAGCCTTAAGTTAACAAGAATATCAGACACTTTCGTGACTGGAGAGGACAACTCTTCGCAACTCCGATAATCGGCGAACTCATCTTTTCTTGGAAGTACACTCTGTATTGTTAGTACAGTGTGATATTAAAAACTGAACATTGTGACATTCCAGTAATTCCAGGAGGGGGTTGGTCGCTTATCAGAAACGTAAAACAAATATTATGTCAAACTTCTGGCCTTAAAAGTGGTCGCAGTCGCTTGAGAAATAAGAAAAGTGGTCGCTTACGAGGGAGTTTTTGAAACAGTATTTCAGTGAAGAACAAAACGGTTATTTACAAAGTGGTCGCTATGAGAGAGTTGACTGTAATATAGTTACTGTGATTTGAAATAATAATACATTTTCCCTTTGGTGATTATTCAATAATATTAGTTTTCTAAACGTTTTCCTTGATTATGTTTCAATGTTGTGAGGAGAAAGTTGTTGAACTTTTTTCAGCGATCCTAGAGATCGGAGTGCGGATTACATGGAAAGCCTACAATGAAGCTTCCAAATGAGTATCAACTTACCACTGCCATACTTTATGTCCCCATTGGTGCTTGTGGTAGTGTACTTAATGAAAGGTCCAACTTGATTGACACCGTACGGCTATAACAAAACAGTCATAATAATTAGTTGTTTTAGGGCCAGTTTACATGGAGGTGGGCGACCCCAGGTGGGTGAGGTATCATGTGGTGGGTCACCCCGCCTAACGTGTAAACGTGATCACATTAACAGGCCCTAAGTATTGCAAATTAGTTGTTAAGTATTGTATTTCAGTTGTAAGTTCTCTGACTCTCTTTTTCTTTCTTTTGATTTAATAGTATTGTAATTATTTTAATTAAAGCCTTGTTTTATTCATGTAAATTCTTCAAGTTTTTTTTTCGCTGACCTTAGGCCACTTAAGCCCCCGGCTTCAGTTGTTCTCATGTATTTTTCCGAGTGCATGATATGTAATAAAGTTAAAAGTTAAAGCTACTCTTAATTTACTCTGATAAGAAATCTAATAATAGTAATAAATCTGACGAAAATGATGACGATGATGATGATAATGATGAGGACGACGACGAAGACGATGACGATGATGCCGGATTTTGTGGTAGCAGTTTTTTTTTAACACGTGGAAACCCGACTGTCCGCCAAAAACGTTTGGAAAACGCTCTTCAAAGTAGGTAATCTCCAAAACGCCAGCTTTTCGTTTTAGTGTGGAGGAAAACAGAACTTTAACGAACCCCTTGACGTCGAGGCAATCGTCTGATTTCTCTAGCAGCGTTGTGTTTTTGAAACTTTGTGTGAACAGTAGAAAGTTTTTAATTTCGTGACATAGCCCATTTGAGACCATGAGTATTAGTCCCGTCCCGGAAGTCCGGACCGTGATCTCCGACTCTGCAGGCAAGCACTCTACCTAAGCTAAACAGCCTGCCTCCTGAGACCTGTCGGGCTGTTCTGAAAAACACTTTATAGGGTAATAAGCTGAAATTCACTTCACACAGAGATGGAAACTGGCCGAGTTAACTGCAGCAAAGACTTCCTGGAGACAGGGAAGCAATTGGCCAATAGCTAACCGTCACGTTCCCAGTAGTCTGCTACACAGCCGTTTTTAGTGTCGTCACGCAACGCTCCTCCTCAGGAGCGTTGCGTGACGACTCTAAAAACGGCTGTGTAGCAGACTAAGTTCCTAGTAACAATCCCAGAAACCTTTGCGGGAAATATTTCGGCTCCAGTTCCCCTCCGGTTTCTAAAGTGGCGAATTTCTTAAGGGCACCGTTAAAAATGAAGCACCTTACCAAGTTATCATTCGCGCAAGTTGTTAAAGTCCTGCCTCCAAGAACTGAAATAAAACAAAGTAGAGAAAGAAGCTCTCACGATAATCACTAAGGATGGCTACAATATTGTTGTAACACTTAAAAAAAAGACAGAAAAGTCATCTTACTATAGACTTTTAGGAAAGACGCATCGTAATAAAACGCATTTTCCAGTGCGTGAATCTGATACTGCGCAGTTGATGAGGATTCAGTTACCATAAGAATATCGATCTGTCCCTGCAAAAGGAAAACGGTGACAATGCAACAGTAAGACTGTAGTATAATAAACGAATATAAAACATTTATCATGTAATAAGTATCCACCTTTGGGATGTGTCAACACGCGCCGTGAGCGACCCTCTTAATTATGTCTCTTTTAATTGTTGTATTCTATCTGTCATCAGTCCTACGTCACTACGGAGTACTATGAGAGTTAAATTACGTGAGTACTAGCAAGTCGTTGACCAGGTTGTGTACTGATCACTAGTCGTGGAATACAAACAATGACATTCAATCCTACAAAAGAAAACGTCACACGTTACGCTTTGCGTGTCTTGTAACGTCAGTATTTCAGGTACACCCGATGTATGATTCCTATTGTATAATTCTTGCTTTTTCAAACTTGTTTATTATAATACTACGTGAACTTCTACCAAGTGACCAAGATTACCCTTAACTTGTGCTTTACTGTTCATTATTTCTATCCCCAAAATTAGTAGCTTCACATTAGTTTGTTTATAACAGTTGTTTTGGACTTTTTTAGCTGCACGTTCTCTATTTTGGGAATTTCTCAACTTGAATCTGACGATTGCCGTTTGCCATAAACGTCGCTCTAAATCTCTCTAATAAATTTGCAAACACGCAGCAAGTCTGAAAATTTAGATTACAACAAGAAACCAATTCAGTTTCAAAATACAGCAAGAAGACAACTTATAATACTACAGACAACAAGCCAACCTGAACCAAACCCATATAACAATGATACAACAGGAGTGCTAAATGGCTTGCAAAATATGTATGTGAAAAACTGATAGCCCTTAGTCATTGGGTATTTAATTTTGAGGGCGGACGGACGGTCGACTGACGCGAATGAAAGCACCGCAATACATGTACACACTAACCCTCCGCGAATGAACAATATTATCTACAACATACCATGCAACACCTACCCAAAAAGGTTACGTAACCCATGATAAATACATTAATTGTTTGAACATCGCGGTTTGCATTATTCTGTAGAACAGTTTGTCAGGCGAGCGAGACATGCTCCTGCGGCCTGGTTACTAAGAATACACTTCACCGGGTAATAATGCTAATTTTTGACGGGCTGCTGTATTGGTAAATAACACAACAAAAACTCCGTGACTTCATTTTCTCGAGTCATGTAATCCATAATGGCAAATTTCTCGTACCCTGCTCAAACAATGTTCGGTTTCTCTCCCACTTCGATCACCAACAGTCTGTCTCGGGGGATATTTAGTCTGTGTAAAGACACTTGGTACTAATCCCAATGAGACTAGTGTCTTAACTTTTCCACTTAGTCTACTGGTAACTATTACTTACATCCTCATACAAGTCATAAAACGTGGCTAATACAGCATCCTCTAAATTCGATAAATCCTAAAGAATAAAGAGAAAAAAGAAAAGGGGGTTGTCTCGCTCTCCAAAGGCACTGACTCAATGCTTGGGGTGAAAAAATACAGTGATGGGATAAAACTATCTGTCGGCCACACGTATACACGCCATAATCTATCGAACTGATCGCTCTACCTAAAGGAAGACACCAAGACCAAAATCGGCTTAAATCGGGCAGTTAAATTTTTTGTTCTGCCATGGCTTCTTGGCAGATCGGTCTCAAATCAGACTGACAAATTATAGCGTGAAACACCGGCCTTAAGAGTACGCATGCACATTGGTAACTTCTGGGGAAACAGAACAAGAATGAATGCAAGGCTGGCAATACGGCAAAGGGTTGTTTTAATTAAGGCCAATATTTCGGCTAACAAAATTAGCCTTCCCCAGGGCCCCCAAACAAAGAAAAGAGTCTCTTCTGCCTGGAATCGAACCCAGGCCCTACTACGCGCCGGGCCACGTCGCTACCACTACGCCACGTGGGAACATAAAAAATAGGGAAAAGGGGCTCTTCCGCCAGGAATCGAACCCAGGACCTCCTATGCGCCGGGCCACATCGCTCTGGCATTGGCATCTCTACATTAGAGATCCGGCAAGAAAGAACCAGTCGGTTTTATTCAGTACGCGTTGAGTGGACCTCTTCATTCAAAGGTTTTCATCTGGGAAAAGGCTGCACTAGCGCTGCCGTGTCAGGCCTAATACCAGGGTCCTTAAGATCTGGCGACGGCGACGGCCACGGCCACGGCAAAGGAAACGAGAACGATAGAAACGCAATAGGTTTAGGCTACGTTTACATAGCATCGGACGAATTCTCGACCGGTTGAAAATTCGCGAGTTAAGGTGTTCCGTTCACACGGACCCACCTTAACCAAACGAACATTTAGACGCTTAGACGTTCAAAGTTCCGTGTGAACAGAGCAAAAATATTGAACGGTTCCGTGCGAACCAAGTGTCCGGTCAAATTTTTTAAGCCGGTCGAAAATCCGTCTAGTGCCGTGAGATCGTAGTCTTAAAGTGGTATTACACGGGACGATTCGTAAAGACGATTTTTTGCTCAACACGGTGTTGCAATGTTGGAACAATGTTGGAACTGTTCGAAACAATGTTGCAACGCTGTGTTGCCCTAGAAATCGTCGTTGCGAATCGTCTCGTGTATCATACTTTTCTGTACTGTTACTGCATTGCTTTTCCGTCACCGCACGACTACGACGTGAAAATGCCTAACTTCACGTTTTATGGAGTTCGTAAACAAGCAAATACGAAATTTTCTTTCTCTTTCTGAACTTCGATTTTGTTCCTAAGAATTCAACTCCCGCAGAGTTCGCCAACATTTGATAATGTAAGTGAATTAAAATAATCGTAATGGTCGTAATGCAGATTGCATGAACGCGAATTCATTTTTCAATCGACGTTTTCGCCGCCGCCGTCCTTGGATCTTAAGGTCCAGCAACCATAACAGATATATTACCTTCCAGTGAACTTCAAAGGCTCGTTTATCTTTCAGGCAGTAATCATGCTCAGTGCTTGAACATGCAACATTTTCTAGCAGTACTGCAACTTTTCGGTAACTTTGGCCCCTAAAAAAGAACATTACATGGCATCACTAACTGTTTCCATGTAACCCTTGGTCATAGTGAATCAGTGAAAGGTTCCGGCAATTCTGCTTTTTCACAAAAAGATCAACTCTGCTACTTGAAAAGAGCAGAAAAATTAACTTTCTGCATTTATTTTTCATAGAACAACATGCAAAATTGTTACCTTTTTTGTTAATGCTAGTCGATCAGGAGAAAAGTTAAAAAAAGGTACCTTTTTAGAAAAAGAGGCGGGTATTTTAAGCTTTCGGGTGAAAATATTTTAACGTCAATATTGTCCGCTTTTCATCCATTTCTCACTTCACCAAACAAAACGTTAAAGCGCGAAAAAGGTACCTTTTTTCAGTTTGAAGCGATCTCTTCAAAAGCGCGAAAAAGGTACCTTTTTTGCGGTTGGAAGCGATGTTCTCGTAAGTGCGAAAAAGGAACCTTAAAAATAAATGTCGTTTTCAAATTATATTTGAAAGCCGTTTCAAATCCTACTGATTGACAGATGTCAACCGTTTGGCGTCATTTGTTTTGCTTGAATTGACTGACCCACTAGTCAAGAGACAAATATGGCGGAATATATGGAAAGCAATGTTACTTTAATAAGGAATCTCATTGAAGACAATAAAACGTACAAAAATGTCAGTGAAATTCTCAGACAAAACTTTCCAGAAGTAACAAGAGGCTTTTCAGAAAGAAACGTGCGATTGTTTTGTGCTAAATATGGGATTAGACGACTGAACGAATACGAAGTGGATTCCATCGTTCAGAAGTGAAAAAAGGCACCAAAGAAACTAAACAGTTATTATGATAACCCGCTCAGTTTAGACTTAAAAGAAAAAAACACTTCTCTGCTGTTTGTCGTAGATCGACGTAGAATCTGATATATTTTTTTTCGCAGATTAAAATGGTTCGACTTTTCGTATAGGACTTTTTTTCAGTCGTCGCTCCAGGCTTAAAAATGGGCCGGCTTGCTTAGGTCCTCCACATGCATCTAGTTTGAAAGACCTAGTAGCTATTTCATCCATTTGGATGGTAGCCAGTATTTTCGGTTCTCTTCAGTCTAGTTTCTCAATTTTGATCGGCTAAAAGGAGCCAGCTATTTTTTTTTAGTCCGATGATTCCCCACAGTAGACCCTCGTCCACGTACGTAGCTCGGAAAATATGCCAATAATGCAGGACGCGATAATTATAATATTGCGCGTCCGAGCCATTTATGTTAAATAGCCGGGGCCACTGAGGAATAGCCTCCCATACAGGTGTTTCTAGGGCAGTCTAGGATAGGATGCTCGTTTTAATTAGATTCGGGACTGCGAAATTCGATTGTAGAAACGGGACATAGAGTCCCCTAAAAACGTCTGTGTATCGTTCGTTAGGGGCGCCAACGGTTCCTTGACATCTGCCAATCAGTAGGATTTTAATGGAAACGTCATTTATTTTTAAAGGTACCTTTTTCACACTCATGAGAACATCGCTTCCAACCGCAAAAAAGGTACCTTTTTTGCTCTTTTACTAGGAACGTTTCTAAACCGCAAAAAAGGTACCTTTTTCGCGCTTCTGAAGAGATCGCTTCAAACTGAAAAAAAGGTACCTTTTTCGCGCTTCAAAGTTTTGTTTGGTGAAGTGAGAAATGGATGAAAAGCGGACAATATTGACGTTAAAATATTTTCACCCGAAAGCTTAAAATACCCGCCTTTTTTTCTAAAAAGGTACCTTTTTTTAACTTTTCACCTGATCGACTGGCATTAACAAAAAAGGTAACAATTTTGCATTTTGTTCTATGAAAAATGAATGCAGAAAGTTAATTTTTCTGCTCTTTTCAAGTAGCAGAGTTGATCTTTTTGTAAAAAAGTAGAATTGCCGGAACCTTTCACTGATTATAGTGTTCCTTTTAATCAATTTAAGCTTAGGCCAGATTCTGCGATCCAAAGTTTGATCTTCCGTTCAATAGACCCTTTCACGGTTTTTCTTCTTTTGACTGGGACCAATTAGAGAAAATCCATTAAACCGACTGGAAAGTAACGCCATAGGATAAGTAAAGATGCTAATTTTGAACATGACTTGTTGAAAACTAACAAACATATAGGTCCACAAAGTCACCAAATTTTGTGCACGCTGCTCCCCCCTCCCCCCCACACACACACACACACACAAACGTTTCTACAATTTCGCGACTTTGTAGAGGCACTGATAAGATTTAGTTTGAATTTCCAGAAAATACTGAAATTTCATTTTCAAAATGATCGGCCTGGCCTGCCAGATCTGACTTTTGGAAAGCGCCTTAAAAGTTTTACTGCAACTTACCCTGGTACGTTAATATCCATCACCACCAGACCATCATAAAACCCATCCATGTCGTAGTCACCTTAAGAATGTATAATGTAAAATTATTGTATAGGTCAATTAACAAACACCTACCCTCAAGCCTATTCCACGCGTCAGGATAAGCCAAAGGACGACTGCATAAGGAGTAGCGTCCATAGGTGACTAGACTAGATCTGGCGTTGAAATAGCCAGTGATTCGGTGCCGTGTAGAGTTTCCTTCGTGCAGCCTTTCGCGCCACAAGGTTTGTATTTTTGCTGCCAATTTTTTCCACCCTCCCCTCCCTGATGGTTTTTCCCTCTACTGATATTTTTCAGTGTGATGGGTGCATGAAATGACCCGTGCCGTCCCCGCAAAAATCGTCCCCACTGAAGAGGAAATATAACATGCAAAGCCTTCTGGGAGTTCCGTTCGCCATTCTGTCTTTTTTCGACATAGACAGAAGGTAATTCTTGATAGGGCGTTGCCCTCACGGGCAGCCCAGTCACAAAATCATTAACTATGACGAGTAAGAAGAAAGCAAAATGTGAAAGAGAGCGGCTCGCCCAAAGAACAAGCTAGAATTCAAGTGGTTTTTTTTAGCCCTTTCCACTCACCCAGCCCCCATCTAGCGATGCAGTTGTTAACTCTACTTTTAATACTGTAGAGTGGCAAGTTACCTGTCCTTATGGTCATCAGAGGGAACATGGAGGATGTCTGGTTTGCTGGAGGGATGAACTGCCAAGTGTTAGGTCGCCTTTCATTGGACATCATTTTCCACCACTGCAAGCAAAACAATAGCTCGTCCCCAGTCGTCTCGCGGAGGACGGAACGCGGGAAGCGTGAGCAAAGAGAGAGCGAGGAGCGACGGGAAGGAAGAAAATTCCTCTTTCTCATTATCCATAGCGCTCCCCTTGACCTTGTTAATATTAATGACGCCACCGCAACGAGAACGTCAAAAAAACAATAGATTTCAAAAGCAAAACAACAACTTTGCACGAGCATCACACTTTTTTTCCTACATTTTTTTCCCGTTTTTGCACGACTACGACGTGAAAATGCCTAATTTCGCGTTTTATGGAGAACGCAAATAAGCAACGACAAAATTCTATTTCTCTTCCTGAACTTGGATATGGTCCCTAGGAATTCAGAGTTCGCCTACATTTGACAAAGTGGTTACGAATAATTGCGATAAAGACTAAAAGAACGCAAATTCATTTTAAAAAGTGGAACCTCGAAATAACGAAGGGCCAAGGAACTGGCAAAATTTTTTCGTTATAACGAGGTTTCGTTATACTGAGGTTCTTTTTCATAGATTTTACTTTTATTGGGGTAAAGAAAATCGTTCGTTATAAAGAGGTTCGTTATATCGAGGTTCCAGGGACAGAGAAACCAACGGACGAGTCAGAGCAAAACATATAACTGACCTCAAAATATTAATTATGACATTAAATAACCCTCAAGATCGCATTTATGTGTAGCCAACATTGCACAGGACAGAAAAAACTATTGCGAAGTCACCTGCACCAACGCTTCACTATTATTAGTCAAAATGCTGAGTAGAATTTAATATCCAACCGGTTTAATATCCTGCCCGGTTTAAAAGTTGCATTTTACATGTGTGCTGAATGTAATGTAAATGAGCGAAAAAAAAAAAAGATTTTCCTCATAAGCTATCCGTTCGGTACACGCGAAATGCAGCGTTTAAACCTGGTCTTAGGCCAAATTCAATTCACCTTTTACGTGTACATCGTGATTCCAATTAAGTTTCACGTGTTAATCAACCGTCGAACGTCACCATTTACGTCCACTCAAATAGATATTAAATTCAGTATGTGAAAAATTCGATATTTTAAGTAGGCCATGAAGCCAATAGTCATTGGACAACATTTTGTGATCTCCTTATCCGGATCAAGAGCATAACTACCCACCCGGCCACTGGAGTAAACATAAACAGAACTTTCCGAGCAATCGTCTTTTGTACAGACTGGTAACAGCATATCAAGACGTCCATCTCCATCTGAAAATTGCAATAACAATAAGAAAACTTAAAACCAAGGAGAGCTTCCCATTTGTAGAGGGAAAATGTGGTAATTCCACGGAGAAATCAAATGGCACGGTTCGCTCCGGTGGACTGGTGTGTTTTCGGAAAAGAGGTTCTACCTTCTGAGCAGAGATACTACCTTTTTCAAGCTTTTATCGGAACAAGTAAACCGAAATTTGCCGTACCATTTTTTTGGATTACCAGTGCTAGGCTTCCTCTCGAGGAAAAGCGAAAAATTCAGAAGTATCATGTAAATGGTAAAACTTAATCCCATTCCTGTTTTCGGTTCGAAAATGGATACCAGGCAATACCATTTGACGGACCTTTCTCGCTGAAATTTTCGTAAAAAAAGTAGTAAGCGCTCAAGTTTAGGGCACTGAATTTATACCACGTGACCGAGTTTTCAATTTACCTGTGGTTTATTACTGTTCATTATATCTGCACGAAAATAAGTAGTTTTGTGTCAGTTTCATCAATGAGAATTATTCTGCACTCTTTTTAGGAACTCATTTCTTCATTTTTTTTTTTTTTTAAATAGGTTTCACCCAGGTAAGATGAATTTGACCGGTCATCGTGTCCGTAGACTTTCCGGAAATTATTTCTAGCCCTGATTTCAACGGACAATTATTTGACGAGCACTAACTGGGAAAATTACTTCAAGCCCTGGGAAGAGAGTAAAACTTACCAATGTCAGCAAAAGTTGACTGCCCAAAAATCTTAATTTCTTTGCTTGTTATAGGAGGAGGGGAAATCGTTTGTCTAAAAGTAAGGATACCCGCCTGTAAATAAAAGAATACAATTAAGGACTGATGAGTTTAATAACATGAAAAGTGAACAATGTATTCCAATGACCTGCAAGAAATGGAAAAAGGTTTTAAAACCAATGAAATAGAGCTGCAAATGGATCACAGACATAACTGAGCATTTCAGTACGCTTCCGTGTTGATTTAAGCAGCTATTCTTCTAGTTTTCCCCTGGACATTTGATTAAACACGCTATTCCACAACCCCGCACTGAATTTACCTGAAGGAATTACCGTGTTTTAATAAATAAAGTTTCCTGACCCTCAAACTTGGAATCTATTCTTTGTAACAAAAAAAGGCAATTGAACTAGTAAAATATACTTACCTCATTAACCCAGATTTCACCCTTATTCTGCTGATTGGAAACATAAAGATCTGCAAGAAACATCGACTTTACAAATTTACACAAATCAGTTCCATTTACCGAAAAACGGCCGCCAAGGCCTGAAACTGGTATACGTATACCGGATATCTTTTCGTACAAACAGGTTTATAGACTTGCCACAAGTCGACTGCGTAAGCGCCGAAGGCGTGAGTGACGCTTGCGAGGCGAGCGAATAGGGACTTTAAGATCCAACGACGGGGACGGCAACGAGGACGTCAAGAAAACAATAGGTTTAATAACCAAAACAACAACTTTGCACGCGCAACACGCTCGTTTGTACATTTCTTAACCTGTTTTTGCACGACTACGAGGTGAAAATGCCTAATTTCGCGTTTTACGGAGTACGTAAACAAACAACGACCAAATCTTATTTCTCTTTCTGAACTTGGATATGGTTCCTAAGAATTTAACTTAGGAGGGTTCGCCTGCATTTGCCAAAGTAAGTGGGTAGGAATAATTGCGATAAAGACTGAAAGAAAGCAAATTCACTTTTTAAGATACGTTCGCGTTGCCTTCGCGTCCCTGAATCTTAAAGTCCCTACTGTAAGCGACGAAAATTCGAAAACGGGCTTTGCGCAGAAAATCGAAATCCCCGTTTTCATGTGTGGACAGAGGCCTTATCCGGTATGGTGTGTGACAGAGGCTTTATCCGGCCCCATGGTTTTTGTGCCTTTTTGAAAATCAAATACTATGATTTTATTCCTTTCTTCGATTTTCAATGTGAAAGAATTATTTTCAATTGTCAGCCCTCCCACTTTTCACCTTGCTCCGCGGTCCCTGACATAGCCTTACATGCCTAACTTCTGCATATTTTTCGAACCACATCTTTAATCAAGGTAATTGCCAATAGCGTTTATGCTAATCCGGCAATGGATTAGACTCGAATGAGCACGATTTAACAGGCAAGAGCAAAACACAACCACCAAAAATTCCCAGGCGGGGGGGGGGGGAGGCCTAATTGACTTTACTATTATTTTTTCGTTCGACCTTAGGAGAACGCAACTCCTAATCTCCTAATCTCCACCTACATGTGCACACGAGCCAAATACACAGAGTTAAATCCCAAAATTTAATCCCGGTAGAATGAAACTCCTCACAGATCATCTTGAAAATCTTTGCCCTGAATACAGTAAACTGTACGGAAAGGGACCCTTATGAACATCATTAAAACTAAACAAACCTGCAGTATAATCTCCCGTCAGATCTAAGAAAGCATTTGAGTGTGGCACTCTTATTGGATTCAACTTGCCACTAGAATTACTCTGTGGTTGTACATCAAAGCTTCTATTTGACCTAAAAGTCAGTGAAAATAATAATAAAATAAAATGAAATTTGCAAAAGGGCTTCAAGAAATACAAATTGTCCTGATAAAATACAATAACATGGTGTATATATTGAAAGTAAGCAAGTCAAGTTCAGTGTTTTCTTACATTATTTTGTTACATTTGTGTTTGGACTCCCCATTTTCAAGGGATCGTTACTTTGATGGGGGCTCTACTTTCAGGTAGCAAAAAATGTTTTATACAAAGTGTAACCCACATAGCTGGCAGGATTAGTGGGCGAGTACTGTTGTTTTTCAGGGGCGGAGCCACGAAAGATTGGGAGCAACTCAAAATAATATTGATTCTCTCTCGCAGCTCCACCACCAAGAAAGTACCCCACGCATAACAACCCTGCCAGCTCTGCAGGCTAAAAATAGTGCAACTGAGCTCTTCTTTGGAAGTAAAAGACATAAATTTGTAAAAAAAAAAGTGACCAGGTATATGTAAGCTACTTTTGAAGTAGGGAGGGCACCACTTTTCTGAGCAACCTCATTATTTTGATTTTACTTTCAGGAGTCGATACTTTCGGAATTTCGTTTTTTGTTACCCTTACATAAAAGCCGTTTTTTCCAATTTGCTTTTCATTTTTATAGTTATATCTTAATAGACACTGTAACTAACAACAGTATTAAAAGACATAATACATAGCACAAAATCGTCCACAGATGTTTTGAGCAAGAGTTGTGTCATGCAAGAATCATTTCAGCAGATAAAAGGCAAACTCAAAGATCTTCATTACAAAGTTCAATCCACATTTGAAGCAGTTTTTCATTACAATGGTCATAACTAGAGCTAAACGCTTATGAGACAGAGTGGTCGCAAGGACAGAGCTGTGACTCCTAAAAGCTTGTTTCCCTTACCCTTTAGAGATCCAATAAGACCGGACATTTCCACCAACTGATTCACCAAGAAGATCAGGCAAAAGATCCCCATTAGCACTGAAAGTATTAAAATGACATGAAAACAAAGGTTAGAAAACTTAATTTCTGTGGTGATATTCTACCATAATTATGACAAGTTAAAGCAGGCGGATAATACAGGGCAGAAAATTTAGTGATTTGTGGCAAAAAATATATATATTACAGAACAGGAGGTTATTTTGTTCCCAATTAAAGGGTCTGTGTCATGCCTGTTAACAAAGAAATTACAAGTACTTGTAAATTAAATGACACAATTACAGCTTTAATAGTGTCCAATAAAACACGTACATCTCCATTATATCGAACGTTACAAATGAACAAGTTTTCAAATCCACAATTGAAATCCATTTCAGTCTTCTTAAAGGTTTTCCATCAGTAGCTTCTTTTATATTTGCTGTGTTATTTATTACAGGTTATTTTTGCGAATGAAATGTCCTTTTTTTTCGAGAGTCTTCACTAAAAACCCATCACTGCCGTGCACACCATTTTCTTAATGGATTGATACTGATATAGAGGATTTTACATGGCTGCGCGGAGATACAAAATTTCTCTTCGAATGTTGGAAAATATTTCGCAAGTGAGTGCAGCGAACGAGTGAAATATTTTCAACACAAGAGAAATTTCGTATCTCCAAGCAGCCATGTAATATTTTATTTATTGTATAAACACCAATGTAATACCAAACCATTTCACTGAAACAGTTTTTTCCTGCAAAAGGTGCAATTTATTATGTAGCCATAGCAACAGTGATATTTTCACATGTGAAAATAACATGCTATTTTCACGTGTGAAGATATCATGTTTTCGCGCGAAAGCTCACCTGGTATTTCATGGGTGTTTATGTAATAAATACAGTGAAATGCTCCTTACAACTGGACTGGTCTGGCCTGTCAATTCTGACCAATGGTAAGCACCCTTAGTTACATACAGCTCTGAGTTACTATTTACTCCAGATACATTTGCTTACTTACTCCATGACTAAGGGTTGGTCCCTCATAGTAAAGCTGACGTTGTCACCTATAAGGATACAATACCCAGCACAGAAATTAGTGTTTCGGTTGTATTATTAATGAACAACTGATTAGCAATACAATGGAACCCTGCTCTACAGACACCCACTAAATAATTATGGACACCCATTTATAGTAGACAGTTTTGTTATCATTGTCGGGCCGACAAAAAGCCCAGCACCCAGTTCCTTGAAAGATGGTTAAGTTTAAACCCAGGGTTAAGCCAAATTTTAAGAAAGGTTTTCTTGTCTAAGTATATGTCAATCGAGCTCAGAAAATATGGTCGAGTCTCTACTATGAGATTCAGAGATGGTAACATACTGTGAAATGTTACTCGAAGCAATGCAAAAGAAGGTAAAAAAACAATGGGACAAAATTTTTAATCCTGGATAAGCACTAATCAGCCTTTCAGGAACCAAGGCCAGTTTTTTCCCTCTAAATTAACCTGCTTAAAATGGACATTGGTTAATAGGGACAACGGACACTTTTCTGTGACTTACGTCCCACAAACTCTAATACTATCAACCTCACTTAACAGACACTGTTTCTCTGTGCAGTGTCTATTTTTCTTGTCACAATCATCTGCTAATTGAACACATTGTACCCTACTCAAATGATGACATATTTTTATGGGTTGATATGATTTTATTGCCTAAAAACAGTCTTAGCAATAGAGTGTGGCATGTTGTTCCCCCATGTTTGACCTCGTCAGGAGCTGGCCTTGTACTGCAGCCGGTCAATAAAGTTTTCTGCTCCTACTACACAAGGTTTCATTTATTTTCCTTGGCTTTTTGCTGCATACAATGTTCCAGTCAATAGGAACAATAACTGGTGCAAAAAACAAGGAATCCTTCCACTTTCGACTTTGTTTGTTTTAGTCTAAAAATCCAAAAAAACATGTGTCTGCAAAGGTTTCAGAAACATTTCAAAAAGTACTGATAAGGCTTCTTATACCACTTTCAGTAAAAGTCATTTGCGTGTATAATCATTTTGTCACTCTAATGTAATACAGTCATGCAACAATAACCCAACAAGCCAAAAGACCAAATCTCATCATGCAATTAAACAAACCTAATGTCTGTAGGTTTCCCCAATAAACAAAGACTGTGGCTGTCTCCTGGGAGCCGGCATTTTGTAACTGAGTTGTAATTAAAACATCAAGGCATCCATCGCCATCAAAATCTGTAGGGCTGACATTTACAATCTGCTCACTAAAAAGTAATAAAAAGAAACAATAACATTATGTAGTTTTGGCAGAAGTTTGGACAAATGACAATTGTCTGATCAGGGCTTCGGGTTTCTGTTTGCAAAATGGTTCATTTTTTTGGACTGTATTGATCTCACATTGCATCCAATCACAGAACCTGTGCAGCAATCTCATAATAATTATCATTAATAAAAACTGCATAATTATTTTGTTCCTTACACGTAAGTACTTAAAATGAGAGTTCTTCTTTAAAAAACAATGAGCAATTTGATACCTCAGCAAAACTTCTGCTTTTCCTTTCTTGAACTTTAGATCAGAATTATCCCAGAACAAAATTTCAAGACGTTTACCTGAAAGAGATGGAAAGAAAAAAACATTTGGAGGTTGATCATGAAATAGTACCTGCAGCAACATAATATGCAAACGTTTTTAAACTAGCCACAAAAATATAAAGCATTCAGCAATGAAAATTCAACAAAGCTATTTTTCTAGGGTTGACAATCTGTTGTGAGGAAAAGGAAAAAAGCTTTGGAGAAGTTTGTCTCCTTATGCATGGACAGGGTTTGCAAATTTTATTGATGAGTGGAGTCAGTGAGTTTTCCGATTCACATATTTTGCAGTCATTTTGGAATATTTGGAGTCAAGTACCACAAAGAAAAGAGCCATGTATACACTATCGTGAGGGATACATGAAATAGCTGTGGCGGTCCACTGACCTGGAAAGCTCAAATCCAAGATGGCGGTCATCGAGTAAACTTTGATCGTAATAAATTATTTACCCTCTTCCTGTTTTGCTTTAATTTTGATGATTTAATTAAGGTTTACAACGTTTACCCTTAACGTAAATTGTATTTGTTGCGAAAAAGGTAAGGACAAAACTGTGTTTCTTACCGAAAATTTTTGGAGTCAAAGTGACTCCTTCCGTAACCTCAGTGGAGTCATCTGATCAATTTTGGTGTAAAATACGCCAAATCAGGCATATTTGCGAACCCTGCACGGAAATAAGGCCCTAAAGCCTGCTTTTTCAATACCAATACAAGAACAGTCTTGTTTCGGTGAAAATGATGTAGTACAATCTAAACCATTTCTTTGTCATTTTTAGTGGCATTGTGTGGTTTCAGAAAATATCCATACCCCATTGGAAATCCCAAAGGGGCTGGGGAGGGGGGGTGCCGAGGCCCAGGAAATTCCAGAGGGGACAGGGGTTGGATGATAAAAATCACTTTCCACGGGGTAAATTTCGAACTCAGTGCGAAAATTGCTACGTACTGATCTGGTATATCATTTTTGAAGTTTAACTATATAATTTATGATTGTTTTTTTTTTCATCTAAACCAGGTCTTCTTTCTTTCAGCCCATATTAGGCTGACAAAAACTTGACTTGTCATGTGCATAATATTGACCGCCATCACTCGTTACCAGTCTCTGTAGTCTCATTGTTCCTTTACAAAAAGCACTGGTGACTAGCCACATTTCTTTGATCTCTGCATTACTAATACTGCGCATCGCATCAGTTGATTGAACTGTACAACAGTGAAAGTTTCACTTCAAGAAACAGAAGGTATACAATGTAAAGATTTCAGAATCTAGAGTTTTAATCTTCTTTTCGTTTTCCCTTAATTTTATGGCTGAAAGTTTGACGTGTTGGCAAGCGTATTTAAGCTGAAATGGCATTAATTCCATGAACATTACGGCTGAGGAGACGGCCACCCACCATTTGGAAAAAAAATCATAAGCTTGCACGTCAAGGTAAACTGACAGATACAACTTTATCTCTTTCATTCAAACGGATAAGCAATATTTTGTAGTTTAGGTTGCTTTGTAGGTAGTTTACTGTGTTCTAATTCAAGACCGCTCAATAACATTAAATGATAACCATTGCGTAACTGCAAATGGGCGTTGTTGTTTACTTTGCTAATCTTTTTTCGTGAAAATAAACCATTCTAGATGGGTTGGGGAGTCTTTGTCTTACTTTGTGGAAATTCCTGAGGGATGGGGGGGTTGTCAGTTCCTTACAAATATGGAAAATCCCGGGAGGTGGGGGGTCCTAAGTAAAATTCCCTCAGTGGTGGGGTATGGATATTTTTTGGAACCACACATTGTAATGTAGCTGTCTCCCTGTCATGTGAGTGACCCTGGTATCTATAACGTATTCCTGGCTTTGTGATGTTTTCCCCCTTTTTTGCGACTTTTTTCCCTTCATTTCCTACTGCTGACCCATAATTATACATCTCTGAGATGGAATTATGCTGGATACTCCGTTCTAGATCAAGAGACCCAATTACCAGCCCAGTGAGTTGGAACAGTTTGAGTACTGTAATACCTCTCAACGAAATATACCAGTATTGTCATTTTCAGAAAAGTTGCGGACCAAGGACCACATACTGTATAAAAGATTTAATGCTATTTACATTTTCTTACAATTACGTTACGTGAGGGTGGGAAATTCACCATAAACACCGCAAAACTTTGTTTAGACTCATCGAACTGCAGCCAGGTGAACACCTTTTCCGATTCTTGGTGGAAAGTTTTTTCTTTCTTCAATTGCCCTCCGCGCAGGAGCCTTCTGTAGTGTTTGAAACCGTACTTCTTCTTTGTCATTATTCTCGATCTTTCAATTTTGGGTGGCAAACTTTTTTTGAAAAAACTATCCAAGCATCTCTGTATCTGATCTGTATAATAAACAAGTTACATGACGTGAACGAGCCACTTGTGAAAGATATATCAAGGCTGTGCTCTAAGGAAAATTTCAGGGAGCCCTTCGGGCACCCAAGCATTTTAGTTAAGGTGCCCAGACCTCAAAGTTGGCTGCCCGAATAAAATTTTCGGGAGCCCAAATTCCAGCTGGGGTGCCCAGGCCTCTCAAGTTGGTCGCCCGAGTACATCTGGTGAGGAAGTATTTTGTACGCACACGAATCTTACTAGCCTGCTGATCACCAAACTCGGTAATTTTAGCTTTTGGGTTCGACAAAAACTCGCATGTTGTTTTATGAAATTCATCAAAGTTTTCGTGCCACTGGATTTAAAACCAGAAACGTAAGCAATGCCGCCGAATTGTTTAGGTTTTAAAGAGGGAAAAGTAAAAGATTTCAGCAGGTTTACGCAAACTTCATTAAGATCCTTGGGTCAAACATAGGAAAACTGTGCTTTTTACCAATAATACAAAACTTGAAAATAAATTTTCAAAAGGTGAATCAATGCAGCATGAAATATAACGGAACACAGTTTTATACGAGGCAGATCGCACTCAAGTTCCCGTGAAAAATTCCATGCAACTGCCGCGGCCCCAAATCTATTGTTTTAATAAAAAAATAAGTCATCTTTAATATTCTTTTCTATATTATCAGTGAATCTTTTAGGATAATTGAGCTTTTCGTGGATACGGTCGAAGCGTAAACCAGCTCTTCTTTCTATGTTTTTATTATTTTTTTTGGCCGCTAAACTACTAAAACTTAGCCTATATATGCATGCATTCGAATTTAGTTTTCGATACGAAAAATGCCAAGACAACGTGGAACTGCCCTGTTTCTAAAACAACAATAAAAACGATCAGAACGATCATATCTTTTCTTTTTATATTTCGTTATCTTATGTAAAGGGAGGAAAACAATCGTAAGTTATGTTTGAGCCAAGCAGACAAAAACCGTAAAAAACATTACATTTGCATACTGGTCAATTCAGCAACTTCCGTTTTATACAAAATTAAATTATTCCGCGCCAGCCGCGCTCTACATTTGTCAGAAAAGTATTGACAGTTTCTCCTAAAAACTGTACATAATGAACCATTCTATCTGAAAGAAAAACATTTAAAACTATTTTAACCCATTCGCCCCTGAACCGCCCGTAACCGCCCATGCGGATCCAGGTCCTTTCTACCCTTTGTGACGTCATCAGTTTTAACGGTCAAGGACAACTTTCTTCGCTAACTTGTGCAGAGTGAAGAGATCTTTCAAACCATACCAGAATGAGTACAATTCAGTCAAGGACACCGGAGAAAGAAGCAAAAAACCACATGACAAGGACCTGAAAATCTCCATGAAAATCTTGTTCCATTACCCACCTACCTTTCCTTTCACCTAATCCTAAGATCCTAAAAGCTTTCCTAAAAACTCTTCCCACCAAAATGAAGCCTACTAAATGCCCAGCAAGAGAAAAAAAAAATGAGGCAAGAAAAGCGAAAAAAGAAGGGAGGAGAGAAAGCGAAAAGTGCTTTCTGCGCATGCCCGAACTTCGCAAGCTGATATTTTGCATCTGGATCAGAAGGCCGCCAAGTGTACGACCTGTAAACCGGTTTGTGGTAAGTTTTAGCTCTTTATAGCACGACAGTGACCAGAAAACCACTCGACTAGCTTCAAAACGCGTTTTTCGGCAAAATCTCCAGGAGTGAATGGGTTAAGAAGAGGTAGAAATCCGTGCCGCTTGTCACGTTCAAAGTGATGGATTATGTTTCATGTGAAATCATGCAGAACGACCTTTGAACATCGACGGGTGCCCGTTTCTTTCGTACAACATTCGTAAAAACATTTTCTGTAGGGTTTAGTAAACTCTGACTCAACAAGCCAACACTACTTTGTTAAATTTTTCTGCCCGCTTAACTGAACACTGCACCAGAAGCAAGAGTGCCCAACCGGGCGACAGGGAACTTTTTTTCAGTCACCCGAACCTAAATGTTAGTGACCTCAGGCGACTGGGCGCCATTAGACCACAACCTTGTATATCAAGGCTGTGTCCAGATCTCCCCATCCAACAAAAGCCTGGTTACCTTGAGTTCTATGAAATGCGTCTTTTTCGTGATGTTCGATTATGCCCTACACATATCTTATAGAACAATAAATTGATTGAGATAGAACACAATGTTATGCAAGAAAGAAACAGGTGTAAGATTTTCAGAGACGGAAATTTTTACTATAACCGTATCGGAATAGTAAGGCTCATTTTTAGTAACCAAACGTTAGAAACTACTAACCGTTGGTTAATGTGTTACTGTTAATTTCGAGCCCTGCAATCACAACTGTAACACTTTACTAGTGTGGACTGATCCCGGATGGTTTATTCATCAACTGGAGGTTCGGATTTGTTTTTGATCCTCCGCTGCAAGACCTCCAACTTCTGATACTTGAACTTTTACGCTCAGAATTATAGTTTCTTATGGATAACTGATACAATCGTCTTTGCTAAATTACCGTGTTTATTCGATTAAAAGTCGCCTTCGAATAAAACCCGCCCTTGAATAAACACCACACCTAATTAAAAGAATGCAGCGTCTATTTAAGGATAATCAGGAAAAAATTGGTACAACTTGATAATCTACACCATCCAGACAATTACGAACTTTTAAAGTACATAATATTATTTGAAAAAATGATTTACAGAAACTGTTATCAGTGAAAAGTGATTTCAAAACAAACACTGCCCTCAGATAAATGCCACCCTTACATAAATGCTGCATCGGAAACACTGAAAAGTAATAAACACCGGGGCGTTTAATCAAATAAATACAGTAAATAAGCCCCCTATCTCTAACAAGCCGCCCCCCTCCCAAATGTGTTTGAAATAAATAAGCCCCCCGGAGGGCTGAATAGTGGATTTACGGTATGTACAGTGTAGTCTGCCAAAGTGTACAGTACAACATTTGGCTATAAAGCTTGATATAACCACATGCATGCATTAGTATTACATGTATGCAGTTTCAATGCAAGCTTAATGTGTTAATGTATGCATATAATTATTATATGCATACATGTACAGGTACACCCACATTGTGTTTTACATTAGTTTGTTTGCCCTTTTTTTAACTCATAAGCGTCATAACCATTCAGAGTACCCAAAATCAAAAGAATTTAAAATCAAAACAAGTATAAAAATAACTGCAAAACAGCTGTGCATATTACCTTCATCGGTCACAACAAAGAGATCTGTCTCCTTGTCGCCGTTGAAATCACCAAAGGCCGCCACGTACCCTTTTACCACTGAAATCCCAACACTTTCAGTTACATCACTAAACGCTGAAGATACTGGACTCCAAAACAAAACAAAAAAGGCAAAACAGAACGGAATTTGCATCGCATCGTATTTACGGTGTGATGAACAGTTCAACTTCTTCCACTAAAAGCTCCCGCGCGAAAACAGTAAGCGGTTTGCACGAAAAAATTACTTCGTCGTATATAGTACACGAGATATCTTGTAACTAAGGCATTGCGGGCGAAGATATGTAAATTTGATAACTAATTCATAAAAATTTATATTTTGATTTGTGAGGAAAACGGAGGCCGGCTGGCTTCTCTTCAGAACTCTACTTGGTCGTGTTTTTCGTCCGTAAACCATCTTCTGATTTTCTCATGGAAGAAAGTAGTCTGAGATATTTTGACCAACTTATAGTGACCAAAACAGGGCACGCTTCTTTGTGTCTTTAACGGGATCGGAAGTAAGGTTAATATAACCCACCTTTCATCGTAACATTATCATTGATTATTCTTACACCTTTGTTTACGTTTCTTTTGTTAACTTAGTTTCTATGTGGCGTTTTTGTTCTCCAGGTATTAAATTCTAATATGGAAGAAGACGAAATAGGGGAAGAAGAACCGATATACGACGTGATCAACGACTCGAACGAAAAAAAATTGAAGAAGACCGTAACAGGTGCAGCTGCGAGAAGAGGAACTTTTAATCGCGCTCGAGCCTGGTCGACAGAATCTACGGGAGACAGAAGCAAACTCCTCATCAGACTTCGAGAAAAATTTCATCTCAAGCCTTCTGAAGAGTTACCGCGCAATGAATCGTTGTCTGCTACGACGAGCGCAGGTTTTGCTAACTCGAAAGCTGTGGCGGACAAAAGACGGGCACTACGAACTGTGAACCCCAAAACGAGGAGATCACCTTCGTGGCATGAAGCAAGTGTCAGCGAGGTGGAATCAAAGCGTTCTCGTTCGAAATCTTTGTCTTCTGGGTTTTTTAGAAGGCTTAGGGACAGTAAAAGAGAGGATATTTTACCAAATAGTGACAGGTGTAAACAAGAAAGCAGGTGTTGGTTTCCAGAGGAACTTGGAAATCCCCACGGGGGATTACAAAACGGCGCATTACTACCCGGTCAAGAGACAAGTGATCCGCACCCCATGCCCGCCCGTCAACGGCCCACAGGAAGCGAAAAACTAAAGAAGCGTGCTCAGTCTATAAGTTTTCCTCTTGATCGAGACTCGCTCAGTGGGAAAGGAGTAAATTTTCAGGAAAACACAGCTCAACAGTGCCGTAATGAGCTGCCGTCACTCTCAGAAGACTTGGAGAGACTGTCACATCTCAGCTGGTACTGGGGTCCTCTGAGCCGATATGAGGCCGAGAAAATACTTGCAGGGAAATCTAATGGTACCTTCCTTGTTCGTGATAGCTTTCACGAGTTCCACTTGTTCAGTGTAACCTTCAGATCTAAAGGAAGGACCTTACACACAAGAATTGCATACGATAAGGGGTGGTTTGGCTTTATGGGCCCAGGTGGTGTGGAGACAAAAACAAATTCTGTTGTTGATCTTATGGAAAAAACCATGAAAATCTCCCAAAGGAGAAACTTGACCCATACAACAGGAGGACTTATAGGTCCCTCTTATCCAATTCGGTTCTTGTTTCCCTTTTCAAGGTTTGAGGAGGTTCCATCTCTTCAGCACCTGTGCAGGTTTGTGATTCGGCAGAATTCCAGGTGTGACAAACTGCACGAGCTGCCAATTCCTGCAAAGCTCATACGGTATTTACGGGTAGAGAACCATTATCTCCCAGAGGGGGAGACAGAGAACTAAATTTGTCCAATGAGTTCTCTAGGGAAGGGGCCGGTTCTACCTATAGTTGTATGATGGCCAATACAGGGACGCTCCGCCCAGAAGGGGTTAGGGATTTCACTTGTTGAAGTATCTGAAAGGGAAGAGAAATCGTTCATTTCCATCTGTAAAAAGGCCCAAAAGGGCTAAGGGATACATTTCAAGACTGTGATATAGTAGAGAAAACGTTCTAGTTTATTATTTTATCTATGGTCGACTCCTGATAATTGGTAGCCTGCGAAAACATCCGTTTCCTCTCGCTCTTCGCCGCTGGGGACGTTTTGCGCGGAGGAACCTTTGCGACTCAGCGACAGAAATTCCATACTGATGACGCAAATCAATGTTTACTTAATAAATCAGGTAGTCGTGGGGTTCCAAATGTAAATTTATTCAATTTTAGGTTTCTCCTGATCGATTTTGGTAAAGTGTTGTGTTCATCTGCAAACGAGCTCCAGCAAAACTCAAATGCTTGTTGTAGAGAAGACTATAATCCACAAATATTGACTGTTTTGTTAGAGATTCATTGCGTTTACATTTGACCTTTGTGGCCTTTTGTCTTTTGTCTGTCATTCGTAAACAATAGCTAAAACAATGTAACTACTCGGTCGACCAATCAGGGCTTCTGACCGGATTCTGGACATATTTTACGTCATCAGTATGGAATTTCTGTCGCTGAGTCACAGACTTTCCTCCACGCGAAACGTCCCCAGCAGCGAAGAGCGAGGAGAAACAGATGTCTTTGCAGGCTAGATAATTAGAACCCTTAAGAGAAACAAAAAAGTTCAAGTTATTGAAATTTCAAGTTATCAAGGGTAAAATTATATAGAAAATGTTGTGAAGGGAAAGTGAAAATTGCTTTGAGTTAGCGGGAGGTTTCAGTTTCTGGGAGTCAACTGTAATAATAATTTAGTAATAATTATAATGATGATTATGATGGTATTTTTTTTTACTTCATAACATTAATGAAGTACCAACTGTTATTTTAATGTGACATCATCATTCAATCTATAGAAGTCTGCAATGGATGTGGTAACATATATATATATATCCAGCCCTTCAATTAATTAGTATTTATAGTAATGTTATTTGTTATAGTAAAATGCAGAAATCAAGTTTGATATTATTTCAATGAAGTGTTAGTCTAAGAACAATATAAGATTTTATTTTATTATATAAACACCAATGAAATACCAGGATGATGATAAACATGATATCTTCACACAAGAAAAGATCACAATATTGCTATGGCTACTTAATAAATCATGCCTTTTAAAGCAAAAAAAAAAAATAAAGAGAAATGGTTTGGTATTTCATTGGTGTTTATGTAATAACGAGAGCATTACATGACCGCTTGGAGATAAGAGATAATTGAGTGCAGCAAACGAGTAAAATATTTTTTCAACACAAGAAGAGAAATTTGGTATCTCAGTGTGGCCATGCAATATCCTCTATTTATTTACACAGCTACGAAAACAGAGCTGTTATAAGTCATACATAGTTGACATAATTGAAATGCAGATTAAATAAGGAGAAAACAATCATTATTATTTATTATTACCGAATTTGAAATTAAATTGAATGATTAGATATGAAGGTTCTACTATGCTGGTAACACTTATAATAAAAAAAAGGTGACTATTTAGCTCAATAATAGAGAGTTTAATATCTAGTTAAAAGAAAAAAAATAGAGTATTTATTGTTACAGCTTGCAAGAAACTATACAATTCTGAGGAAAGATATCATTTCAGTACAAAACTATGTGTTATTTAAAGCCGGTATATAGAAAACAACACACACTAGGGACACCAGAAAAAAAGGGAAAATCTTTTTTCTCTTGCACATACATTGCATGATACACAGGCTTCTATTTATAACAACAATACTATCATGGGATAACGTGTTTATATCTAACATTTAAATTTAAAGTTTTGAATGTAGTACACTGATTATAAGGATAATTGTGAAATATATAATTGTAGTAATGATTAATGGTGACGTATAGAAAGAAGTTAATATTTTTAACAGTCCCATACATAAAATTAAGCTTAAATGTTCTGATAGAGAAGGTTAATATTGAAATAAATGAAAACCAAATATATAATATATGCATATGCTTATTATCCTTTTTTGAATCCTAACTCCTTATTCTTGATTATCACATTGATGTGAGAAGTGTGTCAAGTCCCCCATGAAAATGCAGTGGCCAATAATTAATAAAAGTGGCATTTATAGTTTATTTTAATCTCTTTTCTGCCTCAATTAAACACCGACAGTTCGACAAAAAAAGGAATTCTCTAAAGTGTAAGTCTGGAACTGAATCAAGAACAATTTAAGGAATAATTTTTAAAAAATGAGGAATTTTAAAACTCGATCGTGTTAAGTGGCCCAGTTGATCACGATGGACTATGGATCAGATGCTCAAGACATCAAACCTCGGTAGAAAGAGAATGAATTCTTCTTTCTTGCATGGTGAAAAGAATAGAAATAAAGAGAGAAATACATGTAAGTAGAATCCCTTTTTCTTATAAGGCCAGCGGAGTTTTAAAAGAAACACAGCAAATTAAAAATTACCTGGATTAAAAAAAAAAATTACATTCAGTTATACAAAAGTTATTTTAATTTGTCCCACATACCGTACACACAACGTACTTCAATGGTACAGTGAGATAAATTAGAGCCAAAATTATAGTGTTAGTTTCGCCTTTATTAGTAATGACAAAAGAGAATGGAATCTTCAGTTATTAATACCAGTTTAACATATGTATAATAATACATGGGCAAGAAATTTAAACAGGAGTTACACTTTTATATGCATACTTGTATAATGTTACCGCTATTTCTAATGATAATCAGTATTAATAAACTGCCACCCTATCTGAGCTTTTGCTTTCTCTCTCTCTTTTTTTTGCCTGAAATAAAACTACCAAAATAATCCAAACCAAGAATTAGCCTGAGGACAAACCGATTCAGAAATTAGTCTTACCCCCTATGTCTACGGCTTCAAACTCTTGACCAGGATTGTGAATGACTACTCACAACCTTGGCCAGACTCTTATGAATAGGACAACTATATATATGCATGACATCTACAAACCAAAGTGACTGTGCCAGGTGCAGTTTTTTTTTTTTTTTTACAGGTCATGTTCAAATAAATTTTTCTATTCACAAACAGTCTTATCTTTAACCATTACTTGCACTGCTAGCAACAATAATGTATACTGCACAATATTATTTGGAGTCAGTCTCTATCTGTTTCGGCTGTTTAGTCCACTCATATTCCGCACCTGAAATAGAGCATTAAGTACCAATATGAGTCACTGATTGGAAACTACTAAGCACCTGGACCCAGTTGTTTGAAAGGTCGATAAAGCTATCCACTGGATAAATCTCTATCCAGTGGCACAGGAAAAAATAACGGATTCCCATTTCTGGATATTTTAGGGTATTTAAAGAATACCCATAAAAATCCCAAATTTGGCAAAGTGAGACAAGTCTCAACCAGGGAATTCCCAACCAAGTTCCCTGATTGGGACTTGTCTCACTCTTCCAAATTTGGGATTTTTGTGGGTATTCTTTAAATACCCTAAAATATCCAAAAATGGGAATCTGTTATTTTTTCCTGGGTGGATAATGCAATTGATTTCCCTAATACATGTACTTACTGGTATCCACTGTATAGCGATTTATCTGGCCCCAGTTGTTCAAAAGGTGGATAACACTATCCATCGCATAAATCTCTATCCACTGAATAGCGCAATTGGTTTTCCTAATACTTATCCACTGGATAGTGCTATCCGTCTTTTCAACAACCGGGGCCTGGTGGATGGCACTATCCAACGTTTGAACAACCGGGCCCTGTAAGCTAACTCTTCCTCTATTGTCTCTCAGTCTGCTATCAATATATTAATTTTATCATGGGAGAGGCGCAGTCACCAACTCGCATTCTGTTCTCTGTGTGCAATCCTATAAAAAGAAGACTGGGGATGGCCGGGCCAGACCCGTAAGTGCACAACCAGCAAAACACCCAAAACTCTGAGTCCACACCTCCCATATTTCCAAGCCTATCTAGGACCTGTGTCAGAGATTGGAAAAACCGGGAAAATTAATTTGTATAAAGTAAGACAAGATTCAAAATTTGTGCGTTCCTCATGAGCTTCCTTAAAATACTGAAACCCAATAGTTAACAGTTATATGTTTGTATAACCCAAGAGACTCTGGATGTTATGACAACTCCAGCTTCTGGCATGCTTAAAGCCATAATTTGTGTTTTGAAATCAAACAGAGAATCCACCTTCACTAATACTCTCCAACTGAAAATGTGTACATCAAAAATGGACAAACACGGTACATGTATGTCGCCCATTATAGAAAAAATATGGTTTCACTGAAACTCTAGAAAGCAAGATTTGTAGGCTATGGCTGACCAGGTCCATGTGACCATGCAATTCTGGTTGTAATAATATTGTTTGTAGCCTTAAAAACATCACACTTACTGTAGTAAAGGCTGCTGACAATAACTCTGTCGCATCTGATCCAGCTTTTTCCAACTAGAAAAGACAACCAAAACCAAAAAATAAACTATCATGTACTAGAAAATGAGTGGTAAATACATAGCATGAGCACAGTTTCTCCATTTGGATATCATGAAATGAAGAACAAAATGTAACTATTATAACGCAAAATCCAGAGGCCCTTTTCTTTTGGTCTCCAAGGTGACGCTACGAAAAATTATTTGGTTCAGTAAAGCAACCATTTTAGGTCACTAAAAGCAAGAATTCAAATTTCTTTTGTTGTTCTTTGTTTGCTCTTTGTACATGACAAAAAAAAACCTATGTAATTATGATCACGCAAGTCAAGTGGATTTTCACCTGGACATACCTTCCAACTGATAAGCATGACTGTATATTGCACCTGCACATATATCGCACGTGGCCCTAGATCATAGTTGCCAATAATTATGAAAGTCGAGCATTTATCCATGGAAGTACAAGATACTTACTGTTTCTTTGGCACTGATAAGCATACCAATGTCAGACATTCTTCTGTCCAGAAAATTCCATGTTTCCTCAAAATCAGGAGATCTGTCACTGACCATGTACAATTCTGAAATTTAAGAGAGAATTAATTTTAAATACTTGATTTGTATGTTGATCATGGGTCAATTTTATCCTTGGTTTAAATAATTTTGTTTTCCTTCACTTTAGACTCATTATTTGTTGGTTTTCACATGACATCACCAAAATTCAAACTAAGGATTATCGGATCTTCTGAGCTTCTACTTTCCTGAGATATTACAGCAGCTAAACACCCTCATTTATACAACTGTTTGGTTTGAAAGGGTTTTTTGTTTTGCATTTGAGGATGCTTGAATTTCCAGGCTTTTGTGTGACACGGTAATTAGCTGATGGCCAGGGAAGTTCTTATGTGGGTTAAAAACATTGCCGATTTTTTGAGATTGTGCTATCTAAACATTCATTGTCTCAAAATATATTTTACTTCAACCTTTATGAGTTCCTTGCATGATGAATCCAGGCATTTGTAGGGAAACTCAAAGTCAGATGTTTCCGTTGGTTTCCGGCAGCCATATTTCTACCCCTCACAGGGACTCCAACATGGCATCTCTATACAAAGCTCTAAAAATTTGGGTAAGACATTTTCCGAATATCTCACATATGAAATATTGCACAGGCCTGATTTTTGGCAAGGCTTTTTGTTTATTTATCTTCTTTTATTTCCCAGATTCTGAACTTTGAATGGTTTGCACTTTTATTTTTTGAGAAAACAGAGAATTCATTACCATACATGTACATCCACAAACATGTCCGCAAAATTAATCATGGGCACAACAAAAGGCTGTCCAACAGCCCTGGGCTACTGGATTGACTTGTCACTCTATACTAGCATAATTTAATTATTTTGAGTTATTCATAAAGCCAGCAAAATTGACCTTACAAAGTAAAAATAATGTTAGTGAAAGGGGGGCTGGTGGGCCAACATGACTGCTCCAGGTGTGTAACTTCAGCAACAGCTTGCCTGAAGAGCAACAACTTTCTATTATTATATTTTCATCTCACCATAAAATATAATTTGAACCAAGGTTAAAACTGAACCAGAGCATGTACACCAAAATAACTATTAAAGTATAACAATTATTTTGCTATCATTAATTTAATATTATTGATTTGATTATAAAACAAAATGTAGGCACTGTCATAGAAGTCAAATTCCATTAGTTTTTATTTATTCCTTTCATATTTTTCAAGTTATTCCATTCTTTACTAATATATATAATGTATCATTGGATCACAGCTCTCCATGTATACAATGCAGTTATAGTGTGCATAAATCAAATTCAAAAAATGCTCCAGTTGCATTCTCAGTTGCCTTTGTACCTTTGTAAGGGCTCCAAATTTACAAACACAAACTTGTCCAAGTGTACCAGTAGTTATCTTTAACCTACCTGTGGAACCGTACAGTGCTGCTAACACCCCTCTCTTTGTGTACCAGTTTATCTGTGTATGATCAGAAGGTATTACAAGAAACACTGTGATAAACATCACAAATTAAATTAATAATTTTCTTATATCAAAAGCTACCTTTCCTTAGAGGAAAAGTGACTCACAAACTTGCTTGTTTCACTTGCTCTAACAATCAGTTTTTCAAAACAGGATGCCCCTCGAATAATTATTATTTTTTAATTCAACAAAATTATACTCCTTGGAAAAACAGAACCCACTGGCACCCTACCCATCTCATTCCCGATATGTCCCCCGCCAAATTCATGAATTCTCTGTGCATGCTTGTTGAGTTACAAACTAAGGTGATTCAAATGTTTGTTATGTCTGTTATGTTACCAGTCGAGAATCTCTAACATGTTGGCCATAGTCAAATGAATCTAATAGTATGAACAGAATATTTAAAATAAAGTGTCATCAAATAATAACATCACCAGTATATTACGTCATTCAAATCATTAATTTTCAAACGAATTTCATAGAACCAATTCAAATAAAATATCACTTTATTTTTCCCAAAAATAGAAATCAAATTAAAAATTTTAATATTAAGGAATCAGTTTGTTTCCAACAGTTCAATTTCAAACTTTGATCAGTATACTAATCAATGATTACTGACTGTGGAGTCCTTTTACTAATCAAAATGTACAATGTACTTGTCCTATAAACATGTAATCTATTAATAACAATACCAAGGCTGTGCTCTAAGAAAAACTGAGGGGAGCCCAGCTACAAACATGTGAAATCCTAGATGCCCGGTTTATGATTTCTATTACAAAAAAGTAAGACTTTCTAGTCACCCAGGAACAAAAGTTAGGTTCCATGGTGCACCAGGTGGGTTAGAGCACAGCCTTAATACATTGATTAGTGACCCACCATCTCATAATGAGTCACCAATAAGCTTATTCCCAACCTATTTATAAAAAGACCAACAATTTCATTAGCAAAAATTTTGGAACTTACATCTGTTGATGTGTCCCCTGCATGGTACCATATTTCATCCACCATGTATGCAACATTCTTTGCAGCATCAGGAGCATTGTGTGGTAGTAACATCAAACCCATGGCCTTAAAAAAAACGTCACATTGAAATGTGATTATTTTTCAATATTGTCAGTTGCGTTTCCAAGCACATTTCTACATTATTGATTAATTGACTGACTCAAGAGACTGACTCTTATCAGGGCTAGAAAAAAGTCCTGTCCAGTTGTCAGGGACAAGTAGATTTTCTCACTGGGCAGGCAACTTTAAAGGCTTACTTGCCCAATGGGCAAGGGTCCAGGGAAGTGATCCTCTAACAAAATCATTACCTAAGATGGCTAAGAAGTTGTCACAGGCAAGACAAATTGGAGACTTGCTTGTCTAAAGGACAAGCTGGAATTCAAGTTTTTTTTCCGATCACTGCTTATGACCCAAAGACTAATAAACAACTGACTGACTAAATGGCAAACTAAATGACTGACAGGCTGTCTGATGCTGACTGATGCAGAGTTCTTCACAAAGTGTTGATTGACTTGCTGTTTGGCAGATCCTCACTCCCTGAATATCTGACAAACTGATTTCCACTGAATAGGGTTGCCTGGACTGACTAGAGCATTGACTCCACCAACTGACTGACAAGTTGATCTATTGGTGATGACTGAAAGGACTAACTGACTGACAGGCTAACTGACTACATGTGCATACTGACTGACTTGCTGGTATTAATCTACAAGCTTCCTATTTACAGTGTATTTTGTTGTTGTTATTTGGTGAAAAGTTTCAGTATACCTGAGGCCACTGGCCAATATAAGGGATTAGCATCCTTAGCCGCACTTCCACAGCATCACGGATTATCACCCGGGAGCTTTTACGCCTAAAGAAAATTATATAAACTTTATTAGCCTCTACAATCAAATAAACCTGTAAAGAAACTTAAACAATTAACAATAATATTTTATTGTCAACTGTTCATAATTAGTGACAATAGTTTATTCACTCGCATAATTCTTGACATCATACTAAGCCTCATTCAATGAAGTCAAAGTGATAAGAAATTTGGTGAGTAGCCAGAGTTTCTGTGATGACTAAACAGTGATTTTTGTCAGTCACTGGAGCATCTGGAGAACCCTCGAATTTGATACAATCAGCAGCCACTGCAATTCATGACTAACAGATTCAATTTTCAAGTTATCAGTTAATAATAATAATAATAAAATTTGTATACATTGCAGCACTTATCCACTCCTGCTCTAGACACTTTACACAACATTCCAAACAATTAAGTGAAATATTTAACATTCCAAATCATTATTAAATAAATAATAAATGACTGTAAATTAAGATAATAATTCTCATGCTAACAATGAAAAAGACAAGTCTTGAGGTGAGATTTAAAAGTACTTAAATTTTCACTTGAACAGATGTTGCTAGTATTAAAACTGTTCCACATGTCAGGAATAGCATACAAACGATGACAAAATTGTTGACATTCAAAAATGGGGTAACTTTGGAGAAAAAAACAATCCACCCCCCGTCCCCCTCCCCTCCATTCAAAGCTGAGGTGTTTTTGGCAAACAGCGGCACATCATTGCATGGAGGGGATGGGGAAGGCAAAGGTTTATTTTTTGTCTTCTTTTAGTTAGCAAAACGTTAGAAAGACCCCTTAGGGCTAAGTACCTCAAAATAGTTTTGTCACCAAAATTATTGTAGCTTCACTGTACATGTAAGAGCCTTTCTTTTGAAAGTAGCAATTAACATTGATAAAGGTCTACTATTACTAATTTTTCAACTTGATTGTAACATGCAACATATGTGCTCACTCTCCTGGATAAATCACAAATCTCCTGGACAAAATTGAATTTTTAGCTTTTCTCTGCTTTAGTTTGGAATTAAGCCCAATCCCCCCTCAAATTTAAAACGTATTATGATCATAATAAGGTTTCGGGAATTTTTTTCACATGTTTCATCACTCAAAAGACTATCTTGTCAAAAAAGCAAATTTTGACAGTCTGTACTTCACGTAAGGCTTAGTCTAATGTCCTGAGACACAGCGATGTTAAAAGTTGTGGACTGGGTCCAACTGTGTTCATGGGGTGGGGGTAGGAGTGGAGAGGAGAGGGCGTGGTTGATGTTGGAAGGAACCTACTGCAAAAGAGGTAGTCTCCAGGGCTGGGCTGTTCAAAGCAGGGTTAAGTTAACCCAGGGGTTAGTGCAAAATTTGATTTCAGATATGAAAGCTTGAGAAGCAAAATCAGGTTTATTCTTTTTGCCTACAATTTTATGATTGGATTAGATGGGAAAATCGACAACAGAAAAAGAAATGTGTTAAAATTTTGTTATCGCTAATCGGCCTTTGTTAGATTTTAAACCTTTAAATCTCACCATTAAAGCCAACTGTTAAACAATCATATGTTTTTGCTATAACACTATAATTAGCGGGTTAAACTCACACTGGGCTTGTAGTAGTATCCTCTTCAGACTCCTTGCCAACTCTAGATTGTGATACAAGGTAATCAGCCAGTCTAACATTGCAGTCTTCTGTAAAATGCAGGACCAAATCACCAGCACCACGTGGAAACATCCCTTCTGCCATTGCAGAAAGTCCCACTGACTGGGCACCAGCTTCAATGGCCTCTGAACTCCAACCTAACTCAGGAACATGTTCCATTGCAGCACTGAGTATGTTTTTTCGCATTTCAGCATCTTGTTCTTCTGCACTGTAGAATGCATGATCATCACCAAAGTAATTATGTTCATGTTTTTCACCAGAAGATGCCTCTGCACCAGATTCCTGAGGACTAGGAATATAGTGTAACATCCTTAATATTAAGACGGAATCCACCAGGCAATTGAGTAATTTCAATTTTCAGAGGACAAAAACCTTGTACCAGAATAATTTAAACAATATCGCATTCTTCTTTACATTTTTCAATGGCTTTACTTACAGATATAATTAGTTATCTGTAATAACACCAAGGACCATTTCTCATGGGAGTCAGAGAAGAAAAATGTCAACTTTAACAAGAATTATGAAAACACAGGTAAAATTCTGAAAATTTCATGTGTTAGATGTTCAGCAAACTGACCACACTCTTTTTTAAAGGATTGAGAAGTACACGTTGCAGACTGCGACAAACGGCTTTGCAAACCTTGCTTTCTTTCGTGATGAAACAAAATTTGCACTTTAGAAACGAATCCCCTCGTTTAATGGGCGAGTTAAACAGCCAACAAAATTCCTGTTCATTCTGCGCTTTTTTAAAAAGTAAAAAACAAACAAGTACAAATGTCTTGTAATTCTTCCGCTGATCGGATCGAAACGCAGTTTAAGTTTCTCCTCTAAAAATGACCTCGAATGAAATAGTCTTGCAGAAACCTTCAGTAATCATGACTTTTGCCTTTAGAAATTTTTGGTCCCTGTTGTATGTGTTTTGGAAAATGCTGCGAATTGCATGTTAAGTTAAAGCAAGAGGTTTCAAATTACACATGACATATGCATGTTAGCATTTAGCATCTCGAAACTTGATTCGTTCGAGCTTCTAGATGCAAGAATCGAGTCTTGAGACTTAAGTCGAGACTGTCAACTTACTTTCGAACGGTACTGTACTCCACTAAATGAAGCGGCTATTTCACTCGTTTTTTTTTTTTTTTATTGTCCTCTCTTATTAACACCCACCGTTTACTCAACGAAGAGCATTTAGTTGAGAAAAATTCAGTAACAGTAAGAGTGCACCTCTATTAGCCTCAAGGACATTCTCTCTTAACTTGCACACTAATCCCTACCCTGGATCGGTCTTGTCTTGCTCATCTGAGAGGCAGTAAGATGACTGCTGTATCCATCTGTTAGACACTCCTATGATCGCAACACTGTTAGTTAGATCTTAGTATCTCCCAAGTTAACTTTGAAATACACCCTGCCCAATCACTGTACATTTTCATCTCTTTTTCTTACCACCCGACCGTCCAAAATCATCCGACAAGATCTAGAAGTTGCAAATGAGCTTATCGTAGTCTTATATGCAGGTATCTCCCATATCCAGAAGCGATAGCATTTTAACAACGGCTTTCCTATCTGTTTTGGCAAGAAAGGAGTTAAATTCACTGGGCTCAAGTTTTGATACTCACCAAATATTCCTCGCCGAACAAATCCGACCTGTCTTTGAAACACCGTTCGCATAAACAGGGCCGCCATATTTGTTTCAGTTCGGTCAAGACTGGGAACCAGTGAAGAACCTCTTCCCACAATCCCTTGCGCTGCAACTAGGGTGAATTTACAGACGGCGCTAGTTTTCGCGAATGAAAGGCAGTTTCTGCAGTTTATCATCATTCCTATGATTTTAGAGTTTAGTCAAGTGTTGGTGCAGAAGGAGGCAGAGCAGAGTGGCAGTCAGTCACGGAAGTGCAGAGGGCATGTTTGCACGTGATTGCACGCCACACCTTCCAGCTCAGAGACAAAAAATAAACTTTTTGTTGACGCCAGTACAGTAGGAGTAATACAACACATATACGAAGCCACCTAGGGTTTGAAACCCTGTCCGTGTTTAGGACAAAAAAAAATTCCTAAAATACATACCCTGTTTCGGACAAAGCCCTCAATTGTATTACCCTCCCTGTTTAGGAAAGACTTGAGCGAAACTGTATACACTGCAGGGGCGGATCCAGGATTTTTTTTTAGGAGAGGGTGCACTCGTCTCTTGCTCTGCTTCAACACCAATAAACCACACAGTTTTTTTTTTTTTGCAGAATACCAGTTGTATTAGAAAACCGCAGGTCATCTCAGGGGGGGGGCGCACCCCCTGCACCCTCTCCCTAGATCCGCCCCTGCACTGTTTAGGACAGATAGGACGAAAACTAAACCCTGTCCAGCGGCACATCCTCGTATAGGTCATATAAGGCAGTACTCCCCCCCCGCCACCGCAACCCCGGGTTGGCAAGGCGGCCTTAAAAATTGATCCCAAAATCTTAAATGAAGACTCGAGGGGAGTAAGGGGGTTCTTGGAAAGTATGATTGATTCGCAGTATCTCTTACTAGGATTCCGGTCCTAGAACAAGATGAAATTATATGTATCCTCTGCCTTAACGTTATTTATGTTCACGTGATGTGTCGGCTTTTAAATAATGGCAATCAGCGAATTTTTGTAGAGAATTATTGTGTTTGATGTATACAAAAAAATTTGAAAAATTCAGTTCATGATCGTTAATGAAAATGCATGTCATTAAGTGTTTTCGATAGTTGTAGTGCATTTTTCGCTGTCTTTTGCTAAGTCAGCTAGCGTTTTTTACTTCGCGAGGTTTTAAAAAGAAACATTTTCGACGAACCGGCGGCGTTTTTAGCAAAACATTTGAAGGAAAACACTTTGAGTGGGCTTGCTTTTTAGCATTAGAAACAATATTCCAACTTCAGAAAGCAAGTGGTAGTTTGTCAGAAGCTACAGTCACGTGCCGGGTCTTTCATCAGACAAATGAGAAATGTATGTCATGTACGTGTGTCAATATTTCACACTAATTATAGTTAAGATATTGATTGGTCTGGTCACAGGTTTTATTAAACACCGCACCAACTGAAGTTGATTCAACATACAGTCACGTGCCGGTTCTTTCATCAGATACGAGATATATCTTATATTATCTACGTGTGTCAATACGCTACACCAATCATAATTAAGATATGGATTGACCTGGTCACCGGTTTTAAACACCGCATCACCTGTAGCTTTAATATTTGAGAAAAAAAGACCTACTTCTATTGGCTTTGAAGTCCCAACCACCAGCTGGGAAAATCGATGTTCAATGAACACGTCACTTTAACGATTCCTTAGTCAAAAACAAAAGAATCGTTTTTTTAACCTAGACTGTCATTTGAAAGGCGCACGAAGCAGCTTTTGCAATTCGTTAATAACAAAATGGCTTTCTTTATATGTAAAGCAGCTCTCATATTTTCAGTTCTAGCGGCAATTTCTTTGGCTTCCCATGAAGAGAAATATCGATTTGGAAGATCATATACCATAAACCCCGGAAAGGTACGTATGAAAAGTCTTCAAAGTGTTCATTACCAGAACATGAGGTCTAAAATGTAGTCTCTACCAAACTGCTTCTCAGAAAGCTCAATTGAAGGGCATTTGACTGAACAATAAAGAATGATCGGCTAACACTTAATCATTTACGTAAGTTTATTCGTAATTTAGATTGATTGCAACATTATTTTCTTTCAAATGTTTATTTTTTCGTCACGTGAGCAGACGCTGTTGTTCACTGAACCAACGGCCTCTCTACATGTATACAATTGAACCTCAATGTGACGTCACCTCTCGTGAATGCTCCCTCCCAAGCGAACACTAATCCAAAACACCGACAATTTTTCTAGTTAAAACATTATCATAAACGGCCACCGGTCGTAAGCGACTGCGGTTGAGAGTCCTTTACTAGCTAAAGTAAGTTAAAAATAAAGTATGTTTTGTTACGCAAAAAGTTTCGAAATAAAATGAATCTTGATTCTATTTCAGGTTTTATTTTGTCCTTCGGCTCGTGCAGGACCCCCGGGCCCCCCCGGACCACCGGGTCTTCCAGGAAGAGACGGTAGAGATGGTAGGGATTGTCCCCCGTGCAACTGTGCGGGAGGTTCATCAGCTACTCTTCCTCCTGCAGAACCTCCCTGCGCCGGATCTCAGCCCTTTGCCCCACAAGGGCCCCCAACTGGAGGGTAAGTTCATAATGATTCAAGCAATTCCACTCTGATGTAAAAGTGATTTTGTTCATGTCCGGCTTATTTTTCCCCGTTTGAAGTAGTGTTCTAGCGGCTTTGAAAGGCGACGTCTCGGGTGTTGATGCAACAAATTGGGTGAATTTGTCAACCTCGTCCCAAGCCGCCTGGGGCCCATTTTATAAGGGAAAAGCTCGGGAACGAGGTTGTGGCTCGACTCTGCGAGTCTTATCGTGATTGGGCGAAGAGAACATTCTAATTACCGTACATTAGATATAAACCCAGGGAAATAAAGTATTTCCCCCATTTTTCGGTGGGGAAATTTTTGAGTTAAAATGAATGAGGGAATTTCAAACAGGAAAATCGACAAAGGTTTATGAAATGCAGCTTGAATCTTTTCATTTGCCCTCGAACGTTTCTCAGTTCTTGACCGACTCCCATCTTCACTTCACAAATGCGTGATCGTTGTCTAAAAATGTTCAAATTCAAGCAAAACCGTAGATTTTCAAAAAAGTCCTTCGACTTCGTCGCTCGCGGTCGGTCGCTTCGCGGCCAAAAAAGGCTCGCTCCGTTGGCCAAGAGGTCAACTTGTGGCAAGTCTAGCAAAACCGGTGTTTTTTCCAGTATCTCTTGAGTGGTCCATGAACTATAGTTACATTCTATTCTTCTCCATACTGGACAAACAGCAAACCTTATATATAACTGTGTCTCAGCTGAGTTTACTTCCTGATTATGGATATTCTGCTGTCATTGCAGAGAGAGCTCACACGTGCACTTAGTAGCAGCTACACGTGATCTTGCAGACGAAACGGAACAAAGTGGAAGTGGAAAAGGAGGCGCATAAATTGTCTTATAAAAATTGTGACAGGCATAAATTAACTTAGGACCACCAGTCAAAAAGATTCTTTCGAATTAAGTTCTTAGTCTAAATGTGAGAAGTACAGTGAACTTTTAAGTTTGCTGTTTGTCCAGTGAGAGAAAAGGAAAACTCGACCCTATTTTAATAAATGCCAGGTCTGATAAAAGGGGATAGGGTTTCCTTCACGACAGATATGTCGAACGGCTGAGTCCTACACCTCCACTGGACAAACAAACAAACAAAAATACTTATGCTTTTAGATTTTTTTATAATTTAGACATTTATATTATTTCGCTGCTTCGCATCCTTCGAAAACAATATTTTAAGCAGTGAAAATAATTGTAGAGAGCTCTGAGGAGGACATTACTGGGCAAACTCGATCTAGAAACCTCTAGAAGTACAATCGACTTCAGTAAATACTTAACACTGTGATCTTGTGAGCATAGAAATATACGTTTTGTAGAGGAAGAAAAGTAGTGTTAGCCTATCTTTCAATTTCTCTCATAGAGGTCGCTTCTTATCCTCCTCGGTCGGGAGACCGGGGAACAGTAACATGAGACCTCAGACCCCTACACGGGAAGGGGCAGGGGGGTGGCTGGGGGGAGGGGGAGGGCTACTTATCAAGGTTTCTTACTGGGAGGTTCCGCCTCAAGGTCCAACCCCTCACCCATTAACGTACCATTTTGGCAGAAAAAAGTATTCCTTTTATATACCTTCCATTAGCCTGGGTAGCGGGCGCTTGGAAGTGGTTGGCACAAGAAAAAACGGGCGCGCGAGAAGGAGAAACCCTCACCCCTCGCGTGTCTCCCTCGCGCGCGCCCGTTTTCTCTTTCGCCCACTACTTCCAAGCGCCTGCTACGCAGCCTAACCTTCCATTGAAATTTATGCCCCTTTCACATACAGTTGAACCTCTCCACAACGGCCAACTTGGGGACAGAAGAAAGTGGCCGTTGTAGAGAGGTTTAAACAAGAGTAGAGAGGTAGTAGTTGTAGACAGGTTTAAACAAGAGTCAGTGTATGAACTGTCCGCCATATTGAAAGTAGCCGTTGTGGAGAGGTAGCCGATAGTAGCCTGCGTAGCCAATGAAGCGTTTCCTTTCGGTTTCGGAGTAAAGACTCAAAGACCGCGCATAAAATGGCTCTCGTTCTATTTCTCGCGCGACTAAAACCGAAAATCCCGTTCCTCGGTCTTTCTTTGCTCCGAAACCAAACGGGAACGCTTGTTACGCAAGCTAGGCCGTTAGTGGAGGCTCGACTGTATCTATAACAATCAGTCTTCCGGTCATTTTATGTGGCCTTTAACAATATTAATTAAATTGATGCAACCATAAGGTGCATCGGTTCGAAATATTTTAGCTAAGGGCCCTTTTAAATAACTAAATTACAAATTTCTTTACCCTGTCATATACGTCAGCTTAAGAAATCCTATACCATTTTATAAACCCAAAGCTTGAAAAAGGTTGTCCTTTCGGGCAGAGCCTCTCCGAGTAAGCATCACAGGGAGTTACCCACCCTCCCCCCGCCCCCCGGTACCACGATGAGTATGAGCGAATATTGGTAGTGTTAATGTGCAGTATAAAATAAAGGTTCAACATAAAGTTTTGCGTCATTTTTTATTTAGAAGTAGGCTTAAACATGAAAAAAAATCATTTCAGTGATAATCTTTTGGTTAATATAATATCTCTGCAACAAAAGTTTTTACTTTGAGAGGGAATGATGACGATACAGTCTTTCATTCGTTTACAGATCTAGACAAAAAGAAGTGTTCGTGAGTAACTTTTCAGTTGAGCTAGATCGTGTATGTGTTCGCGCTCGCGAAATCAGATTGAAAATTAGATTGGTCCACACATAAATCTCTAGAATAGCTCAAGATAGAGATGAGAGGTGATGATGTCACAAAAACCTAAATTTGAGAAATTATGGGTTGGTTAGCATATCCTGAAAGAACAAGATGAAAAATTTCACTTCCTATATAGGCCTGGATCATAAAGGTTACAGATCCAAGCCAATTTTTGAAGGATTTGTATGGAGTCATCAAGGCAATAGGCTGATTTTTGGCAAGGGATCTTATTTTTGCTCTTGTTCTTCCTGAATATGCCAACCAGTCCCATAATTTCAAAACTTTGAAGACCTCACACTTTCTTAATACTCTATTGAGACTGTGATTAACGAGTGTGTAAGCCGTTTGCCGCGCGCATTTGTAGTCTGAGTGAGTACACCACTGTAACAGTTTAATTTTATCAACGTTACAATTTCAAACAGCTATGTTATCAGTCATTTCAATAATTATCAAATCCCAAATATCGTGATATTTCTGTACCTCACACAGACCCCCTCAAGGACTTGGTTCTGTTCACAATCCGGCAAAGTCCTGCGATGAAATTTTGTCCTCAGTTCCAGGTGCTGAGAGCGGTGTATTCTGGCTCCAGGCTGCTCGCGGCCCACCCTTCCAGGTTAGTCAGTTTCCTGCTATCAGTAACCTGAGATAAGGCTCAATTTACGTTTCGCTTTGTAAATAACATTCCGGCGGGCAAGACGAAACGAAACTTTTAGCGGTAGCCGTTAGAGAGAACGTATAAGAACCGCTAAAATTGGGCCTGATCTCAAGATATGCTAGCAGAGGACTCTTTTCCTTTGTACCGTAAACTACCGCTTTTAATTATATAAGCTCCCCCGATCGTAAGCCCCCCCCCCCCCCCCCACCAAGTTATAGGTTCCTAATATACCTGTAAACAAAAAATATAAATACATACACCTTATTCGATGGTTTAGCATATAATACGCGCGGATATTTTGCGAGTTGCGTAGTATTTTTCCGAGCCCAGCAGGGGCGAGGAAAAATACGAGCAATGAGCAAAATGTCCGCTCGTATTATATGCTAAACAATCGAATAAAAGGTTTACTATTCCACTACAAAAAAAAATGTTATTTTGCAGTTGGCCTCTATTTTTCGGTAAGAGTATTCACTGAAAATCCTGATTCCGTCTGTGACAATGACGTTAACAATGAGCAAAATGTTCGCGTGTATTATATGCCAGACCTTTGAATGAGAGATCAATTATTTTACTGCAAAAGAAAAATGTTATTTCGGCTTCTATTTTCTAGTAAGAGGTATCCAAAATATCCTGATTCTGTCGATCAGCCATAGTTGCTCCTTTTGCATCCGCCGGCGTTCGCCCTGTTGTAAACCGGTTAAACCAGGACACTAAGGGGAATTACGGCCTCGTATTTTGCGCAATCTCTTGACCTTATATGGTAAAATGACATAATAGTGAAATAATAAATTTGGTTACAGCCCCCTCGGATATAAGCCTCCTCCTTTTATTAGCCACTCCTAAAACCCCTTAAGAAGATGTTTAAGCCCAGAACTTACAACATTATAAGCGGCAGTTTCACAGTATTCAGGAAAAGAAACCTCTGCTGGCAGGAAAGGAAAAAAAGTAAAGTTGCTTACCATCGCGTTAGCTTCGACCTTATCTCCATCAGGCTTTTCCAAATTTAAAGACTGTTTTCGATGGCTGTTTTAGTTTGGAAAAAAAATGGCTTAAGTGCCAGAGCTAACAACACGTAAGGAGCGATGCAATAGGCCAGGCACATTTGCATTTTGCAGGCAACTGAAAAATAGAATAGTCAGCTTGATAGAAAGTATTGCAGTTAATTTTTTATTTCAGGTCATTTTAAATTTTTTCTTTGTTTCATATTCATCAGCATACATTACCATACCCAAAAACAATGTAAATTTAAAAATTAACTGAGATAAAAAATTAACCTCAACATAGACATCAAAATGACGCTCCGGGAAAAGATATGGGATACGATGACATGATTAGAGTTTATTTTTAATCTGGAAGGAAATTTTTGTTCCGTGAAGTACGGTCTCATTTAGCGTTTCATACTTGTCTCATCTTTCCTTGCTCCAGTCAAAATTTATACAGCTAGAATTTCCGTTATAATAATTTGATTACCCGTTGCATTCCTGCAGACGCACTGTGAAATGATCTCATGCCATGGAGAATCAGGAGGCTGGACCCTAGTCGCACGAGTTGAAGGCATGTCAGGTGACTTCTCACCCACAAGCCCTCTCTGGGCCAATGAGGATGTAGTGAGTCCTTGGGATGCCGCTGACCTCACTCGAACAACATCTATGAAAAATCCCGGATGGTTCTCAGTGTCGAATCAGGCGGTGCGCGTGTGCTATAGTGGTCCTCGAGGCAACTGTGCGACCTTTACGCACAATCGTGGACTGACACTCACTCAGTTCTTTGGAAGTCAGTTTGCAGTGGAAGTACAAGAGCAGTATACTTTTGAGTCCTTAATGAAGAAGCTGGGGAAACATCTGGACCTGGGGCATTTGAAAACTGTAAGTATGTTATTTTTCATTACATCTTATTGCGGGCGACCAGAGGAGTCCGCAATACTAATCTTCAGGTTGGTATTACGCATGCATGGCATGTATATATGTAGCCAGCATTCGTTTGGATTTCCTATCACCCGTAGTAATCGTCATCTCATTACGCGTGTTTTGACTTTGTATCACATGAAACTTACGCAAAGCATAGCGTCGAGGCACCAACGATCGATCTCGTCCGCCTTTCTTCCACCTTTAATTTTAAAGCTTGTCTGCTTCTGAAACAATATGTCTTTAATCTCACAGGAATGGTGTGGCCTCAATCTTGGAAATCTCTGCAACTTAGTCGCAGACCCCAACAGGGAGCCTGGAACCCACATTTGTCGCATAGGGTGTATTGGCGATACCAGTCTCCCTCGGTCACCCAACGGATGTAACCCGGATGACTATGCCTTAGGTATTGGCGTGTCAAGCTGCAACTCTCCAGGAGGATGTCACGGTCACGTGTCCAAAACAAGTAGCCTACACTATAGCATGTACTCACGCTATGGTGATTACCAGCAGACAGCTTTCATCTACGTCAAGTAAAATCCGTTTTTTACCGCTTACATGAGCAGAGACTCGATGCCGTTTGCTTTTTTATAAAGCATCTTAGTTATGACCCATAAGCCGTGAACTCTATTATTATTATTATTATTTTGCTGCTGAGAAAGAAGTCATTCTTTAGAGTCCTTCTTTTCACTTCTTCCAGAAATGTAAAGTCGTTTCGCTGCATCACGAAGTTGAAAACTGGTCCAAAGTTTGCTGGTGTTCATTTAATTTTTGATCATTAGCTTAGTGAAATGGCCATTAATCATAACTCGTTAGTAAAGTCAACTTCAGCGCTATGTGGACATGATGCGGCGAAACGACTTTGTAGCGAAACGACCGGTAAGGTTAACACTACACCGGATAGCCTTTGCGCCGGCACAAAAACCACACCAGACATAGGCCGCTTCTGATCACACAGGGCACCCAACGAGAGTATAGTTCAAAACCACTGAAACATAGTATTGTTTAACGTATTTTACTATTTGAACGGTAGATATCCCCTAAAAAATTTTCGTCTGTTCGGATTTTCTAGCTGAAAGTCTAGTGATCCGAAAATTATCATAGGGATCGAAACTTACCTTTTCGAAAATTTCAGCCAGAAAAAAGGCTCCCGAAAATCTGCGAAAATTATGAGTGACGTTTTTAGGGTAAAAATCCGTTTAAAAATGGGCAATTATACCTTTTCTAGATGTTCGAAAACTCTGGGAGAGGCAGGCAAGCAAGAAATTTTACAACAAATGTTCCGAAAACTCTAGATCTCGAATCGTCTTCCGAACAGATATTTTCCGAAAATAGACGTTGGGTGCCCTGATAAGAACGGTTGTGGCAGCGCGATTTCTGTAACAATGCGAGGCTGTGCCGCGCGGATCTCTAAAGTGGAAAGTCACATCAATCCGATAGGCATTCACACTATACCATACAGCTTTTCGTGCCCACGAAAAACTATCCAGTATAACGTGAACATAGCTTTAATAAATTAGCAATTAATGAATGAGGCTGAGTAGGATATGAAGAATTAACTGAGCAGATCGAGGAGGGTGTTATCCACCCCGGCTTTCGGCCTCTGTGGATAACATCCTCCAAGATCTGCTTAATTCTTCATATCCTACGAAAGCCGAATTCATTAATTGCTTTATTATTCATTCAAAAATACTTTCTAGTTTAAAAACACAGCTAAAACATGCTTACCTGCATCAATGTTAAGTTTATCTTCGATAGTGTACGTTTAGGTTTGTCCAACTCCGCTAATATTCTCCAAATAGCAGACGTCACCCTCCGAGTTGTCTTCTTGCTGTTTTTGCTATGTTATTAGCCATTATATCGCCTAGTTGCTGTAGTTCTTACTCTTGAAACGAGTGAAGTGTCCGCCATTTTAGTTTTCACAACGAAAACAACTCAACCTCGTCGCCAGGTCTTCTCCGTTAACGGTGTATTAATCTGTAGAAGGCTGCATTTTTGACGTCATTTCCTCGTTAAACACAAAATTCTTCCAAATTTTGTCATCAGTAACTGGTTATGGTGAATTATGCATGTGCTTTTAGCCAATCAGAATTGGGGATATATTTTGAATGGATAATAATATTCCTTAGAGCATTTTTGTTGAGATTCTTTGGAGACAAGATGTACCTGATTCTATTCATTGAGCAACTCTAGCCGCAAAAAAGGAAAAAATCGATCAATCAGTCAATAATACTGTTCATGAAGATACCAATCTGATGAGGATGTTGAGAAAGATGACAAAAAAAATTAATAGGGTTTTTTGTGCAACTTGTGTATGTAATAAACTGCAAGGAAGGTTGTAGAAAAATTTCCTAAACTGAGCACCTTAATAATATTAAGCAGTTTTCTCCCACTTCAACCAATATATGTTGTCAGAAAGGAGTGATTTTGACAACTTAAATTATCTGCCATCATTTTCTATCAAGCGTTTTATCTTTATACTTTATACTAGTTTTGATAAGTGAATAAACAACAAGGACACAATTATTTATAAAATAAAAAATAATTCTATAGATAAAATCTTTTAATTCTGGAAGAATGAATTCGATAAACCTTGCTATTTATAAAAATGTATTAATTGCTGTAATGGTCTATGGTTGTTTCTTAATTTAATTGGTGTCCTTCTTGTAGGTTTTATATTTTGCAACAAATTATCATTCAAATATTAGTCCTTGTTGAAGCTCGCTTTGCTTGCTTTTTCTTGCTCACTCGCTTCGCTCACTGAGAACCCGCAGATGCGAGGTCAACTTGTAGCAAGTCTATGAACAGTCTAGTGAAAAGGTGTGGTAATTATCTTTTTCGAGTTTTATGAATTGGATATTTTTCATGCAATATTTTAAATTAATTATTAGCAAAAGTTTCTCCCACCACAAGAAAACCCAGTTAACGCTACCATTGGTACACTAATTAACCCTTTAAACCCAAATACCCACATAAAAGTTCTCCAGATTGATCTCCATACATTTCCTTATAACGTATAAGTTGAAAGGATTTTCTAAAAGATCAAAGCATTATCCTGGCCATAGGTAGCCTGAGAAAACAGACGACATTTTGCAACACCACTGGTGGTTTCCCCGTGAAATAACGTCTGAGAAACGAGTGTAGAAATTCCATACTGATGATGCGTCACTACCCAGATCTGGGTAGTGCTTCTGATTGGTCGTGCTGCGAGGGAAATCTGCTTCAAGCAATCAGAAGTGCTACCCAGATCTGGGTAGTGATGCTTCATCAGTATGGAATTCCGCACTCATTCCTCAGACGTTATTTCGTGGGAAAACCACCGGTGGTGTCACAAAATGTCGTCTGTTTTCTCAAGTTAGGCCATAGGTTATCATTTGACTAATTCAAAATACCCTGGCTTGACCATAACATCTTAATCAACACTGCGTTTTACTAGCATCAAGAACAACATCCACTCCTCGGATGAGGAGAATCAAGACTCACAGTAGAAGTTGAAGAAAGTTTATACTGGCCTTGTCCAACCAGCATCTGTGCAACACTGTCGAACATATCTTGAATTCCTTCCCCTGTCTTGGCTGATGTAAGAACACTTAGGTGGCACTCATTTGCAGTTCTAAATAATTCAATGGTTTCTTTGGATATCTCGCATTCCAGGTCTTTTTTGTTTCCAACAAGAATTTTCATGGCTTCAGGAGAATACTCGTTGAGATCACGAAGCCAGTGTGCTAAATAGTGTAATGATGAAGGGTCATCCATGCTGTAAACAAAGATAGCAGCATGTGACCCACGGTAGTAGTTATTTGTAATTGTGCGAAATCTTTCCACTCCTGCTGTGTCCCAGACACCAAGCTACAAAAAGAAAAAAAACGTTATAACCTAGCCAGGTCAAGCATTAATGCCAAGAGATTGTATCAATGATAATATTGATTATTTGACAAAAAAAATCTGTTAGTCCTAATTCCCCTACCTAGTGTAAAGTTCAAATCTGCATTCCTACATGCCTTATGAGCAGTGAATTTTTCCCTACAACTTATCAGTATTTGGTCAGATTAAAGAATCTTTAACTGGATAAAAGTCATAAAACCATTATGAAGACATTTGTGTCAAAATTTAGGAAACCCAGCTCCCAGAAATCTCATTACTACGTGAATGAATTCACTGCTAATCATGCATGCAAGAATGCAGAGATGAATCTGAGATCTACAACTACTACAGCTAACAGATTAATTCTCAGATAATCAATAGGCCATTTTACAGTTGTGGGCTTAGTGTCCTAGCCTTTGCGTGAATGTGAGGTTGAGTTTGACCTTGTTTTGATACAAACCTCCTTCCTTTTCTTTAAAAGTAAATTGTGCTTAAAAAATACAAGTTAGCATAACAACCACATGATTTACATAAAATTAAATATAAAGCAGGAAGGCCTAGGGTTGTATCAAAACAAGGTCAATTCCAGCCTCATTTCCACCTGTAACTGTAAAATAGGCTATTCATTCATGGAATCTTAGTGGGTATGCTTAACTTGGCTTGACTGAAAAAGCCTGAAATACAGGAATGCAATGCTAAGAACCACAACAGAACCACATCTGGATGTACAGTTTATGATTCACATTCACCTCTCTCCCCCTCCCCCACTGACTCAATTGCATATCTCAAGCTCACAGACATTGTGACATGATATTACTGATTTTCATTCAGAGAAAAACTAGAAGGAAGCCAGAGATTACAATTCAGTTCTCGTTCACTCCCACGGTCAAATCACGGGTACACTACATTATATAGCTCTACTTTTAGAATATTATTGATCAGAACCTTTTATGGTGGGGTCATTCATAGTAATAAACCTTTTCACCAAACAGTCACGTGGTTTCTATATGCATTACTGATCACGTGTGAGGACCAAAAAGGCTGGATAATGGCCATGCAAGTTCTTTTTTTGGACCAATTTGAAGTTGTGTTCCTTATGAAAAATAAAAAAGGAAAAGATTGAGGCCAATATTCAGCCATCTTAGGCGGACAAATTTGTTCAAAAAACTATTTTATTATATGCCCCCTCCAGTAGTCACTCAGGATACTGGATTCACTTGAACATCATCCAGTTATAATTTCCTGTATAAACTGGTTCTATCATAGCGAAATTTGTTGTATCATGCTGCCTGTATTCTAATCTTCGAAGGTATTTTCGTTTTTTCTGTTCTGTCAATTATTTGACTGAAGGTGGGTTTAATGCAAATCACAACGTAACGTGCTCGCACAGCTTGGCTGAGAATGACTCCAGACTGCTCAAGAATTGCAAAGGAAATCGCGATGGTAAGTGGATTTTTTGTTGAAGGAAGGAGGCAGACATTGCTTTATTCTTGGAAGTGACAAGAATAACACAGATCAGAAAAATCTGCAAAGCAGACTTAAATAGCAGAGTATTGCCTGAAACAGGATGATCACAAAGCAATGAAACTTGAAACACGAAACAAACAAAACGAATGGAAATCCACCAATCACGAATCACAAACCAGGACCTTTTGAACTCATGCAAGTAAACATGTGTTTCCTAAGAGGTCTTCTAAGATGACTGACGGAACCGAAAAAACCAAAATTCCTTTGAATTTTCCAAAATGCACAGCGCGATACGATGAATTTTGCTGTAACTTGTGCTTAAGGCAGTATTCACACTTGGTGCCCTAGCAAGGTGTCCGAGTATGGTACTTGCTGGGCACCAATATGGACACACCTTTTTTTCAAGTACCCATGCTAGAATTCAGGCATGGTGGAGGTGACCTGTACAAAAAGGCTCAAAAGTGGGCACCGCGTTCCTGTGAGCAAACTGTTTTTGTTAGTTCTGGAATTGTCCATTGCTTTGTACGTGCTGCTAAGTTCATGATTCAAAATAGTGTCTGACAGGGCAAAATAAAGTAAGTGTGCACGCAGTTACATGTTGGATACTCAAGGTGTGAACACAACACCATTTTATGCTGATACTGTACCCAGGCACTAGTTTCCAGTGGACAACCAATAAGTGGATCAAACCCTATATACCTTACGATAGGAAATTAATGCTCCACGGAATTAGGGTATTAGAAATTAACGCGACTTAAATTAACACAAATTTAGTAAAAAATGAATTTCGAATAAAGGAAATTAACGCAAAAGAGAGGGTACCGGGGGGTAACATTTCAAAATGAAGGAAATTAACGCTATGATTACAAAGAAACAAAACCTGTTGAGACAACAGGAACAAAGTTAACCGTATAATCCGAAACGGAAACTTTGTTTGTGGTTCTTAACTTAAACATTAAGTGAACAAATCTGGCCACTTCAAGTTCTTCACAGTTTAACTGCTGCTGGCAGATCTCCACCCTGACATAATACTCCTCTTTCTTAGGTGTCAAGAACATCAGAGGTGTATATTGAGAATTTGGGGTAAAAGCATGGAAATTAAGGTCGCGGAAATAAATGCTACACTAAAATGACACCATGGAAATTAACATTTACAGATCTTAATGTGACTAAAATTAATGCAAATTTTTGAAATTCGCAATAATCTCATGAAGCGTTAATTTCTTATAATAAGGTATACATTTCAGGCATTGGTTTCTTGATCAGACTCTACAATAGAGAGAGATAAAAGATTCTTTCTCTCTTGTAATGTAGCAGTGGGAATAGAAAGTAATGCTAGAAGGGTGCAGACCCTATTATGTAATCATTCAAATGGAACGTCTTTAGCAATATGTTAATTAATTGCTTTAGTTTTTGTCTTTTTCATTATTACTTCAATCGTCATTACTTGACATTGTTGGATCTAATAGACGGCTTTCGCTGTGGAGCGTGGGAAAGGATTGGAAAAAAAGTGTTAATTTAACGTCCTAATTCATGAAATGTGAGAAACTACGTAATACGCTCCTTCGACTCAGGACCCCATAGGGTAATTGCTCGCTAGCAATTAGCTATGTTCGCTTTTGTTGATGGTATATTCTTTATATCATCCAGCGTCGAAAATAAAATATTATACAAAAAAGAATATATTTACATTGCTAAGACATCACATGTTCCTGATGCAACTAAAAAAAAGATAAGCTTATAAGCTTATTTTAATAATTATTGAATTGCAGTTCATTTCAAACAGAAACTTCACTTACAGTAACCTGTTGATCGCCAACCTTGATGTACATAGAAAAGCTGTCAATTCCCACAGTGTTTTTCCTGTGTTGGAGAAACGAGTTTTCTTTTGCACGGTAAAATATCGAGGTCTTTCCTACCCCAGCTTCCCCAAGTAAAATGACTTTGAAGAGCGGACCTTTTTCTACGCTGAGCGCCGCCATGTTATTTTTCCAAGCGGAAGCCGGAAGCTGCCTGTCTCTCAGCGAAATGTTATGGGAGAGGTAGGGGGACTTTTTATTCCTGTTTTTGATGGTCATAAACGAAAAACATATACACAAGAAAAAAACAAAAATTCGTCGTGAAAACCATTTGCTCCATAGAATTCCTAACCAGAAACAAAACAAAAAAGCAGTTCACTCATTCTCTTTTAGAAAAAGTTGAAAAAAGATTCATCACACTACCCCCTCCCTGACGGTAAGGACTCGGTCAGTTAGAGCTTCCCAGGTCGCACAGTCGAAAAGAGAGGTGCGCGCATTCCAACGAGTTGTTCGGGTTTCTACGATTCAAAGGAAATGTCGGGATCGGAAGAGAAGCTTCCGCTCTATAAGATTGTTTTAGCTGGAGATGTTGGTGTAGGAAAGACTTCTATATTTCAGAGATATGACACAAACAAGTTTTTCGACCACAAGGACTTTACATTCGGCCTGGACAAGCTAAACAAAAATGTCGAGGTCGATGGACAGAAATGCAAGGTGTGTTTTATAATAAGCAGCATTTTTGATAAGCTTGATAATCAGTTAAATTTAAAAGCCAATAACGCTCTTCTTACAGCTCATTACCTGGAAAGTAGAACTGAATACAAATCGTGATTTTGAAATTTGGATCGAACACACATAGTCATTGTCATTTTGGGTGTCTAGAAAACTCAGACCTAGAAAACACAGACCACAGACCTCAGACCTAGAAAACCCAGACCTCGAAAACACAGACCTAGAAAACCCAGACCTCGAAAACACAGACCTAGAAAACCCAGACCTCGAAAACACAGACCTAGAAAACCCAGACCTCGAAAACACAGACCTAGAAAACACAGACCTCGAAAACACAGACCTAGAAAACCCAGACCTCGCAATTTAAAACGAGTCTTAAGACCTATACATTTGATGAAAACAGTTTACGCATGGCGCTTATTTTCCCTATAGTTAATTGTCGTTTATCTATTAAGCTATTGCTGGACTGGGCAACAAGAACAGGCAACAGTCAAACGCAGGCTTCCTTTGTTGGTCTAGGATCTATGATTGCATGATGGAATGCCTCAGTCTTTTGTATTTTTTATCTTTTCCCTTAAGTATTCTTTGTTTTGGAATATAATTAAAAATGTAAAGCGAAATAAAATATATGGACTGAGTAGTTTTAGTAGTGTGAAGGAGATTATTCGGAAGGCCCTGCAATTTTCGTGAATACATCACACATCATCTTTATTAGCGACTAAACAGCTGACTAAAAATCACAATTACTTGGTACAACCGGAGCGGCAAATTGTAAAACATCAGTAAATGAACAGCAACAACGACAACATTGAAAACCACGAAATTGCAGTCTGTCAGCACTTAAACGGCCGCTTTGCCCATTCTTCAGTGCTGTTTCCATTAAGTTATTTGTTACTTTTGCGTTACTACATTACTGGAAAAACCATGTTCATAGAAGTAAAGCTGTTGTTCTTTTACTAGTCGTTATAAACAGGAACTGGACTACATCGAAAATATCGCGTCCCAATCCAATGTTAAATAACGACAGATCGCAGGACATTTAAATAATTAGTAAGACAGCGGACGGCTGCATATTCCAGAGAATTAGGCGGCATTAATTTGCTTCTACTTGAGATCCTGAAAACTTTTCATTTAGAACATTCCCATGCAGTCCTTGTAGAGATTGAAATTGTACATAACAGATAACGAAACTGTATCAAAAAACAAAAAAAATATATGTTAAAATATATGAAATATATAATGATTAACGAAATATAACGAAACTTATCCTTCCATTCAAGTTTTTGTTTCCAATAAACCAAGAAACCATCTGTTATAACCGAGTATACTTGCTCTCAACAGAACTCTTCCGTAGTATATCGTGGATGAAGATTTCATGGTTAAATTGCTTTCTTGGTACATCTTTAAGTGGTTGCTTTAAATCAGTAATTTATGTTTTGTTAGCACTAATTGAGCTTTGTACTAGTGATATCCGGTGACTTACAACGTTCTTCTTGTGGTCATAAATATAGCAGAGACAGAAATCCTTACTACAGTCTCAGACAAAAATAGTTGTTCATGGCGGTTCGGTCACCACATCTTGTACACCAACATTGAGGGGACAAGGAGACCCCAAAGTGTCCCAACCATTTTGACTGAGACTGTAGCTCTTACAGACTTACAGCAAACACATTAGCACTTTCCTACTTCAGTTTTTGTAGACATCAGTTTGGCTTCTGTCATGCTTTTTCTTTTAAAGTTAACGACTTCAGGCGCGGATCTAGGATAAATGCTGACCCATTTCCTAAACAAGCGCCAAAAGCGCAAGCTTCCGAGGGGGGCTCGGGAAACATGCTCCCCTGGAATTTGTTTGGATTTTAACTGGTATCAGAAGTTTATATGCCTCTGCTGGTATACAGTAATAATGAAATCTAAGAAATGTTACCAATTAACTAATTTCCGCAAGTGCAAACCATCTTTCTTCAAATCAAGTCGAAGTAGCGCCGGAAGTAGCGCTTTCCGCTTCTAAGTGTATTTCCCTTATCAGGAGGTCAAAGTGCGACCTTTGAAGACGGAGTTGACCTCAGGGGTATTTGCAGTAATGAGGGATCGTAATATGGAAATCTGCTCTTAACACAAGTGCCATTTACGCAGTAGTACTTTGTCGTGTACTTTGTCGATGGCAGTTTGCGGCCTGGCTCCTTGGGATCTGGATACGACCACTTCTCCTCATGTGACAGTACCACATCGTAAGGTATGATCTTTTTTCCGTCTCGGAAATTCAATATGGCACTGTCTACACTCCTTTGCTTTAGGGTTATCCTCTAAAAAGCAGAGAACTAGAGGCTTGTTGTTGTGGTGTATCTCAGTATATGGCCGCTGGTTTGTGTCGTCTGTGGACTTGGCGCGACTTGGTCTCCAGGGATTTCTGTGACTGCCACCTTTCTTGCCTTGGGCATCCTTTGATGGTTCGATGAGTGCACTCTTAGAAGGAGCCTTACGCCTCGATGTTTTTCGAAGGAAATCTAAATGTTCCTTAATCATACCTGTTTTCTCGGCAACGCTTAAGCTGTGTTTGCAGAGTTTATTGAACTTGTAACAAGAGCAAGCACAAGTTACATGATTGTAAACTGGAGCTTTGTCAAGTCGACTTTACTTTTGTCGGTTTTTTCCATGGCTTCCTTTTGGCGCGTTAATTTGTTATTGATGCTTTCGGATTGGTTGGTGTAGCTTTTCAAAGGCGTACCTGATGTGTCAAGAGGCATACCAGCCTTGAGTCTTGCTGTAGCTATCATATTATTTTTCATCATTTTCTTACGAGCCTTGATATAGTTCCAAAACTCAGGAGCTTTCCCCAGTTAGCTTCTCTTCTTCTTTGTCCAGTGATTCTTTTGCTTCCGTCAAGCGGTTCTTCAAATCTTTTTTGTCTTTCGCATCTAGGATACCGTCTGAGTCGTCACCCTTTCCAAAGACCACTTCAAGAAAGAACTTTTGGTTTTGTTTTTTGTGGATCCCCAGCTTGTGAAGCTTGTCCTTACAGTTTTGGTAAAAATGTCGGAAACATCTTAACCCAGTTGCGTGGCGCATAACCTCTCTTAAGGCTGAGTACAGTGTTTCTTCTCCGTCTGTAATGAATCCCTTTCCCTTATCAGCAAGACTTGGTGTGTTAGAAGCTACAGCGTGGACAATCTTGCTGTAAACACTCTTTTGCTTGCTGTAGTGGATTGCTGTTGGTCCTACAAAAGCTGGGGCTTTGCCTGTTCTCTTGGATATCAAGAACAAGTGCTTGTACGTGAACGGCGTAACCTCAAATTTTCCAAAGTTAAAGGTGGGGTCGACGCTCATAGGGTGACTTAGTATCTCGGAAGTGCAGAATCTCGATAGGTCCGCTATCATATGTGGTTTGGCAAGTACCCACAGATCCTCTGGAAAATCATGGTGCTCAAGCACGATTGGGTCTTCACGATGTTTTGCATATTGCAAGAGCTCGTCGACTTGATCTACTTTTTTCATCTTGTTTTTCAGGTCGTAAAGCTGTTGTTTTGACCTCGGCAACTCTCCGGGTTCACGAGCCCCTAGGATACCACCTGCAGAGGCTGAAACTTTCTTCAACGTCACAGATGCCGAACTTGCAGCAAGTTCACCCTTGATCGCCTCCATAGTACTCTTTCGGGTAGGGTAGAATGGCCTTTTACCACTTTTACTGTTGCCATGGGCAGGAACCTCAAAATCAACCTCTTCGCAATCTTTATCTGTTAGTGTATATTGAAGCAAACACGCAGAATTAACAACTTCCTCGTCCCGGTCAAAAAGAAGAAATATCGAACGACAGAGACCAGCTTTGTTCTTCGTCGAATGGACATATATGTGATATTCGTTATCACTGGCTAATTCTACCTTCTTCTTCTCCAATACTTGTACTTGGTCATTTCTATCTACTTCCACTGTCCAGGTAGCGATTCGCAATGTCTCCGAATAAACTCCATTCATATCGCTCTTGACATCTTGCCAACATTTATATTTACTGACATCTACAAGAAAGGACAGGTTCCTTCGCACTCGAAGAGGAGTTTTCCTACATTTTTTTCTCCTTGTTCCATGAGCAGTCTTTTAGCCGCCTCCCTTACTGTATAGCGTTCCTTCTTACCAGTCTCAAGGATTGGCAGATCTTTGTCATGGCCGTATAGCATGGAACTGGAGGGTTTTGTTGATTTTGTGCTTCGTACAGTAGGAGGTGTAACCTCTGGATCTGCAAACACAAAAGGAAAGTAGTAAGGCTGGAACAAAATGTATTCCTACAATCATACTGGAGATTACATAAACAAGTCCCAAAGCCAAAAGCCATAATAAACGGTCTTGTGTATGTGCTAAGAAATTAGACAAACCTGTATGCTCGGGGGCATGTGACGGTACCGCTGCCTCCTGATAAATCCGTTCATCTTCACTACCAGAATCAGAGATAAGAACTTCCAATTGCTTCGTGGTCTTGTCATCCTCCTTTGTGTATAAAAAATTATAATAACAGTTACATTAAATTAATTAAATTAAAAAGGGAACCTTGCAGTCCATCTGCAAATATTGCGGTAATAACATTGTGTGCGCTTCCATGCAAATGGTGTCAGCTGATTCACGACAAAATAACGATCCTCACGTTATTGCAGCTTTGAGGCACATAACGGGTACAAGGTCCTGTTACAAGATGTATGCATGCTAGCCTAAACAGTGGCATTCTCCATAGTGTCAAATGTAGCAGTGGAAATTATTAGAAAAAAGTTCCCCTATATAGCACAAAATTGTCACCTTGCGTTTACGTCACGAGCCCTAAGCCGACGTTTAATTCTAGCTTAGACTGGTTTCCTCATATGGAACAATGTGGCCTTGGAATAACACAGAACGCTGCTTGCAATCATAACTTTGCAACGTTTATTATTGTACAAAGGTCCATTCAGATAAATGAACATTCGAACATTGATTAAGATTAACATGCATTGAGACATACCTTGTCTGAAAAATGTGATGACTTTTTGCAAAACAATTGCAACTTCCCCATCTGAACCTTGACGACCTGAGGATGCAGCAGGTAAGTCACTCGAATGTGTTTGTAGAACGAACATTAAGACGTTTATCTTAAACACAGAACTCCCCACAACTTTAGAATTATTTGTAATCTGTTCTTGTTCTCTACTATTAAATAGGCTTGGGAGAAACGAACCTGCGGTTTGTTCTTGGAATGAGGGGGACTGCTCATCCCCACTACCATCACTTAAAATGACCATTGGGATAGACGAAACTCTTTTTTCTTCTCTCTGTAAATATACAAAAAGCCTTAAATAAAATTAAGCTACTGGAGTTACCGAATTGACGAATTAATTGTCAAAAAGTAAACGACCACATGTCCACAAGGGAGATTCAAAAAATGGTACCCAATTTTAACTTTTAGAAAAAACAGGATACCAACCTTAGAAATATAAGAATTAAGCGGCGATCTTGAGTGCGTTGCACGTCCTCTTCTCGAATCTGTGCAACGTAAATACATAGGAAATTACTCAAAGACAAATTAACAACGATGGGTTTCTGTTGTTCAACAGAACCTAGGTTTGAGTTAACAATTAGGTAGCGAACCTGTAAACAAAGAAAACGAGGTGCTACAAACCTCTGGGCTGTAATTGCATTGGAAGAGGTGTTGATGCACTTGGATAGAAATGCTTCTCGCTTTCACAAGAAAAATCCGACAAAAATTTTTCTTGGTTTCGTGAGGTGACGTCGGCATGCTATAACAAATAAAGACAATTTTGAATGAGTTTTTTTACTGATTCACTTTCTCCTAAACGTGCTTTATTCTTGAAATAACACATGAAACATGGCCGTGCCATCGGCATACGTTTATGATCGTAATACTCTGGGATAAAAAAATACCAAGGTCACCCACCATCAACTTCTGGAGGGCAGTTACCGAGCACACTTCCTTAAAGGGGCACCTTCAACCAGTGTGCATTGCGGTCGTGAACGTACCTGAAATCATTTGCTGTAATACAAAACTTACGAAGGTTCGGGATTTTATCTTTGCAACCTTAGGGAATAGCAGGCTTACATACACTCCTTAAAAGAAACAGATAAATGTCCCCTATAACTGAAGGTAAAAATAATTAATACCTTTGTACAACTCGATCTCGTCTTTCCGTGTTGACCGCGCGATGGTTCAGAGAAGAAAACATGAGCCTTCTTCTTGATAGGCAAATCGGTGTCTGCGTCGGGAAACTTTCTTTTCTGACAAAACAACGGAATTTGACATTGGAATATGCAACGGTAGTGATATTCGATAAAGGAAAAGCCACAAGAAAATGAATCACGAGCGATACTGTAGCGTTTACCTTAAGAGGAGATGGATTGAATTTTGCAAAACTGAGTGGAATGACATCAGAAGGGCGCAAAACTTGGTTTACCTGTAACCTAGAAAGTCTGAAAGTAACGGAAATAAAATCCAATTTTTTAAGATATGTAAGCACGAAAATCGAACCAAACAGTTCGGGAGAAAGTAGGCAAACAAACACAAAAAGATGGCAACGGCCCAAAAAAGTTACTTGTGATATAGACGAAGGGCTAAACCCAACTAACTTACCCAAGGCGAGGAAAAATAACTTGTGACAGGGACTGGGCTTCTTCGTCACCAACTTGTGCAAGAGCAAGGCGTTTCCACAGCCAGGTACAAAGTTCCTGTTTTCTTTCACTCCCTGAGAAAACAACCAACAGACCGTTTCCATCTCCACCCATAAAATCAGGAACGGGATGAGTATCAAGGAGAAAGTAATCATCTCTCAAGCGACCTAGCAATAGGGTGTACGGTTGGCACGTGTAAATCCAGAAATCATGCTCTGAACAGTCCGTTGTATTTAGGCCTTGCAGAAGATTTAAACGACCTTGAGGTGAGAATACAGCGTCCTTTGCTATAATTTTCTCAGCAAGTTCGACAGAATCAGGAAGTAGGCCTTTCCTCTTAAGGACGGTGAGGCATTCCAGAGCATCATAATGCCGCTTTTCTCTGAAAGTGTTTAAACTTTCAAGGTCGTGAAGAATCATTTCCTGAAATATTCTAGGTACCAGTTCTGGCCAGTTGTCATTCATCTCTTCCTCTTGCGTAGCATTGACGATTTTCTGTGCCGCTACTAGGCAAAGAAAGGTACAGGCATTCGTACCATCGTTAGCTGGTGCAATACCCGCTAAATCATTAACAGCATTGGACTTAGACCGCTCAAGTGCTTCTGCTAATCGCTCATCGGCTTCTTCCATAGGTGTGGATTGGCTGACTTTCAGAGACGATATATTTGCCAGGATTTCCCTTGGTAGTAGTGGCCTTTAGCTGCGAAAAGAACTTCTTGGGCACTCGGACGTAAAGACGCATCGTAGTTAGTGCACATCTCAAACATTTTCTCAATACTAACCCACAATGACGCTTGAAGGCGATGATATTTTGTTGAGCTGCTAGGTTTCAGTTGACCTTCCATCTTTTCTTGCAGCAACGATTGAAATCGGGCAGGATCATTAGCGGTGGTGGCAGAGGCTGATTTCAATTCAATTTCAAACGGAAAACTGGTGTCAGGATTTAAGACGCTGAAAAATATCATCCCTAGAGCCCAAACATCGATTGCTTTCATGTCATCCAGGGTTGCTGTGGCTAACTTTCGGCTCTCTAAGACTATTTCTGGTGCCATATACGGTTTTGTCCCACGCTCGATGTTGGATGTTTGTGCGTGAATTATTGCTGATGTCTGAAGTAACTGTGAGCGACTTTCACCAAAATCCGTTAGTTTGCAGACCACTGGTTCAATGTTAAACATATCTTCAAGTTGATCTTTGTTGACCCCTGGTCGCGCGTAATGCTTATTACTTACTAACACATTCCCTGGTTTTAAGTCGCGGTGCACCACGCCACTTGAATGCAAGAAGTCAAGGCCCTCGGCGATATCAATAGCTACCTTGGGAAAAACAGGTAAAAAATGTTTAAAGGCTTCAATGGCTTGTATTCGATCGAGGCAATGCAAAAAGGCAAGCAGATCTGAAACCTGAACGTCGAGACCGAATGGCAAAAAATCAAAACAATCGTATTCCATCATTATGGCCACCGGTTTGGAACAAACAGCAACAAATTCTGCCACCTTAGGATGCCGTAGATTTTGCAACATCTTCGCCTCCTTTGCTACTAGCTTCAGATTTGAGTCTCCCTCGCCAAAAAATCGCTTTACCACCACGGCTTTCTTCTCGGGAATGTAATTCGCCTTCATCACGGACCCGAAACTTCCCTTCCCTATTTCATTCTTGTCAGCAACATCAGCCCATCGAAAACTAGGAATATCGCGAAAGTAACCTTTTGTGAGAGATTGCGCGTCGAGAAGAGGTATCTTGAAAGCCATATTAGGCTTCAAAACAATAATACAGCGCTTAAGGACAGTCACGACCAGTGTTAGAATTTAACCTTGATAGCACATGGCTCTTATCGCCGGTCTCACATGACCCAAAAGCGCGGGAAAATTAGTCACGCGATGGTTCGCGTGACTGAGGAAATGAAAAAAAAAGGTGGAAACCCGATTCATAAACGAAGTGCCAAGACACTTTGGAAGTTTGTTCGTTATATCAAGGGTTCGCTATATAGAACACCTCCATTTAACGAATTTCCCGGAAAACTACCAAAATATCCCTTATATCCAAGTATAGTTAACAATTAATTTACAAAACCCAGCATTTCCGGATCTGAAAAATTATTGTAATAACATTTCAGGACCGAGTACATAGCTACGGCACTAGAAAAACTACAGTACACATACATTTTTTACCTTGATGGTCTGTTTGGCACTCTTTGTTATCACATGCTGACATTTATTCGTTATATCGAGGTAAATTTTACGTTTGCGCTTGTGGATGGTGTTCGTTATAGAGATGTGGATTTCGTTAAATCGAGGTTGTGTTCCATACACTCTCTGTAATTCTGGCCGGGCAGCAGATAGTTTTCGTCATACCGAGGACTTCTTTATATAGATGTTCGTTAGATTCTTTATATAGATGTTCGAGGTTTCACTGTAGTTATCTGATCATCTTGCTCTCGATTTGGTTATTTTCGCACCCTATCTCAGTGGCTAGTTAATGTATCAGAAAGGGAAATTCCATGTTCTTCAAACCGCAAAGCGGCAAAACTGAAGTAATAATCTATTAATGAGTAACTCTGTTATCTCTACTGTTATATCCCCACCATGTCTTTTGTTTTGTTGAAGTGTTTGTTTTATCTTTTTTTTTGTTCTCATTGAAATCACACGGAATTTTGCTGCCGAGTTTAACATTTATTCACTAAAGTACTGAAAAAATAAAGGGCAAAGCGTTCGTTTTAAAGACAGTGCTGACAAACTGCAATTTCGTTGTTTTTATAGTTGTTGTTGCTCTTCATTCACCCCGATTTTTAGTCAGCTGTTTAGTCGCTAATAAAGATGATGTGTGATGTATTCACGAAAATTGCAGGGCCTTCGAATAATCTCCTTCACACTACTAAAACTACTCAGTCCATATATTTTATTTCGCTTTACATTTTTAATTATATTGCAAAACAATACTTAAGGGAAAAGATAAAAAAAAAGACTGGGGCATTCCATCACGCAATCATGGATCCTAGACCAACAAAGGAGGCCTGCGTTTGACTGTTGCCTTTTCTTGTTGCTCAGTCCAGCAATAGCTATAGATAAACGTCAAACGACCAAAAAAAAGCAAAGTCGGCACGCCAGTAGCTATAAACTGTACGGAATATAAGCGCCATGCGTAAACTGTTTTCATCAAATGTGTAGGTCGTTTTAAATTGCGAGGTCTGGGTTTTCTAGGTCTGTGTTTTCGAGGTCTGGGTTTTCTAGGTCTGTGTTTTCGAGGTCTGGGTTTTCTAGGTCTGTGTTTTCGAGGTCTGGGTTTTCTAGGTCTGTGTTTTCGAGGTCTGGGTTTTCTAGGTCTGTGTTTTCGAGGTCTGGGTTTTCTAGGTCTGAGGTCTGTGGTCTGTGTTTTCTAGGTCTGAGTTTTCTAGACACCCTTGTCATTTTCAGTTAGGCTTACTTTAATCCCCATCAAGTGCTATAAAATGTTAACACTGTTAGCCTGTCTGCAGATATTTTCTTAATTCTGTGAAAATCACTGACTTCGCAGGTTAGTTGATAAGTTTATGCCCTAATCTTTCTTGACGACTTCGGATTGTTGGGAATCATTTGAAAATTTAAATCCGAAAAATGGAAGTAGATCTACGAAACCTCAAAATCCACAAAACGTCTTACATCTGAGCTCTCTATGGCTTTACGTGATTTCCCTATACTTGCAGCTGCAAATATAAGATCAGTGGGTCTATTTCCCTACATTGAAACCAAAAATAGTAAGGATTGTACAGTCATGCTAGGTTCCTGGTCCTTTATAAACCCGAGCAAACATGCAATGGAACAGTCAAAGCTTTCCTAAAAGACCATAAGTGGTTGTTCATATGCGATCATGCGATGCCCCTTACTGGTCGTTTCGATACAAAGTCCGTGGTTTTGCATTTTGCATTGCTGGTTTGCATGTGACATCACAGCGGCCATGTTGGTGGTCATGCAAGAACAAAAGCATTTCTCTCCTCTGGGAACTAAACTCTATTTTCATGTAAATTCTTCCAGAAAAAATTCTATTGTCTTGACCCCAACATGGCCGCTTTGTAAAGTGGTTGGAAACCAAGAATAGTTGGCTTATGGAGCAAAGAATATTTATGCCATGTGTATTTCTTGTTCATGTCCCATAACTATACTTTAATTGATTGAAATTGTTTTGTAGTTTCACTGCTTAATAAGTTTGTATCAAAATGACTTTGCATTGGAATGACCAGTTTCCAATGCACCTATTGAAGGGTGGTCACTTATGAATGTTTTGAGAAGGCTTGCTGTCCTGTTTATTACCTGCAATACATTAATACAGGGCTTAAAAGAACGGCCGGTCAACGGACAATGTCCGGCCTGATCGTGGACTTGACCGGTCAAACTCTCATCTTGCCGGTCATTTTTGGATGGGAACCTTTTAAAATATTTTCCATATAGTTGCCGCTTAATGCGTTTTGAAACTGAGTTGTGGAGTAATGCAACGATGCTGCAGGTCGTACTGTACTTTCTGCTTTGCTGTGATTAGTTATGTGACCTTCTTTGGGAAAACATACACGTTATTTGTTAGAAAACTAATAAAGGATAGCTAACAGTTTTTGTCAATCTAACATTTCACATCTACTAACCCTTGTAAGAGGATTGTGAAAATCACCTTCGACCTGCAAGGAAGCTGTACTTTTGACGTCATCGGTTTATTAATCGCAAAATTCTTCCAAATTTGGTCATCAGTAGCTGGATATGGTGAATTACGCGTGTGCTTTTAGCCAATCAGAAGTGAGGAAATATTTTGAATGAATAATAACATGCATTAATTAGCATTTTTGCCTGAACTAAAAACTTGGCCAAGAAGCTTACGCTATATGCATAAGCGGTTGACTGAATTTTCGTTATAACAAGAACTTAAAAATACGGAAAAGACCAGCTGGTGATTTTCAAAAATGGTTGCAGTAAATGCTTCAAAGTTGTCACAGTTCAAATTGGAGTTTATAGTGCTGAGTGCTGGTTGTAACTAGAGCTGGTTACTAACAGGGAGAGGGGTGAATAGCCAAATGAATTTGCAGATTTTGAAAATGTTTTGTCCAGATTTTGGATTCTAAGTGAGATTTTAACAGATTTCCGGATCCTGCAATTTCAGCGGATTGTGGATTCATCCATTTACTGGGCCCTGAATTTGGACTTTGTGTGTAATAAAGCTTTTTTTGCAAGGATTCAGGGTGAAACTTTAATGGCAGATTCGGTTAATATATCATGACGGATCGGTGGATTTGCATACCCCTATTCACCCACCTCTATAAGAGTAGTTGTGAGGAGAGCTTTAGTCTAAGGAAAACAGCGGATGACATGTTGTGACGCTACCAATGGTTTCCTTGCAAGGAAATGTAAGATGTCTGAATCCCGTGGGAGGGGTATTCCCCATAATGGCTCATACTGGTCGATCGGAGGCTCCACCGGAAGGGGGCACTTTTTTCAGTTTTCTGTCAAAAGTGGTATACGAAAGGGTAAGGAGTTGCACCTCGGGGCAGGACCTCCCATATAAAAATTTCTGGCAAATCTGCAAATTCAATATTAGCTGCCCCTCTGATAAGAAACTTTACACCCATGGAGTCAAGATTGGCTCACTCCCTTTAGTAGCAAATCCCAGAGGAGTTTGATCCCTGCTTCTGTATATCAGGCTTGGTTATAAGCCTGGTTCTTGTATGCTATGGACCTACACCACACACTTAGGATATAAGCATGAAAGCAAGGCCTAAGGCCCACTGGATTTCCCGCAAACGTCAGAAGAAGTAAATAGGGTGTCGAAAACAAGAACGATAAATGTGATTTTAAGGTTAAACGTCAACCCCAAAAGATATTCCTGGAGCAGTTGTAGTATGAACATGCTTTGGAAAGTGGACAGTGGAGAAACTAACCTCTGGTAATGATCCTTTGGAAATACATGAAACGTCAAGTCTTTCCTATTATCAGAGTGATTATTACAAATCACAGCAGCACAGCGTTGTGAGAACTATTTTTGTCAAAGTTGTAGGATGTGCTTCTGCCACATCTAACTGCGATGTGGCTGTAAGGCCTTGCTTCATACTTATCTTGTAAGTGTGTACACCTATTTCAATAAAGGTTGCTTTGAGAATCGTGCTTTGGTGTTTGAAAGCCATTGTTTGGTGGTCACTCAAGAAAGCATTGCGTTGTATTCTGTGTTTCAATGACCAAATCCCAAAGCAACCTTTACTGAAATGGGTGTATACCTGCGACACAGCTACAAGTTGACAATTGCTTCCAGTACTGTTCTGGCAAGTGCTATTATACACTTGTATGCCCCAGCAGCTAGAGGTACCAGAATGCCTATGAGGTTGAACCTGAGTGCCTTAAATTTTTCAGGCCAGCTGTGATGCAGGTTAGCAGGGTATTCATTAGGCATTGGAGATTGGAGAATTCTCTCTTTACTACGCTGAATTGTCCGGCTAACATTCGGTAGCCTATGACTATTTTTATTCAGATGTGGAGCCTCTTTCAAAATATTCTCCTTTGATGTTACATCTTTCTCCTGCTACTAGAAATCTTAAAATAATATGAAAACCCTGGGTTGGGGCTGAAATATTAGCTATGCTTTAATTTTGGAAGTTCATAGTATTATTAATTATTTAATGTAATAATATTTATTGGTGGAGTACATGCTGATGGTTAATGGTCTCACCCCTCTCTCCATGTAACTTCCTTTTATTTTTTTCTTTTCATAGATTAATGTCTGGGATACAGCTGGCATGGAGCGGACCAGATCTCTTACTTCAAATTACTACAGAAACTCTCATGCTGTTGTCTTTGTGTATGCTGTTGACGATATGTACTCACTGACTGTGTTGCGGAACTGGATAGAAGATGTAAATAAGGATGCAACCAAAGCCCTAAAATTCCTTGTTGGTAACAAAATAGATCTTGTTGATGAAGGTGCAGTGGTTGATGATGACTTAGCAGAGAACTTTCGCAATAACAATGGCTTACATTCACTCTACCAAATTTCAGCCAAGACAGGGGAAGGAGTTTTTGAAATGTTTGACAACATTGCCAAGCTACTGGTTCGCAATACAAAGGCAACGATTCAGGATAGAAGTTCTTTCGCTGTCATTGAAGCTAAAAGCGAAAAAGCCACTAAAGCGAAACAAAGCAGTGGTTGCTGTAGTTGATGTGCCAAAGAATACAGTATTTAATTATTTAACTCATACACTGTTAATCCCAGGTTAATTGCCTGCCATACACCCAAGTCATTGTGCCTGATCTCCTTCAACCTGCAATCCCAAGGTGTACTTAATTCCTAGCGCAAAAATCAATGAGAAGGGGATTTTGAAAATGTCGAAGTTTCAGTGTAAAGAGATCCCCAGGTGTTTGGGTTTGCTAAAGATTAAAGACACAATTATGTTGTTGCAGAGGGGCACAGTTGAACTTGAAGAGGTGTAGGAGATTTTTATTTTTATTTAACCACAAAAAGAATCCATCCAACAAACACCAATTTAACACAATTTGCCAGAAATAGAGTTGAAAACTATCATTGTTACTGTTAAAAACAAATAGACCACAATTTTCCATTATGTTATCACTCTTATTGGCCCTTGATCATGATGTTGTTTAAAACTCAGGTGCAACCATGAGCTACAGGCAGTGGTTTTGTTGTCATGGTAAATTTAAATCGTCAGTTTAGTTGAGTTTAGTCTTTTGTTTTTAGGTATGGCAATATATGATAATATTTATGAGTCTTAAACAATTGAATGTAAAAATTTAAACCAAGAGTAAAATTGAACCAGAACAAATTTGCTGCAAAGTTTTGAACATTTTGATGGTTTATATGACTTTAGATAATGGACTTGTGGCCTATTTGTTTCAAAATAACATTGAAATGTCCTTAATCTGGAAAATAATGAATTTGAGATATCATGTCATTTCCATGGTAGATCAAAGCTCTTGACCAGTGAGGGTTCAAGAAATCACCCTTAGCTTTTACTGTAAAAAGGGCTCGCTCTTATTTAATTCTAGAGTAAACTGGACAATCATTAGTCAAGACTTCACTTGCATCTATTTTCTTTTTTCACACTTTTACAGTTATTTTTGTGGCGTGATTTATGATAATATAAAATTATGGGTAAAATATGTTAACAGCATCTCAGAGATCAAATTTTACCCCAACTGAACAGATAAATGGTTGTATAAACTAGAGAATATTTTTCAGGTACAACAAAATAATGATTTAATTTTTGAGTAAATTTTGGGAGGCAGAGATGTAGTTGAGACCTCAAGCTGATGAAGGAAAATGTATGATTAATATTGATGTAATGATGTTATGGTTAAGTTCTAAACAGTTTTTAATAATAGCCAGTTATAAGCACCCAAGCTACAAACTTATGTAGGACCAGAAAGAGCTCATATCTAGTCGTTACTGTTAATCAAATGGTAAAACAGTTATTGAAATTGCAGTGCTTTATCCTTTGTCCTTATAGGCATAATCAAAGACATTGGACTCAGAGTAACATAAAAATTACTTTTTCTGATAGTTCTTTCCACATTTTTATTTATGATTTAGGGTGCATCCCTTCGGAGATAAAGGGTGGGGTGGGGTGGGGGTGTGTACTTCCTAGTAATATGTTAATGGAGATGTACTGCTGGATGGAAGTGCATTTTAATGACTGGGTCAACTTTTATGGGGTTGCATTTTTGACAGAGTTACTAGAATGGGTTTGCACATTTTTGGGATGTTGGGGGTTAGAATATTCTGGTAATTAGGGATTTTACAGCGTAAGAATAGGAAGATTCTTATTACATTAAGTTTAAGAACTAATGAGTCAATTTGCTTTTAAAGGCTTTTTAAGGTGGATGCATAAACAGAAAGTGACTAAATTGGGATTGCAAAAATTACATTTGCCTAACAGTGACTAAGATTGGGGCCATGGTATAGACTATAATGGGGTAGGAGTTGTGAGAGGCCAGCAGCACATACCCAGCAAAAATTAACCCCCAGGCCTCAGGCAAACAGATGATCAGGATCAGTGATCCTAGATCACGCAGATCATGAGACACCAAAGAAGCCAATGAATTCACCCTAGCCAAGGATTCATCATGATGCTGAATCACTGAAACCTGTCATTTCAATACAAAGTCATTTTGATACAAAGTTGTTTCAATACACGTTGTTTTGATATGAACTGAAGCAGTGGAATTGCACAAAAATTTGGTTCACTTCAAGTATAGTTTGCGCTTGAACAAGAAAAACATTTTGGAAGAACATTCGCTGTTCTTTAAGCCGAGGATGTGAAACGTTTTAATATTAATATTTTAATACTGTGAATCAACTTGTACTGAAATGTCTTGTATCCAAACAACTGTTAACGTGGATAGTTGATCATAATAATATTATGCAGGGTTATCCACTAGACCATTCCAAAGGAAGGCCCTCTTCATTGACCATTACAAAATGACAATTAATAGTAGAATTTATTATTGGTGTTCATGTAAATAGTGGCTTTAAGAGTTTTTCTTGTAAGTGTACATTCTACCTTGCCTGGTGTTACTGGAATATGCATACTATTCTGCAGGTAAATTTATAACATTTTTGGAGTTTAACAATGGCTAAAAATAATAATTTCTTTATTATGCCATTTTATTAAATATTTCCTAATATACTTGTGAAGCTATTAATTTCCTCTACATAATTATGCCTGCATGTCTTCAGTTTATTGTGACATTATGTTGATGTATAATACACTGATATTAATATTTTCATATTGTGAATCAACTTGTACTGAAATGTCTTGTATCAAAACAACCGGTAACCTGGATAGTTGATCATAATTATGCAGGGTTATCCACTAGACCATTCCAAAGGAAGGCACTCTTCATTGACCATTACAAAGTGACAATAGTAGAATTTATTATTGGTGTTCATGTAAAGAGTGGCTTTAAGAGTATTTCTCGTATGTGTACATTCTACCTTGCGTGGTGTTACTGGAATATGCATACTATTCTGCCAGTAAATTTATAACATTTTGGGGGTTTAACAATGGCTAAAAATAATAAATTTTTTATTATGCCATTTTATTAAATGACTGTTAGATACCATTTTTAATTTCCTAATATACTTGTCAAGCTATTAATTTCCTCTACATATGCCTGCAAGTCTTCAGTTTATAGTGACATTATGTTGATGTATAATACACTGATATTATTTTATAAGATACTGATTTAAAATATTATTGATAATTATAATTAAGATTAACAATATTATACTAGATATGTACATTAATTTTTAAAAAAAAAACAAAACAGCAAAAATGACATTGGAAACTTTACATTTTTCAGAGATGGGGTGCAGCTGATTGCGAGTGATTCTGAGTGAGGAATGATCTAGGGTGAATCAGAGTCAAAAAATAATATTGATCTAGTATAGGAGGACACACACGTACAGCTGTAACTCCCTTCAAAAGTTCCATTTTTTTTGCTTGCAAATCTGTAAGGTTACAATTTTCCAGTGCTGTTGTTTACCTGTAACAGAATAGGTCATGTAGTCTAGCAGAATCTTCTTCTTTTAAAAGACTGGCCAATCACCAATGTTTAAACACTTGGGAATTTCAATATGAAAGAACTTTGCCCAATTCCTGGTACCAAGTAAAAATGTAAGGCTACCTGAGGTTATACGTAAGAGTTGTAGCAATATTGTTAGGTGCAGGTGTATTGTTATTCTGCAGGTGATGAATACCCTGGGTGCCAGAGACTTTTCTAGTATGGTTTCCAGTTTCTGTCAAGTCTTTACAGTGACCCACCTACAGCCCAAGATGTGTCGGCCTTCAGCCAACACTGAAAATTCCCACCGCACACGAGAAAAACCTCTGGTACCCAGTGTACGTGATGAACCTAAAATGCCTTTACTTTCTATTAATAATAACAATGATTATATTTGCTGTGGTAACAGCCTTTTCTTTTATGCCTGTTTTGGGGCATTTTCTTCAGTGTTCAATGCCTCAAAAGGATTCACCAAAATTAACAAGATGAATAAAGAATCATTTTCATATCAACGGCTTTGCACTTAGCCTCACTTTGAAATGGAGTCTTGGTGCAACTCAGAAGTGCCCAGGCTATTCCAGTCTCCCCTCTATAAGTCAAGTACAGATTTTTTTCCTGTTCATGCAGTGTGATTAAAGGTCGGTATTCACCTTGATCCTGTTTGTTTATGAAGAGCAGCATTTTCTTCGTCTTCGACGTCGTTGATGAGTGTCTTCAAATTGCAAATGAACAACACCAGCATCTAAATTGTAACTAGCACTCTTGTCATTGCAATTACCAAGGCATGAACGACTAGTTGGTTTCATGGGTGTTGCTCTCTTATTTAAATGGCTCGCTAGTTTATGAAGCATGTCCTGTATACCTTCACCTGTTAAGGCTGAAGTTCTAAACTGCAACACAAACGCATTCTTTGGAATTGATGACCTCAATTTATCCTCTGTGAAAGTTGGTTCTAAGTCTATCTTGTTTGTGATCAAAATGAAGCAGGCACCTTGCGCATGGATTTTGGCAAACTTCAGGATTTCAATGGCCTGGCTGAGAGATTCTTCGTCGTTTACACTGTACACAATCAACACAGCCTGGCTGAGTAAATAGTGAGAGCGAGTTAATGTGGCATGTTGTTCAAGTCCAGCAGTGTCCCACAGGTTTAGCTGCAAATTAAAGTGGAAAATATCACTATTAAAAGACAAAATATGCCACATCCCTTGGTTTAAGGGCAAAAACGTTCACAACATAAATTCAGGGTTGTGCTCTTATAGACTGCGAGCAGTCTCTTATTTTTCTTTGCAAAGTTACTGCACGCGAAACCTAAGGACGCGAGAAGTAAGGGCGTGGTTTGCAATCGCACTGGATAACTGTAAGAGCTAGACGGATTTTAAGAGAAAAGGTGGATTGCAAGCAGTCTAGTGCTCTTAGGACAGTTGTCTGGAGTCTAAATAATACTGAAACCCTTGTAATTTCAAAAAGACTCAAGTTCCCCTAAGATGACCGAACAGATAAAATTTTGTAGCGCTGCTTATAGCTAGAATGCATTTCTAGAGAACCGCTAAAACATGGCTAAAAACATTCTGGACAGTTTAAAAAGTGATTGCAACATAACACTCTTTTTTTTATCAGAAAGTTGTTTCTCCCGCCCGAGGCTGAATGTTCTTATTTTTCTGCCGATTTCAGTCTGAAAATATTCCAGTATTATTCTTAAATTATAGCTTATGTCATTTCCGTTTTAGAATATATTGGGGTATCAATTATAGTAAGTGCAGGTTTTTTCGTTTTGTTGGCGGGTTTTGCCGCTTAGAGAATGGCATAAGTTCAAAACATATAATTGTATTGTATTTAAGTTTTTAAGCACACAAAATTATATCTTTTTCAAAATCTCAGCCTGAGGTTTAGTATTAAAATATTCTTAAATTTTCGCAAATTTCAGCCTCAATATTCTTCTTATAAAATATTTTCTTATAGAAAAAAAGAGTGTATTTTGGAGGAAACCTTCGTTTGGAGCCCCTGCTTCGTTGGTCTTGACCACTTTCAATTGCATTTTGTAATGATTTGACTATGAGAAGGGTTAAGACAGGCTCCGTAGAGACATAAACGTGAGAAGGTAAAATGAAATCAGCGTTGATGTTTGCAAATCAGTGTGAGGAAATTGTCTGAAACTGGGACACTAACACTAACAGCACGGCGAACTGCCTAAGACATACAGTATTCAATTATAAGATCATCATATGCCACCCAGGTTTTTATAGTGCAGTGCCTTTTTCCTTACATAAAAGCTACTCAGTATCAGGCTCCGAAAGCGAGAAATAAACGTCTGTTAGGCTACCATCGCCCATAATTTTCATGTGGCGGCTTTTCCGTTGGTAGCGCAAGTGGCTCAACGCGGAACAAGCCCTTTCTAGCAGTGCAGTTAAGGTCTTGGCCATAAATTCTTTCCAAACGTCAAGTTGCTGCGTATTTCAGTCTATTTCAATTACGTGGTATCTGAATGTTGTGACCCTGTGGGTTCATGGTCTCTGGACTCAACAGCGTCAAAAGTTGCATGCCGTCCGTAGCAGGATTTGATTCTGGCCACTCCGACAGCTGTAACGGTGAGTAGGTTGGGGGGTCACCATCATCACTGTCGCTGTCGGTACTAGTGTTTGGTACTGTGTTCCAAGTTCTTTCACCCCTCTGACCATTCTGCTCTTCAGTTACAGGAAGAAAGTCACATGGTAGTTGCAAGTTTCTGTGAAGGACACGCTTCTTACCATTGCCTCTCTCCGGCTTTAACTCATAGACCGGGCTCTTCCCTTTCTTTCCACCACTACGTGAATCTGGTCCTCCCAGTAAGCCCTAAGTTTACCCGGTCCCCCATGCTCTGAAAGATTCCTCACGAGAACTCTGTTAACTGGTTACAAGGTTGTAAAGTGGGCTTTGCGATCTTAAAATGACTTTCCCTTGAAAGCTAAGGAGCGAGCCTTTTCGGCAGCAAGTGTGTATGCTTTTGACACAACAGACTTCCATTTCAAGACATAAGTGCTATGACTGCCCTTCACTAACTCTAGCAAAGTTCCAAGAACCGTATCAACTGGTAAACGAGGTGAACGCCCAAACAAAAGAAAGAATGGGGAGTATCCTGTTGATTCGCTCCTTGCACAATTGTATGCATGTACAACCTTTGGGATGTACTCATGCCACCTACCCTTCCGTCCTTCGGGAAGAGTTCTTAGCATTGACAGTGGGGTCTTGTTAAATCTCTCGGCCTTCCCTTTGCATTGTGGGTGATAAGTTGTCGTCCTTGAACGGACCATTCCACAAAACTGCTGTAACTAGTGAAACAATTTATTGTCAAATTCTCTTCCCTGGCCATGGAGGATTCGAGCTGGAAATCCAAAGCGCAGCATGAAATCGTTAAAAAGCTTGTCCGCTGCTGTTCGAGCCGACTTATTTCTTGTGGGATAAGCTTAGGAAAAACGGGTAAAGTGATCAACAATAACAAGACTCATGTCCACCAGAACTTCTTTCCAAGTGTAGGTAGTCAATAGATATTAAGAGGGGCACGTGTCGAAATATTTGGGCGTCCTTGTTTCCGGCAGCTTACACACCTTGGTTACAACGTGAGTGAAATCGCGTTCCATGTATGGCCAATAAAATCTCTCCTGAGCTAACTGCAGTACTCTCTCTGATCCTGGGTGGCCCATCTCCTGGTGTAGTTCGTTAGAGACCAGAGGGAGAAATTGCTTTGGTAGAACTAACTTTAAATTTTCTCCACACCTTCTTCTATTTCTTCTTATTTCTTTTTCTTCTTCTTCTTCTATTTCAGTGGCTATATTTGATTAAACATAGTGACAACTCATCTTCATCATTCGAGTTCTCTGAACTTTCGGTAAAGTTTGGTTCATTCGCCGTGCGAATTGTGATTGTTTACCGCCCGCCTTGCACCAAATCCTTTGTTAGTGAATTCACGTCGTATTTAGAATCTATTTATTTTATCCATGGAACCAATCCTGATCGTTGGCGATTTTAATCTTCATGTTGACGTAGCTGGTGATGCAGTTGCTGGCGATTTTCTGAATATTTTGGAATCCATGGGCCTAGAACAACATGTAGCTGGACCTACTCACAACCACAGTCATACCTTGGATCTGATAATCACTTGTCAATCTGATTCGATCATAAAGAATTATCCCACAATCGGTCAATTCTTCTCTGACCATACAGCTGTTCTTTGTGATCTTAATTCCATAAAGCCTGAAGCAAGTGTCAAAACTGTCACCTGCAGGAACGTCAAGTCAGTTAACATTGAATCTTTTAAAGGTGATCTTGCCAAATCAGCCCTGTGTAATGAAAACATTGTCAATTTAAGTCTGGATGGCCTTGTTACCTGTTATAATTCAACCCTTTCGTTACTCATCTAATGTCACGCTCCTTTGAAGACTAGAACTGTGGTTAACAGGCCTCGTGTGGCCTGGTTTAACGATTCGATCAAGGCTGCTTTCAGGGAAAGGAGAAAAGCGGGCGGAACTGGAGGGCTACAAAGGATCCAATGCATTATTCTGCATTCAAACAGAAAAAGAATCATGCAACACTGCTTATGAACCAGGTGCATTGTACATATTACAATGAGTTCATTGAGAAAAACAGCTTCGACCAAGGCAGGCTGTTTAAAGCCGCCAACTCCTTATTATCAGAATCAAAGAAATTATCCCAGCCCGGTGGATCTAACGCTGAGGTGGTTGCAATAACATAGGCAGGTTCTTCATTGACAAGGTGACAAGCATTCACTCTAAACTAGGAAATGCTGTGAATTCTAATGTGTCAGCACAAGATCTTGCTTCTAATTCATTTACCAGCTGTAAATCGCTGTCAATGGATGATGTACGCACATTATTATGCGATCTTCAAAAAAGTCATGTTCATTAGATCCTGTACCCACGTCATTGGTAGTTGAGTGTATGGATGAACTCTTGCCTGTAATTACGTTAATTATTAATTTATCCTTGCAGTCTGGTCATTTCCCTGAAGTATGGAAAGAGGCAGTAGTAACACCTTTATTGAAGAAGTGTGGATCTGACTCGTCCAATTTTACAAGAATCTACGTCCTGTTAGTAATCTATCCTATATTTCCAAGCTCACGGCGAGTGCTGTTGCGGATCAGATTCAATCGCACATTGCTAAGAACAATCTGTATCCAGTGTTCCAGTCTGCATGCAGGAAACTTCATAGTGCGGAAACAGCTTTGTTGAAAGTTCACAATGACATCCTGACAAATAAACATGAACAAGCAGCATGTGAACCTCCTCGTTCTGTTAGACTTGAGTGCTGCCTTCGATACTATCGACCCTAGTATTTTGCTAACACGTTTAAGATCAAAGCTGGGTCTGAATGGAACTGCTATTTCGTGGTTCTGCTCTTATCTATCTCGAAGAACACAACGAATATCTGTTCAGGGAGCGCTTTCAAATGTATTTCATCTTCGTTATGGCGTTCCCAAGGGATCATGCCTAGGTCATGCTAGGTCCCCTTTTGTTTAACATATATACAAGCAAAATCTTTGACATTGTCGGTCGTCACCTTCTAAAAGATCATTGTTATGCAGATGACTCCCACCTTTATTTCTCCTTTAACCCAAGCTGTGCTTTTAGTCAAGATGAGGCAATTAGATCAATGGAAACCTGTATCTCGGACGTTAAGCAGTGGATGACCTCGGACAAACATGCTTAATGACGACAAAACCGAACTTATTGTAATAGCATTACGACATCTATTGAAAAAGGCCACTGTTAACACTATCAGGGTAGGAGATTGCGATGTAAGCAGTGTCTGTTGTGCGGAATTTGAGTTCTTGGTTCAATGATCAACTTACTACGGCCGTACACAGTACCAAAATATGCAGTGCTGCTTTCTATCTCTTGCACAGTATTAGACGCACAAGGAAATACCTTTCAATGGGTGCAGCTGCGACTGTTATCCACTCTTTTGTTAGTAGCCGAATAGACTTCTGTAATAGTCTGTTATATGGCGTGCCTAAGTGCCATATTGACAAGTTGCAGAGAGTTTAAAAAACGCAGTTGCCAGACTTGTTATTATGCAGGGCAAATTTTGCCATATTACCCCTGTGCTCCATCAGCTGCATTGGCTTCCTGTCTCATTTCGTATTAATTTTAGGATTTTACTTTCAACTTTCAAAGCCATTCATGAAGTTGCACCGTCCCATATCAATTAATGATCTTGTTAAAATTAATCCTTTAAACTCAAGATGTAGACTGCGATCTAACGACGGAATACTGCTGTCTCGCCCGAATTTTAAAACTTTAACAACCCTGGGCGACCGTGCTTTTGTTGCTGCGGCGCCTAAACTCTGGAACGATTTACCTCTGGAAATTAGAATGGCCAAATCTGTTGACACTTTTAAAAGATCATCTTAATAAAGGCCCATCTTTTTAGTTAAGCTTTTCATTCTTAGCTAGGTTTACTGAATACCTATACACGACTATGCCGAAGACTTACCTTTTAGTAAGGCTTTTTTGATATTATATACAACACATGATTATTTATCATTTAGTTGTTTGTAATTCTATGTATTGTTGTAATGCGCAGTTGATCATCTCGCCATGAAAACTGCACAATATATAGCCTTAATTATCTATCTATCTTATCTAGCTATCAAAAGACCATCTCCTCCAACCTCTAACTTTGGCCATTCACGCAACAGTTTTCTTGTGTAAGGAAGTTCCCTCCCAATCTCATGGGCAGCTGGTTTACGGCCATCCATTTTGTATTCTAATTGCTAATACTTGGACCTCGTTTTTCGGATGCCAAAATAACATGAGGTTTAATCTTGTGATAGTTTCTTGAATGAATGGGATCAGAATTGAGGTTCAGTGTTTCTTTCGCCCCACTTACTGCTGTGATCCAGACAGCCTCACCATTCTGAAGTGCCATTATGCCAGAGAAAGTTGCGCTGATCACCTCTTCAGATGTCGTCTTAGCACAGGCAGGCATATACTGATTAATATTGAGGGAAATCCTTGACAACGTATCCACATCCTTGTTCACTTTCCTAGATCTATACCTGATGTCAAAATTAAATCTGCAAGTTCTGCAACCCAACGATGTCCCATTGAATTAATCTTGGCTGAGGATAGGACATAAGTCAGGGAATTACGTTCTAATTCGCTTCGCTCAAACGCACGTAAATCATTTTACCCTTAAATTCCCGTAATACAAACAAATCACACGAGAAATATGGTAGGATGCGCAAGCAGATCCAAAACACATATGAATATACAAAGTAAAGAGGAGGCTCCTTTTTCTTACCACGAAAAAGCTGATTATCAGCGCCCAAAGCAATTCTTGGTTTCTTTCCACGATCGCTGGAGAGTTGTTCCTTTTGACGTCTCTTGCGGCTCGCTGCTTCTCTTGCCTTCTTAAGACGCTTTTCATCTTCGGAGCCGGATGCAAGCTCGTCCGACTCGTACTCGGCTACAACCTGCCAGCCGTCCCTACTTTTATCAGCGATTTTTATCAGCTTCTGTCGCTTTCGAATACGTTGCCTGCCTTCTTGGGAAAGTTTCTTCATCTGCGACAAATTAGGCTCGATGCTTTCACTTTCAGTTTCAATGCTTTCAAAAATGGCATCTAATTCGACATTAAGCTCAAATTGTTTCTGGTTACCTTTGAACTTTAGCTGTACAACTTCTTTATCTAACTTACTCCTTTGTTCGATTTGCTTTCCTTTATCTTCTAATTTTTTCTCAAGAAAATCCTTAAACATGGAAAAGACTTGATCAACGGCTGCTGAGTTGCCTCCACTATCACCTGAAGTTTGGCCAACTTCAGCCGCACGGACGAACCTTCGCTCTCTTTTTGATCGTTGGGCATCACACGAATAGGAAAAACACAAACCAGAAAGATGAATAAACTGTATGGAACAGCGAGCGTGAATGGTACTCAAGAGACAACGGAGAGTATAAATACTAATAACTGGCCAATCAGGACATCAATGCAAAACAGAATGCACAATAGTGGGTGCGGCAGGTGTGAAACGAAAACAACTGCGACTAATTACTTGGAATAACAGCGGAAAATACATTTATTGTCAGTGTACACAGTGAATGATGGCGCATAATAAAAGTAATCCCTGATCTGTTCGCAGACGGCCCATTTGCGCGCTAGAAATTCTAAATTTTCCTGAATGAAGGTGATAGTTTTCCTCCGGAGAAGTCAGTGTCCTTGTCCCTATCACACGCATTTGTCCAGACTGACACCGATAAAGCACAGCCCCTAGTCCTTCCTATGAAGCGTCTGTGTGCAGGACAAATGGCAGACTATAGTCCGGGCAGCTCAAGATTGGTGGGCTAACAAGACAGTTTACAAGGTGTTCCTAAACTTCTTGGTGTTCCTGTGTCCAAACGACCCGATGGCTAGACGGCACACTGTTACCTTTCTGAACACGCTGTCCCCTTGGATTCGCAGTGCTGCTCAATTTTACGTTGGGCGTCTTTTAAGACACTTCTTAAAAGAAGTTCAAAGAGGGGTTGTGCAATCCTAGAGAAATCCTGGATGTACTTTTGGTAGTACCCTAACAAGCCCAGAAGTTTCCTGACGTCATCCACGGTTCATGTTTTGGTTCTTTTTAAGTCTCTGTGATAACACAGCCGGAGTATTCGATGGGTCCACATGATATCCATCAGCAGAGATAATTCTTCCCAGATAATTGACTTCTCTTTTAAACAGCTTGCATTTCTTTGCTTTCAGTTTAATTCCGTGCGTCTGGATATTTTCTACGTCTTCATTGAAGGTTTTGCTAGAGACAATTATGTCATCCAGGTAGGGAATGCAAATGTTGTCTCTTAGCCCCTGAAGGCAGTTCTCCATGTACGTTTGAAATTCCACGGGCGCATTCCGGAGCCCGAAGGGTATCCTCACCCACTCATAAGACCCCACGCTGTTACAAAAGCAGTAATGTGTTGACAGTCCGGACTAATAAATCCCTGGTGATAGGCTTTTCGTGGGCTCAATAGTGAGAAAATTCATTACCCCGAGATTCTCGGCAGTTGACTGGACACGAGGAAGTGGTTGACGGTCAGGTACTGTCCTCCTATTGAGCTCATGAAAGTCAACACACAGTCTTACAGAACCATCCTTTTTCCGCACACATACTACAGGTGATGAGTAAGCTGATCGTCACTTCTGCACCCATCCACAATTAAGGAGATCCTCAACATACTGCTTAACTTCTGGGTACAATGGCTTGGGTATAGCTGTGTAGTTCTTCTGAACTGGGCGACTGTCTGAAAGGTTGATGTTGAGCTGTAGACCTTCTACGCACCCTACATCTTCATCACCTTTTGAAAAGGATTCTGCTTCGTCTCTTAGCATCTCCATCACTACAATTTTCTGGTCTTCTGTCAGGTCTCCCAAATCAACTTCAAGAACTGGGCAACTTGTTTCTGGGCTTTTATCAAGCATCTCTCTGACATATTCTTTTACTCTCTGATGTCTCATCAGCTAGAGAAACACCATCCACTGAATCCTCATTGTCTGATTTCTTTCTCATTTCGAGAGGAGTCACAGATTTTACCAACTAAAGTTTGCTTAACACCGTTCGGTTTTTCAGGGTGATATCATGCTCTGTAGTGTTTTCTACTTGGATACCAACACGTGATAAAGCATCTCCCTTAAGGGACACTAATGTTTCTGGGATTACAAGTCCTGATGGCCATGTTGGTTCAAACAGTATAGGAAGTCTTGATTCAATTGGACCAGTATTTACTGAGCAAGTCACTACTACTGTCTCGTTCTTTGGGATCACATTCCTCTTTGTTACCCTTACACTACACAATTCACTTCGTGAGGATGTCCTAATAACGAAGATAAAGGCTTCAACATTCTCCCGTTTAATTTCAATACAGCTCGCACTCTGGGCATTAACCATTGTCCTTTCATCATTGCTAGGAGATTGACTTTCGGTACTTCTAACCATTTCTTCAATAGGTTGTGTCTGTGGAAATCAGGAAGCGTACCGATAAAGCATGTTTATCATCATAAGTCGCAAGTTTAAATGAGATTTCAACCCAGCCTTCGTATGGAATTTCAGTACTATTAGCTGCTTTTTCAATATTCCTACGACTCTCAGCTCATCCATTCTTTCGATTCGATAAACATCTGGGCTCCTATGTCCCACAATGCATCGGTAGCAACATTGCTCATAATACATTTCACCAGGCATCGTTTACCAACCAACTTCGCTACTTTACCTTGCCAAACGGGAGTTAGGTGACTAATATTATGCTACTGCCATCTACAGCCTTTTCCTCCTTAGTGCACAGGTATTTTATGGCACTACACAGTGATTTATGCTTTACCCACTGGGTTGCTTGACATTTCTTAGAACAATAGTGGACTGAATGACAACTAGAACACTGCTTCTGCAATCAGGGGAAACCCCCTCAATAAACGGTTAACACATACATGGGACCCTTTAACATTGTCGGCGGCTACTCCCTGTCCCGCGGTGATAGCCTCCTTTGGTTTCCCATCCCCGAAAATAATGATCACTTGAGCCACAGTGGTAATAATGATCACAAAAATCTTGGTTTGTTTGTTCGCAAGCTGCACAGAAACGACTACGTGGAAATGGTCTCCTATTCTGGGGCTTTTCCCTTGCTGTTAAGCCTTCTGGCTACCCAAACCTTTCTTCAGGGCAGCAACATCTGATTTTACGGCCTCTAGGGTCACCCTGAGCCGGTGTCTGTCAGGTTTTGATTTTTTTATGTGTACTACTTTTCTTTGAATGCACTTGTACCCCAAATTCTCTACCACTTGTAAGGAATTCACTCTAACACTTCTTTTATAAGCAGCACCAAATTTACCCTGCCTCTCAATTTCTTTCGAAACTGCAATGTTAATCTGTTCCATCAGTTCTTCGTCTGTGACATCTGCTTTCTGAGGGAATGGTCGAAATTTACTACGTATACAGCCTCATCCCGTAAACCTGTTTTTAACTACATGAAGGAATAAGGGGTTAACCAGCGAGGGCTCATATTTCGCGCGCTACTTTCAGCTTGAGGTGCAAAAAGGATCAGTTGTCTTAAATCAAGGGCCCTCATTAGAAAGTCTTGTGGAGTTTCCAAAGACGATCTTAGCTTCAAACTAGGGCTAACTTCACGAATAACAGCATCAATAATCTCTCGTTCCTTACATCCTCTCTCAAGCCCCGCGTCAATCTGGCGAATTGGACTAACAAAGGAAAGTCGATCCTTCTGCTCCTCCCCTCCGATTACACCAAGAATCTTAAAATCCCTCCAGAAAGCGTTTTCAACATAAGAAAGTGACACAACTTCACCTTCTTGTTGTTTTGACAATGCGGCAACCGTTTTAGCTGACTCGATGCCCTCAAGTTTGATCGAAGCCTCTTCCATCTTCTTCTTGTACGACTCAAGCGCTTACTTGAATTGTTTACTTGGCGCTTCGTATTCTGTTTTCACTTTCGCCACCTCTTCGTTTTTAACCGCAGTACTACCCGTTCCCTCAAGTGGCGGGGGCGTTTCTGACACAAAATTCCATTCTTTCAAGATATTTGACCTTACTCTCGCTTTCTTCAAGCTCTTCCTCGACCTATAGCGCGAATAGTCCGTGACATGGCAAGCTTGGTTTTTCCTTTGAACTCCTTGGATTTCAAACCCACATGTTCCGCTAACTGCTCTATTCCTGTCAACGGGAGCTAACAAATTCCTCCCTCGACTCTTAGAAGCAGTTCGTCGACCTCTGAATCTGTCATGTTCCTTGCAAACTCACTTTGCACAGAAAAACAGAAACAAACACTTGAGTTTACACCAATATTATACGAGACAAAAGCGATGTCATGACGCTTCGATCACATCTGTTTTCCACTGCGAGCTTCTACGCCATCGAGCCGTCCTGGCAGGGTCGCCAGAATGTTGTCAGGCTCGCGGAACAATTCCTCAAAATACAACAAAGTTTTATTTTATCTTACACTACACGATCATGGATCAGTCGATTACAATCGCCCGAAAGACTTACACTCGCTAAAGAAGCTCATACTCACACGAGACACGAGGTACGTGGTCTTTAAGTCATCTTACATCTGCTGGAGTTAATGCAACCTCTCTAAATGGGCGATGGCATAAGAAGTCATGTGCCAGCAGCTAATACCTGATTGGAAATTTTATAATCTTGCTGATTGTTTCGCTTGCACCTCAAACTTCATGATCCCTCTTACTCCGTTCTGTTAATTTGTCAAATATTTGCAAATTTTCCTGGAGTTGAAATCTAAAGGAGTACTGTTGGTGTGTAAGTTCAGGAAAAGAGGGCAAATTTGTTTTCTTGTGTTTACGTCCAATTAAAACCTGAATTTAGGGAGTTACAATGCTAAGTAAATGTACAAAAAAGCATGATGCATATGAAAAAGTTGTTGCTTATCTAAAACTATTGCTATGTAGCCTTTCTTGTTGCAGCCATTGCTGTTGTTGTTGATTAACCTCCCTGCTGATAAAGCATTTAATACATCTCTGCAGTATGGCACCCCTGTGTTGCATTATTGCTCAAACGTTTGAGCACTTTTGGGCATCTTGTAAAGTGAAAGGGTTAATAAAATGCTTAAAATAACAATAAGAATACCTTTATTTTTGTTTCCTTTTTTAGTTCAACTGACACATTACACTCCACAGGATCAAGGGTATTTCTTGCACAACCTTTCCAAGGGCTGTCCAAGTCAGACCCACACATACGTCTAAAAATTGATGTCTTTCCCACTCCAGTCTTTCCACATAGCACAACCTTATAGGTCTTGACCTTGTTGGAGGTCTGACAAAAGGGAATTGCATGTGGTAGTTTAACATAAAAGTATAAATGTGGCAAATATGAAACGTTCCCCTCTCTGAGGGAGCACTTAATTGACAAAGTATTTTTAAGGCTGGATTTCTTCATTATCATAATTAAGAAGAAATCCAGCCTTGAAAATACTTTGTCAACAGAATGCCCTCTGAGAGAGAAAATAGCAGGATACATTAGTGGTGTGTTCACGAAGGCTATCACTAAGATTTCAAGTTGCCGGGTGATTACAACAAGTAGGTGGGGAATCAAACAGGCAGTGATTTTTTTTGCTTCTGTTTTTCTTCTATTTTCCTCTATAGAAGTAGCTGGGAACAATGTTCATAGTAGCCGGGAAAAATTCCCAGCCCCCGCCTCCGCCCTTATTAATGACACTCCTGAGTGCCAATCATCAATTAAAATTGATCATTAATCAAAATCTTCAAGCAATGCAATGATCAATTATTGAAAATGTTCATTAATTATTGCCGGGAAAAAGTATAATTTCTTGTACGCAAAAGAACAAATTAAAACTTAGTGTGTTTTTCGGAACAGTCAACACAATGATTGAAAAATTGTCAATAGTACCTTCATGGACATTTGTAAGCTGGTTATTAAATTTCAGAGTTTGCCTGTTATTCAAAAGCGGACTGAGTAAAGTTTTCTTGAGCTTTGCGTACCAAAGAAACCGATGAAGACTGAGCCCGCTCAAATACCCTTTTATTGCCCCCGCACTCTCTGGGTGTGAGGGTTCAGGGTTTGCTATGCCAATCACAAACCTTAACTAGCAAAGAGTAACAAAGAGTTTATTAGTATTAATATCATGGGTGACGAATTACTCCTTAATTTCGGCGCCAAATTTCACATGTAAAGTTACAAAGTTGCCATGGCAGCGTGCTGTACGTCTCAAGGCCAAGATGGCGACGAAGTTTTATAATGTTATGAATTGAGGATGTCAGGGCATTAAAAGACGTTTTATATAGAAAACCTAATCACACGAAATTAAAGAGCACATCAAGAAGGATTCTAAAGGGTATTTTGTGGAAAACTTCTGAAAATTCTGAACTTAAGCCAAATTTAAGCTCCAAACTTTTTGAGAGAGTGGAGTTCTCGATCGATTTATACGATAAAACCAGGATAAACATGTAAAAAATCCATGACTTCAAACGTTATTCGTCACCCTTGATATTAATAGGCAATCAAATGGTATACTCGTGAAATTAAGGAATAATTTCACTTGCAAAAAGCTCGGGAAATTATTAAGATTTGGACAAAACCAGACAACGCGTGTGAAATTATTCTCTAATTTCATTCGTCACCATTTGATTACACATACTTATACTACCGCATGAGAAATTTCTACAATTTGATTGGCTTAGAGCAGCAAACCGATTACCTTAACACAACTGACAAATTAAGAAAATTTTTGGGAAAAAGAATACCATTGTAATCCTTTCTTTCGCAGAGATCCTTTTTCTGTACGAGGTTTGGCATAAAACATCAAACATTGCAGTATAGCCCGCACTAAAGGACGTGAGCTAAAGGTCGTTTCAATAATTGTAGACTGTTTGTACAATATTATTGAATCGAACCAGCAGCATATAACCCCGAAGCGTCTAACTTCTCGTTATCTGTTTAGAACCATGCTGGGGTTTTTTAGCCGTCCAATCAGAGGCACGGAAATTTTTTTGCCCAAATATGCAATCAGAGAATTGAAGGCATCCCCGTCTAAAAAGTAGCTACTAACGAATTCTTCAAATCCTTAACAGTTCTACAAGTACATCCACAAATCAACAATAGTCCGTTGAGTCGTTTAAATTTGTTAAATAACATAATCAACGGACAAAAAACATTTAAGTATTTACAGGTAACGGAGCCAACGAGTGTGTTTACATTTGCGTGCGCTAAGCTGCACTATGGCGAGTACCAACAATTTTCTTTGCGGATACTTTCCGTAAAAAGTAGTCGCAGTTTTCCGTCTCAGTGTTAATTGTAAAACACATGTGTTTTTCTGAACGGACTTTATAGCAACCTTTGGAAACTACCGTGATGTTGACGCATACTCTTTTGAGCACGCATCATGATTAGCTGACCTTATTTTGTCCGGAATAAGTCAATCCTGGCCATTTTGAATTCCTATTTCGGTCAAATTTTACTTCGTAAAACTGTAATTGCTCTTTGTAACGCTTCGTTTACATCGCGATACAAAGTTTTCATAGCACTAGCGGGACAATCTCGCGTATCATTGATTCGACATTAGGAAGTAAATTTTGATTGGTTCTCCAAAAAACCCCAGCATTGAAACAGAGTTATACGCCTCAGGGTTATATGCTTCTGATCGAACCAAGAGAGAATGAGTTAGCTCATTCTCTCTTGATCGAATGTTTCAAATATAATAATTATACTACATATTATTTGTTTCAAATTGATCATAATAACTTTTTTTCTGGAGTAGTGATGAGTTATGCGGCATTATTCTCTAATTTCTTACCTCGACGGTTACGCGTCGATCCTTAACTTTGATAGTGTCGTCAGGCCAATGTGAGAACGTCGTTGTGTCGCTAAGAAAGTCATCGCCCCGAAAACGACGAAAAATAGAGGTTTGACCGACATCACTTCTCCCGCTCAAGGCAACATCGTACAGACGCAATTCCCTATTCTCTCCTTGAGCCGTACTGCCAATCTTCCTAATTGAAAACCACCAACAAATCAGTGAAGAAATCCCCCAAGGGGACTCTCATACGAAAGGGGCGGGGTTGCCCGTCGTCTCACTTAGGGGTGTAAATTTTGGATTTTGGTCTCACTTAGGGTGTTCTGGGCAAAACGCCATAGTTATATTTAGCCGTAAAGGTTTCTTTTAGGGTTGCGCGCGAAGAAATATAACTAAAAATTTATTTATTTTCAACTCGTTTTATTTACATCTTCATCTACAGCCACATTTTATTTAGTCGGTAAAATTGATTAAACATCGCACCAACATTTTGTAAGAAATAAAAAAACCTAAACCTATATACGTATATGCAAATATTAAAAGATATATCAAAATAAATAGAATTTATGAATACAACACCCTAGCTGTGTCTCATTCATATTTAAGATAATTTACTAAATTTGTTTTAAAACAGTTCAGTGACTTAGAAGTTACAATCTCCGAAAGGTAAAGAACTCCTTTCATATATGGATCTAGGAAAGAAAGAGAACTTGAAAACGTCCTTGCTAATTTTGGGTATTCTATACTTAAACACATGACTCCTACGTGTTCTGGTCTCACTATTCGGCACAAGAAGTTTGTCTGTTTTAATATCTACAAGACTATGGCTTAGTTTGCACATTAGTGTTAATCTGTTTTTTCTTTCTTCGCATTTCTAAAGAATCCTTTTCCAGTTCTTTAAGCATATCTGTAACGCTAGCAGTTAGCTTGAAATTCAGGAGGCAAAAACGCCTTTCTTTGAGCTCTTTCTAGTTTGTACACGTCTTTCTTGTAGTGCGGGTCCCAAGAGGCGCTCGCATACTTTAGTTTAGGTCGAACAATGGAGCAATATGCAGATTCTTTCACATTGTTGGGGCAATTCCAGAGATTACGTCTGATCAACCCTAGGGTTTTACTCGCATTTGTTGAGATTGAAGCAAAATGCTGGGACCACTTCAACTTGCTATTTACGGTAACCCCTAGATACGAGATAGATTCAACTTGATCAAGTTCAGTTCCACAAAATGTGTACTTGCTCTTTGGTGATTTTGTTCCGTTGAGATGCATAGAATTTTACCTTTCGAGGGGTTGAACTCCATTTGCGAGAATACCATACAAAAGTGCGTCATCAGCAGAGAATTTCACTTCAAAATGCAGTCCATTCGGCAAACCATTTACATACGTCAAGAAAAGTAGAGGGTCCAAGAATGTTCCCTGTGGGACCCAAGAGGCAACGGGGGAAACCTTATATGCCCCTCCTTCGCAAATAACTGTTTGATGACGTCCGGTTATAAAAGATTCAAACCAAGTGAGCAGGGTTCCATGAATTCCGTAATATTCTAGTTTCTTTAAAAAACGCTTATGTGGCACTTTATCGAAGGATGTCGAGAAATCCAAAACTGCGGTGTGCACAGAGGAATTTTGTTGTATTGCATTTGCTATATCATGGACGGTGTGGATTAGTTCGACTTCATTTGATCTCTTAGCTCTGAAGCCATGTTGATGATGTTTAAGGATGTCGTATCGCTCGAAGTGTTTCGTAACATGACTATGTATTTTATACGTTCAAGGATCTTACATGTAATACAGGTCAGCGATATCGGACGATAATTTCTAGGGTCGGATTATTTCTCTTTCTTAAAAACGCCGCACACATTTGCGTTTTTCCATCAACCAGGCAAGGTTCCAGTATTGATTGAATCTTGATAGATATTTGTTAAGATAGGTGCAATTTCAGTCGCATATTCTTTAAGAAACCAGGGAGGGATGGCGTCAGGGCCACAGGCTTTAAACCGCTTTAAAGAAGTGAGCTGCGTCATGACTCCGTTGATAGAGATGTTGATAGGGCTGATTTTTGGCTTAGGGTCATTTCAAACGTTTGGGATACTTGTAAGATCTTTCTTTGTAAAGACACCGCAAAAATGCTCGTTTAAAATTTCAGTCTTCGAGCCTCCATCGATGATTACTGATCCATTAATTTTTTCATGTGAGCTGAAAGGCTCTTCAACTTTTCTTTGATACTAACAGAGTTAGCTCTCTTCCTTTACATTTTTCTTCCTACGACATGCAATGTTCACGCTGAAAAGAACAATATCATGATCCCTGATACCAGGTAAAATCTTTGCACACTCAACGATACTTGGATTATAAGAGAATACGTGGTCTAAAATATTGTTACTCGTTCCGTTTTATCTTGTTGGCTCGTATACGTGTTGACGAAGATCATAGTTGTCTGTCATATCCAGAAGTCTTTCGGATGCAGCAGAATGCGAAGAATTTTCTTTCCAATTTATGTCGGGGCATTAAAATCTCCTGCAATTATCGCATATAGAGCATTTGTCGCCGGGGTTTAACTCAATGTCTTCTCCAAGCAGCAGTAGCATATACGGAGAAATATGGTTGTTCGGGCGAGTGTAGAAGCTGCTGTTCATCTCCACCGGTCGAATGATTCGGTAAAGGACTTCATTTCTAACAGCTAATTTCTCATTCGATGCAAAAGGAGCATAACAAATCGAAACTTTTCCTTTAATGAAATGTTTTTCGTTGCTTGGGATCCATTTCTGCTTGAAAATGCTCGCCAAAAATAGCAAATAAAGTGGAGCCCAGAAACGCGTTGCTGCGCTTATGCTAATCAGTGATGAAATCAAAGTTGAAAATGGTCTCTTTTAGGGGTCAAAAGAGGTTGGGACACCCCCAGATTGGTCTCCTTTAGTGGTTTAATTCAAAATTTCCGACGAGCATCCCCGCCCCTTTCAGATGGGAGTCCCCCAAGGGGAAGAAACAATGGACATAAAAGGCATGAAGGTCTTATGACTCCTTTCCATCCGCCGTATTGGAAAACGCAAAATACGCCAAACAGCATTAGTCCCAGTCCTTGAAAGCTTGCGAGGCCACAAAGCTGTAGCTCAAGTTGAACTGAGAAAGCTTAGCAAAGGGTGGGTGTGTTTCTTTACTAAAATCCAAATCCGGGTTTTTAATCCGAAAACGGATATTTCGTTTCTTTGCTAAAATCCGAAAACAGATTATCAGATCCAAATGATCCACAACGGAGATGGATTCCTTGGATCATATCCAAAACCGGATACTCACGGTGGTCGGCTGCCAACAAAATGGTTACAAACGCTGCAAAGACGACATGTCTCCTTGTTACAGGGAAACGTATACCATGCAAGCTTGACGATTGTTCACTGAAACTCAAACTTGTTTTAACAAGTTTGCGTTTTTTAGGTGTTTGGCAATAGTAACCCCCTAAGAGTTTCTGACCATCAACCTGTTCTATGTCAGAGTTTTAACTCTGGCGTTACTATTGACAAACACTTAAGTTTTGATGTACACGTTGAGGAACTGCGTGAGACGTTATCCCAAAGAATCGCGGGTTCTTAGAAAGATAAGGAGATTCATCCCTATTGAACAGCGCATACTTTACTACAATGCGATGATCAAACAAGTAATGCTGTATGGGTCAACTATTTGGTCAAACTGCTCAGCTGATAAGGGACTGTGCAATAATTACCTGGAGGGGGGTTGGGAAATGGGTGAAATATGCCCCAAAACTAAGTCATACCCCCCTCTCATTAAGCACAAATTAATTTCAACCTCCCCTCACAAAAGGATAATATTATGGCTAACCGCCCCTAAAAAAAGTCTCCTCCCATCGATTCCCTCAAACCTAGTTTACTTGTTGGATTTCTTCCTCTGGTACAAAAATCACTTCAAATGACTCTTCGCCGTATGTCGAAAAGTCATTTGAAGAGTCATCAGAATCACTGGACTCTGAGCTTGTGTCGTCTTCGCATGAATTGGGAGATTCCTCATCTTCTACAGCATCTCTGGCACCAAGGTTCCCGCGCGTGCGTGGGTGAGAACTCAGGAATTCCTGTCTGATTGACCCTTTTTTTGAAGCTCAATTTAATCATACCGTGTTTCATTTACCATAGTTTAAATTTGTATCGCTATTAAAATTTCAACAGTTGGGTTTTTCATTTTGCTAAATTATGATGCCATTTGTGCTAACATTGGCATCTTCCTTTTTCATTGAATAACATTATAGTGCTACTTTTGCAACTTTTAACTAAAGTTTCCTGTTTTATTAAATCCTAGGCAAAAAAAGTAGCACTGTTTTGACATATATAATAGAGGCATTCCTTTCGTACTGCATGACAGATAGGAAAACAACAGTTCATAGATCAGAACACCTTAGAGTTGATGAATTTGTCAGTTTTATTCCAATGTTAGTATTTATATTAGAACTCTAATAACTCTTCCACTACTTTTCCAGTTTGCAAAAAGGAATGAAAAAGTAATGCCCCCCTGTATGTATTAAATTTTATATCCAACCCCCCCCTCTCTTGTTGTCATTTTCGCCTATGCCCCCCTGTAATTTTCCAAACCTCCCCCCTCCAGGTAATTATTGCACAGTCCCTAACTTAACGAGAATCCTCGAGCTGCAAAAACGTGCTGCCCGAGTAATTTTAGGAGCTGACACAAGATCAAACAGAATAAATCTCTTTAACAAATTGGAGTGGCTCCCATTTTATGTCGAAGCTAATGTTAATAAGTGTTCGTTAGTCCAAGGAAACTGCCCCGGCTACATGTTTGACCTTCTTAAATGAAATGCAGATTTACACACACGCAGTGGGCGCTACAGTGCCTTAAACGTCGTCTGCCCCCGATATAATCGTGAATCTGAGGGAGAAAGAACTTTCAGCGTGTCCGTGACCAGGCTCTGGAACTCTCTGCCCATTAACCTTAAGAAAAGAACATATGTAACCTCCTTTAGAAAGGCTACTTATAGTCATTTTTTATCGAAATACAATGACTTTGATCATTTTAGTATACAAGTTTAAGTGAAACTTAATTTTATTTCTTAGTTTTACGCTAATTCGGCATTTCACGACCTTCCTCTCGCTAGACCCATGCTAGTTATGTTCTTATTGTAATTATAGTTTGTAGACATTCATTGTAAGGATATTTTATAATTGTAAAATAGTTTTTACTCTTTTTAGTCTTATTCATATATATACCTATAGTTTTTTTTCTTTTAACGATATGTATTTTTGTTACTTAATTTTTGTTGCTATAGTCTTACGTTTGAGGGCCACTAGTTATTCAGTTGAAGTAATGTCCCTTGTTACCCTCGTTAAATAAATAACAATTACTCACCAAAGTGGAGGTGGCTAGTCGTAAATATTTACCAAGCTGCGAAGCACGAGGTAAATAACCACCACTAGCCACCGACACTGAGGTGAAAAATTGTTTTAGTATATACTAAAACATTGAGATAATTGAGCACAAAAATGATGATTTTTAACTCAAATACTGTTGCCAACGATTACAATTTTGGCGCGTAATGACCGAAAGGCCGCGGCCGTCGCTTTTTCTTGCCGACAAATAAAACTTTTGAAGGCATTTGTTCAGCTCTTGCGGGGAAATTTCTTCAAAAGGAGCTGTGAATTCTTTTTGTATTTAAAATCATTCTGTGAAAAGAGGTTATTAAATTTAGTTTTAAGCTTATTTATGAACAAGTCAACTAAATAAAGTAACGCAAGACTTGAGCTTAATTTGCATTTGTAAACAAAAAACTCTTTCACAGGTTTTTTCGATAAATTCGAGTCAAAAAGACAAAGGTTTACCTGTCAAAACTTCCAAACCGAACTTCTTCGCCTTCCTCGTGTATTTCGGGAACAGCTTGCTTGACTAGTTGTGAAATTTCTTTGTTTGTTGCGGCAGCAGACCGGGAAAGCATTTTGCTCGCAACTTACGCGAGTTTGGCGTCGCTCGCTCGGAGGAACTGGAGGTGAATCAATGGATAGCGCAGGATATTCAGTGATTGAGAAGCCCATCAGAGGGCGCAAAAAACACTATCCGCTGTTTTCGTTTATACAATGATGTGAATGCTACGCGCGCTGTGATTGGTCGTTGCCCATGATCTATTAGAGTACAGATACATGGATGACGTCACGGGAAACTTGTTTTCTTTGTTTTGTTCAACTTGGCACGCGGTTTTGAAAATGTTTGTGAGATTATTTCGGATTGAGGCAAGTGAAAGCTTCGGAAAAAGTTTAGCAGGAGCTATTTACAAAGAAGAAAAATGGAGAAACGGAGACCAAAGAAGCTATTGACTACTTGACAATGCCTAAACTACAAGAAATCTTCACAACAGTTGCCATCGTGTGTCTTCGCTACGAGAGACTCGCTGTTTTGCAAAATGTTTTCGCTATTATTCTTCTTTGCGCAAGAAAAGACGGTGAAAAACTTTTCGAAGAAACTGTACACAAGTAAGATAAAGAAGAAGCTAAGATGAAAAGTTGGGTTTGGGACTTAAAAAATGCCTAAACTAGCACAAATCCTCAAAAGGTCAAGCGGTTCGAGGCAGGTATGTGTATCGGACTTTTTCTTTTCTGATCATTGTATAACACAAATAGATTCCATGTTGCCGTGGGTCTGTTCAGTAATAGATCACAGAGGACGTCAAAATGTGGTAAAAAAAACAGTGACACACTCGCCTGCGGCTCGTGTGCCACTTCTTTGTTTTTACGACATTTTGACGTCATCTGTGATCTATTACTGAACAGACGCACGGCAACATGGAATCTATTTGTTAAATATATGTATAGCTGATTATTATTATTATTATTATTATTATGTTCCAAAGGGTTTCTTTACTACAGATCCGAAAAGAGTGAATACTGCCTGCAGTAACACAAAAAACGTTTAATACATACATCGGCTATTTGACTACACTGCTCATCTTTACGGCCATTTTTGAACCCGAGACGTGGATTAAACGATCGATTTTGTCTGCCTTTTTTATCGGAGATGGAAAATCGCAATACAAACAGGACCTGCAATGTTGTAGTTCATAGTCACAAGGAAAAAACTGCAACACAACTAGCACTTCGCCCGCGTGTCTTGTGAGACTTCACTTTTCCAATACATATCTTATTGCAAGACTTGTCTTTATTTGGCCCCTCTAAAGCATGCAATATCCTTGAGCTAATGGTCAGAATCGAATACAATAAAAGCTCAGCAAACTTGCAACATTGTCAGCGGCCGTGTTATTCTTTCTTCGTGATCCGTCGATATGGAAATGAATGAAAAATAATCCTTTTTTTTGGATACATCGCTTTTTTTTCTCAACGAAAAATCCTAATGATCCGGATTTTTGATCTGATCTAGGATTTTAGTAAAGAAACGCACCCTTTAAAAGTTAGCCTATTTCTTCTTCCCACTGTATGTGATACCTTCATTTCACAAGCGATTTGTTGTTTGGTAGACTACCGTGCGGACCGTGTAATAGTTGTAGCAGAGATTACGAGGATAATTGAATACATGCAGCTAATGCTTGGGTGTTGTGCATCTGCTCACGACACGCATTCGTTCTTTCTGCTTTTAGTACAGTTTTTTGTTTGACAGAAATTTAGCATCTAAACCAAAAGTACGAATGAGAAGCAGCAAACAGCGGTAAAAACGTTATTTGATAGGCAATTTTGTTTTCGACAACGTCGCTCCACTGCCACTGCTCTTTGTCAGTTTACCGCGATGATTTACTTAACAGCATGGACCACGGCATTTTCACAGGAGTCGTTTATTTGGACTTGAAGAAGGTATTTGCCACTGTGGACCACAAGATAATTCTTTCAAAACTCAAGGCTGCTGGTGTTTCCGGAATAGCATTAAGCTGGTTTCAATCTTATCTGGCTTCTCGTTGCCAAAAGACTTCAGTGGTCGATCTCTTTCAGACGACGCGTGACTGTGGGTGTGCCCCAGGGGTCCATTTAAGGACCCTTATTGTTTTTGATGTACATCAATGAAGTCCACAAGTCCTTACAGTATACGTCTATTGTACAAGGGCAACCCTCGAAGCCGGGAATAATTTTTCCCATCTAAACGTTTCAAGGTGAGGTAGCCCGCCTAACCGATTAAAATTCGAGCCAAAATTCAACTACCATGAAGTTCCAAAATTAACTAAAATTAGCAGCCTTCTCCGATCGCTACTTTCGGAGGGTCCCTACTTTCGGGTAGCTAAAACACATGCCGTACATGGGCCTTTCGACGTTAAGGTAATGATGTCGCGACAAATGTGAAAACATCCACACTTTTAATTTGGAGAAAGCTATTTCAAGTTATTGTTTTGAATAACATTTCAAAAGATTTGTTTGACTAGTGTAGGTATTTTAGAGACGAAAGGAGTATTTTTCGAAAAAAATGTAATGTTCTCTTGAGGTTCTATATTGTCCTTTGGATAGGAATGTGAAAGATCATTTTAATCGTTGGAAATAAATCTCGGATCAGTTTGGTATGGCTTGTTATCTATATCTGTCATTTCCGTTATTTCTTTGAGAAAAGGAAAATTACTTTCGAGGTCACTACTTTCGGAGGGTCGTTATTTTCCGAAGGATCGCTACTTTCGCGGTGTCGTTAATTTCGGAACTTTACGGTAACTGTCTCTGGTGGAACCATTGTTTTACTAAAAGTGACAATAAGAAAACACAGCACTAAACTGAGTGTAGAAGACCATTAACCGCTGTAACACGTCGTTTGCCTGCCAAGTTTTCGTGCACGTTCTTAACGACCATTCAGTAACCTTGAGAATGTGCACTCGGCCGGTATGGCGGGGTTGAAAGATTGCAAGTATTAATAACGGGTTATTTTTTTAACCACACCGAAGGACCTTTAAAAAAATCGTGCCAGTAAGACGTTAGCACCGAGTTTGATTTCCCGTTAATCATACGCGGGGTAAATTTACCGCGCGTTGCATATGCCCAGATACTCTGGTGTGATCACATGGTTTCCATCGAAAACAACATCTGGGATAATTTCGCACAACTGCGACTGACCGACGGCAAAATTTGCAGAGCTTGATTGGGGGCTAATCCGGCTTAGCTCGACTTATAGTGTGTTAAAAAGACACCGAGGTCAAACGTCTGAGCACGCGCGAAGAATTGCGTGGGGATCGTTTCGTTCGATCTACAAAAAGCTACGAGTGGCTACGTCTTCTTGCGGGCAAGGAAAGGGAAATTTTCGTTGAATTTCAAGGAAGTTCACTGGCGATAAATAGGAGGAATAAGAGGAACGTAGAACATGAAACGTAAGTATGAGTAAACTTCCCTTTGTCGATTATAGTATTCTCCAACTGCTCGTATCAGAATTACTTTGCTCTTGCCTGTTTATCAAGGACAGCGCGGAATCATGGCCGCTGAAAGAATAAGCTCAAGTTTAAATAGTTTAAGCTTTCTGTAATACTTTTATACTAACACTGGCTTGAACGGAATTTTAATAGTTGGTGTTTTTGTTGAATACAAACCATATCTTTTGGGTTCTGGTTCGTTCTGCAAAATACTTCATTGAGTAAATTGTTTGGTTGTTTTTTTTTCGCTGAAACTGCTCTTTTATGACTGACGACCTTAATTTTAAGCGTGTTCTTATCTTTTCACATCAAATACATTATCTCGCTCAGGATTTAAGTCTTTATTAACAACAAACAACATGTATCGATACAGTGTCGATAATGAATAACTATTTGAAATCTCGTTCATAAAATAAAATTATTGGTCAACACACAGTCTTATGTGTCACAGTGTGGAATTCCCCTTTATCGTTCAATGACCACATCACATGAGTTCAGTAAATATAATCAAGCTCAAAAAGATGCGTGAACATCTATGGTCTCAATGTTATTTTAGCGGAGCCCTCTCGCGCCCGCAGCGGGGCACCATGGGTAAGAAAATCTGGTAATCTATCCATCCAAGAAATAACTTTTTTAGTGAAGGTCAAAAAAAATTTAGTGAACTCGGAGAATAATGAAAATTTATCTAACTATCAACTGTTAAACAAAATCTTCTCTTTAAAGTATTTCGCTTCACTTTAGCATATTTCTGACGATCGTTCAACTATATTTTGCCTGACAGCGGTTTCTGCATTGGTTTCAATCAAAATTTCGCGCGGGATATTTCCGCGGCTAGGACCGGGTAGAGTGCATTGCGCATGCTCTTACGTTTGACGGCGGTCAAGTATTAAAAAGTTCCTTTAAAGGGACAGTGTCCCGATTATGCGCACGCGCGAGCGTCATCTGTTTTTTCTTCAAAAGACAATAGAACTGTCATATTGACTCGACAAGATTTCCTTCCGGACCGCACCGCCGACGGGGTTTTGTTGTTTATATTCTCAAGTAATATTTTAGACTTTTGCGATCGAAGAAGTCTTTCGTCTTATATAAATATTTGGCAGGCGGTTCGAAGACTCATCGCGATTTTATCGCTAGCTAGGCCGCCTCGCAACCCGAAAATCTCGTTTCGCTCGCTTTAAAAATATATTTTCAAATTTGAAACTCGTGTCAGAGGTCAATTGTGCCAAGTCCAGTAATATCTGCCTGATTTGCTCGCGTTCTAGCCATCTCAACGCTATGAATCATCACAAAGGTTAGTAAAAATTATATTATGATTTCAGGGCACTAGTTTTTCTAAACATGCATGTAGCGCCTGTTTGTTTGATTTTGTCGGCCGTAGGGAGATTCATTTAAAAGTTTACTAACGCGTCGTTGCAAAACATTCTGCTTCGCGAAGCTCCCCTCCACAAGATCTCCTCAGTCACATCCATGTATCAATGGTTTCTTTCTTACAGTCTCTATAGTTGCTGTTTCATTTCTGCGTATTCCTTTCACAATTATCTGAGCTTGTATGGAAGCTAGCAGAAGAAATAAGCCTTCCATCGGCATCAAAGTCCTTCCAATCTTTTGGTCCTCCGGCCAACGGCAATAAAAGTAACGCCATAAAATCCAGATTTTGCCCAAATCGAAACTTAACCGGAACAATATATCACTGATCTGTAATCCTGAGAAGTTTAATTGTCGTATTGAACCCGACCAAGCGCGATGGAAACGGATTTTTCAAGGTTCTCTTACTCTCCTCGCATCTTTTGATTTCGCGACATCCTGTCCAAAAATCAAAGTTTGGTGCATGCGCAGTATCTGGATACTGTTCCTTTAATAGTCACTTGGAAGTTTTGACCTAGTATCGACTAAGATCATATTAAGCGTGATGAGTTTGCATCTCGCAGTTCACGACTATCACACAATTAAATAAGGGGCTTTCATTGTACATCAAACATGGCTTACCTCACGAATTCACGAAAAGGTACATCTTTGTCAACGGGTGGAACGAGAACTTTCCTCTTCACCAACTCTTCCAAATCGTCTCTGAATAATATGATCGAAAGACAAGAAAGGGATGCAAACTAAGATTAACACTGCCGGCGATAAAACATAGGGTTTTCAAATCAGGTTTAAATTTGTTCATTCAATGACCCCTGGAGCTGTCTACCTTGGCGTTAAATTTTTCAATCGTCTTTAATCAGACACTGGTTATTTGGTTGGATAAAGTTGGTTTCAATTAACACAAGCAAAGAAGGAGGGCAAGATTGCTTATTTCGACTACGAAAAATTCATTGTTCATTAAAGGCAGACCTCTTAGTTTCAGTTCTTCAACCGAATAATCATCTCATAAATGAGCGGAACGCTAAATGAGTCAGAGTAGGTGGAAACTGATCGTCCGTGTGAGCGTAGTCAACAATTACCAGCACCTTACAATCGACTAATTGGCGGAATCAAGCAAAACTGTCAACGACAGAATGACTGGATGACCGACAATTTGACTAACAATATACGACTGTTTATACTTGTGACAAAAGACGGATTGAAACGCACCAATGACAGTTAGAGTCTTAATAGCCAATAACATCACAGCCTAACTAACAGACGACTAATAACATCACCACTCAATTGACCCATCAGCTCAACAACCAGAGTTTAATACCATCAACTGACGTGATACCACTCACTTTGACTCTAAAGACGACTACTGCACAGGTCGTCGAAATGTCAGTCACCTACAAAAACGGTCCTATTCAGGGCTATGCTCAGAGGGATCACCATGCTCCACCTACTTGTGAAATGACTCCTGGCTTCAAGCCTTTCACTTTTATCTCTAATACTAACAACCCCAAAAGCCCATGTAGCATCTGTTCTAGACCAGTGAACAGAAATCATAAGGTTACGCGTTATGGACAGAGTGCAATTATAAAGGTTTAACCTCAAATAATAACTGTCTTTTGCAATAAAGTTGAGTGATACATGGTATTGTATAATATGCATTACTTCTTGGTTTTCCTCTGTTGATGCCTCCTTATTATATAGCTTTATGAACAGCACAAAGCCATCCCATAAATTCCTTCCATAGGTTTTCAATTTCTGTAGCATGAGGCCGTTTATTATTATGACTTTGAGAAAATGACGATGCCTTGAAGTAAATCTTATTTCTCCTAGTTTCACGTCAACCTAAGCAACTTGGATGCTCATCTGGATAATTTGCATGTAACTCTTGATTTATTTGGCTTTCTTCTCCAAGTAATAGGTGTCGGTGAAACGAGAGAGACTTAAAGTAAAAACCCGCTTGTATGAATTTACTGGTTTAATCAAGGATTCCTTGCTACCTCATCCAGTTCCTGATCGACCTTGGCAGGTGTTAGCCGTAGAAATGTTTGACCTTGCTCAAGGGAAATTTGTTGTACTCTTGAATTATTAATTAAAGTTCCGTTTGAACTGACACAGCTCAAAGACAGCTCAAATGCCTTCGTCATCAACTTTCTAAAACAGCATATGGCAAGACATGGAATACCGGAGGTTCTCCATTCAGATAATGGCCCAGAATTTAGCACTATGGAATTTTCAACAGTTTGCCAAACAGTATCAATTCCGGCATGTTACTTCATCACCAATTTTTTTTCAGACCAATGGCTTGGTGAAACGTACTTTACAAACAGTCAAGAAGCTCGTCAAAAAAGTATATAAGGAGAACAAAGATCCCTATTTAGCGATTCTAGAGTTATGAAATACTCAAAATCCTGGAGTTGGGCTTTCACCAACTCAGCTGCACAATAGGCACCAACTTGCTAAAGCCAATGGCCTACGACCAAAGTGAAGTTCACAGAGTGCTTGAAGAAAAACAGCAACTTCAGAAGAAGTTTATTGATCGAAGCTGCAGGTCCCTTGAACCATTAAACCTGGAGATGGTATGAGGGTACGACAAGGAGGAACCTGGGAACCAGCAATGCAATTGGGGAATCCTAAAGTAGTAAAAGAACTGTACATCCACAAAGTGGGGTTTTTGTCTGCCATTCCGGATCGAAATAGAATTCGGTAGAGTTTCTTTTTGAGGAGCGGGGAAAAGCGGAGTTCCAGGAGAAAAATATCTCGAAACAACAACAATAACAAACAAAAAGCTCAACCCAGATAAGACGTCACTCCCTGGACGGAAGAATACATCTAACGTAAAAACAGTTCGTTAAGTCTATCTTGGATATTCGTATTTTACAATTTTTTGAATGAGAGGTAAATCTTTATTTTGAAATTGCGGTAACTCATCATTGTAGGATAGCTCCATTTGTCAACTTATTCATTAGACTGACACGTCTTCTTAACTCCAGGGCCAGATTAACAAATTCATTTGACGATGTCCCATAGTTATTGTTTCTTAGCAATGCCCTCTTGTTGTGCAGACAATAGTTGAGATTTATATCTCAGATTAAGAAGGCTTGGTGAATCTGGTCCATGGTTTCCATGTAATCGTCCGGGTAGTCTCGATCGCCTCAATTTTTCACGACGATTGGGATAATCGAGAAAATCGGGACGATTTTATAGAAATCATGCTGGCACTCGCAATATATGGACTTCAGTTGTAGCCAGGCAATTGAACACAAGTGTTTACATTGTATCGAATGCTTGAATTTTGATCACTTGAGAAAATCTGGACGATTATGTGGAAACCAGTGTTAAGAATGCCTTTTGTGTAGTCATTACTACACATAGTTAACCAACTGACACACCCCCATACTAGACCACATAGTAGTACCTACCTAGCTCTAAAGGGTGTTTCCTGGTTAACTTACCTGGCAGGCATTTGGTATTAACTCAGGAGTTAAATATTCTGTTTAAATTAATCTTCTTTATATTGAGCTTCAATTCAAAAATAGCTTCGGCTGGCTTGAATTGTAAAGTTAACCTTTCACATTCGCGTAAAAATAAATTTTCGGCTGCTTAGATTCCGCGAGTTTCTTAATTTTTTGAAAAGTATGTTTGGGAGTTACTTCCCTTGCCCTTTTTGGAAGCTCAAGTTATGTTAACAGCCAATATCTTTGCCTTACTTTTGGAGCTTGTTTGTTTTGGTCACTTTTACGTTTGCCAAAAATATGAACATTAGTTGTCAGTTTACTGCGGTACCAAATAAACCGGTCTATACTTGCTGAGCCAAAATTTGGCCAGTTTTATTGTCAGGAGGTTGAAACAGGTGAATAAGCCACTTCCGAGTTCCGGGAAAGTTCCAAAACTCCTAACGTTAAAAATTAAGTGAATAAGATTTTTCCGCGTTTTTGAAAAATTAGCGGAAAAATATGCTCTCGTCGTTATGAATTACCTAGGGATTTGTTAAGAGTATTTAAGAAGTGATGAATGCAAATGTATACCTCTTGGTGTTCTCTCTGGAGCCACTGACGCTTACGTTTCTTTTTACTTCTGATTTGCTCGGTTTGCATGCCATTTTGGAAGCACAGAAAACCGCTATTTTGTCCGCCGTTGATCACACAAATTTAGAATTTCAAAGAAACTTGCTTAAAGCTCAGTCTGACTTCGCGTCGCAAATTAGTCTCGGAGGTTCAACCAGAAAACTACGTCTTCAAGAAGAGAGGTCAATGAACAACAGTTTACTTCAACCGGAAGGTAATCAGGACCACTAATGTTACGGTAAAACTTTAGAGATTGGAAACATTCGCAAAGCGAAGGAGAAACTGAATGAAGGTATTTTGTTACTGACTAACAGATAGAAAATGATCAAACTAGCGGACAAATCTTGATTTGGTTGCGCCTCTGTTCAAGAATACGTTTGTGATGATTTGGCTGATGATGAAGCAGACGCCACAAAAATGAAAAAGGCTGAGAGAATAACTGCAGCTAAGTCTAAATCTTTGCAAGACAAGAAGAGAAGGTCAAGCGCCAAATTTTCGACTTCTGCACCTTCGACAATAATTCCAGGTTTAGGGTTCCATCGGGCTTTTTTCTCCCTCTGCTAGTTATCAGTTTTCGTCCCGCAAGGTCTATATTCTGGAAACTTCTTTACGAATTTTAGGTTTTGCCTTTTTGGTTTGTGTTCTACGCCATATGTCTTCACCGAAGTTTTTTTATGTCAGTTGGTTAAATTTTGGAGAGGTCGTCGCCATATCCGATGACGCCGCGGGTATTGAAGGCGGTACGTCTTTAAATTGCACCGAAACCCTTAATAGGTTTCACACCTAGCGATGATATATCGGTTTGGGAGCCTACACAGAAGTAAGTTTTCCGAGAAACCGTTATGGATTTTGAGAAAGGTTTGATCTTTATTCCGGAAGGTCGCATCCTTAAGCTTAAATCATCCCTCGTTTCCTGTCTTCAGAATGCCCAGATTGTAGCCAGACGGACCTTGCTTCGTTTACGGGGCAAATTATTTCTTTGACATGTGCAGTAGGGAATGTTGCTAGATTGTTTACAAGAAACTGCTATGCTGCTATTGAGCGTAGAACCTCCTGGGCTCAACCACTGAATATTTCCTTTGAGATTCGTGGTGAGCTCGCTGAGCTCGTGGGAGGGTTATGTCACCTAAGTCCAGCGCCGTTGGTCTCGTTTATTTCGACGCAAGGGGCCCTGGTTTTGTGTCCAGTGTGGCGTAGATTTAGTTTTCGATGTTTGGTCCGTAGATCAAATACATTCTAGCTCCACAATCAAAATGTTATCCTCAGATTATTTCGTCTGGGAGAAGTAAGGACTTATGCATCTGTTGTAGTGATGACATTTCGATTGACATGCAATGGATTCCGAGATCTCAGAATGATGGGGCAGATTTTCTTAGTCGCATTTATGACGCGGACGATTTTTTCTTTCCACCGAATTGACGCAACTTGGGGTCCTCATTCGACTGATCGTTTCGCGAATCATCTGCTCAACGCTAAACTTACGCGTTTCAATACCAGATTTTGGAAGCCAAAGGTCAAAAAAGACCCTGTGACTTCTGAGATGTCAAAAGCGCTCGTGGAATCGAAGATCACCCATAAGTCTCCCCTTCGGATCTTACATCTGTTGCCTCGTGCTATATTGATTACGCGGAGTTTTTGGCGCTTTAGCGAGTTATATCATATAAAGCCTGCGATGTTAAGTTTTTCCCATCTTATGTGTCCTTTTTTCCTAGAATCTTCAACGTGTGCCCATTTTCGAGACGGGGCATGGATCGTAGACTGGCAATTTGTACCGTCAAGGCCTTGGAGGTCTACATCTCGGCGGCTCAAATCAAACTCTCCGAGGATTTACTAGTCTGCTACACAGCCGTTTATTGAGGAGCGTTGCGTGACGACAGTAAAAACGGCTGTGTAGCAGACTAAGGATTTACCGCTGTACAGGGCCCTTGGGGGACTCCCATACATTACCTATACGGGTATGTGCCGCCCAACGGGGTCGTGATTTTGAAGCTCCTGATTTAGAACGGGGTATCCGTTTCAGAGGCGCTTTCTAGAACGGGGTATAAAAAATTGTGGATCACGGCTTTGTCTTCCGCTTAAAATTGTTGCTGATTATGAAGAAGCATTTACTTAATGTATAAGTCGAACAAATAAAGAAATATTTTTTTTAAAAAACAGGGCTATTTCAATTTATAAACTTTCTAGAACGGAGTATGAAAAGTTGGCCCATTTCTAGAGCGGGGTATCAGTTTTAGGGCGAATTCTAGAACGGGATATAAAAAATTGGCCTATTTCTAGAACGGGGTATCAATTTTAGGGGATTTTTTTTTTAGAACGGGGTGCCAATTTGGAGTCCCGGGCGGCACATATCCACCCAAAAAATACCAAAGTGCCCCCCCCGGGCTTGCTACTCCTCGGTCAAAAGAAGAAAAAGAACGAAACCAAGGGATTAGCTATACAAGGGCTAGAGAACTCATTAAGGACGCCTTTAGATATTTTACGGACGGTTCGAAGATTAGTGCTAATAGCCTTAGGGCTGGAGGAGCCACTTCTGCGGCTATGCCGGTGCCGCTGATAGACTTTTTAAGCGGCATGGCCGTTGGGCAACCGACAACGTCACAGATAGCTACGTTGAGGACGATTTCAATTCTTGCCTATCAGTCACGAAGTCTATAGGAATCTGATTTATGCTTTATTGTAAAAGTTATTGTTTTTTTGTTTTTTACTGTGCCCGGCAGGTCGGGAGGATTCTATTCACAGGGCCAGGGTTTCTCCTCAGTTTTTTCCGCAGCAAGCGCGGTGAGGTTTTTTCTTGCTGTGGATGGTCGTTGGTTCTCTCCCAGGTTTAGTTTTGCTTTTTTTATTTCATAAGCTACTATCACTGTTTGCACCTTTGTACTTGTTGAATAAAAGCGCGGCCTCCAGTGAGCACGCGATAGCATATGGTGTGTGGTTGTTATTGTCACGCACGGGTATGGTGGTCTGTAGGGAATTTAGACGAGACAATGAGTTTTAAACAATAAAACATTCATTTCATAGACTTGACTACTGGTCTCGACCAAGCTATATGCAAAGTGTTTATACTTAAACTTACATTTTTTTAGGCTTTTTATGGATCAAAATGATTTCTCTCTCTCTCTCTCTCTCTCTCTCTCTCTCTCTCTCTCGCTCTCTGGTAGAACATAACTAACGAAATTCCATACTCACTTATGTTGAGATTTGGCTTTTACTGAATGTGGGGCCGGCGACATAGCCTCATAGAAAACATTGGGACGGAGGTGCCTACCGGTATCTGCAAGAGTAAGAAACTATTTTAATCAGCAAAATGTGTTTCAAAACAGTTTTACTAATTAAAAATTAGTCCACGACGCCTCAGGTGACGTCTCGGTGACTGTTCGCCGATATTCACGTCGCCTGAGGCGACTAATTGTTTTAGTACAATTACAATGATGATTATTCGACAAAGTAAAATAAAAAAGAGACGTATTTTTGAAAGATTTTGGGGCTTTAAGATGTCGGTCGAGGGCGGCTCTGATCGACAACAAGCGGGTTTTCTTATAATAGCTGCTGTCAGTTTCATCTTTCTCACGGAAACGTAAAATTTTGCGAGACGTTTATTTAATTCACCGACTTCCATGTTTTCTATTTTATTTGTGAACTCTGCTGCTGTTGAAACCATTCTGTAGAACAAAATATTTTGCAAAAGTTAACAAACATCCATTTTTCAGTAAATTGTGTTACTTGCAAAAGAGAAATATATCAACCTACCTTTGAATAGCTTGACTCCAAATTTTGTAGCATATTTGTTTTTTGAGGAACAGCATTTTCTTTAAGTTGTTCAATTTCCGACTCCGAAACATCACCAAATCTGGCTACCATTTTGAAAGCTGCTAGCCTTGTTATAATCACCGCGCTGTGATTATAGCGGGATGAAGCGAAGCCACTAGCCAATCATAGCGCTCAATTTTCGATAATCATCAATGTAATTATACTAAGAACAAATAACCTGTGGTATAATTGTTGGTCAGTTGAATGTTTTAAACAACTTGGGGACATGTAGCCTGCGTGCAGACGATAACTAAACTCTGATTAGTACCGTCTGCGAAGCAGCGCAGAGATCCTTGTTCTGGACCCCCAACCGACTCAACGAATTACCGGAAGTGCGTTTCGAATTTCCCCTCAACCTGATTGGCTATTACCACTCTTGCGACAAACAAAACAAAGGTCTTTTTTAACTGGCCAATCGTGGTGCGTACTCAAATCTGGGTACACAGCTGGAAGTCCAGAACAAGGATTTCGGCGCTGTTTCGCAGACGGAGTTAACCAGAGTTTAATTTCGTCTGCGCGCAGGCTAGGGGACATGCTACAGCTCCGCTTCATTCTGGCATACATTTATGAATCGAAAAAAAGTTTTTGCTTTATAACGTTTTCTCCTCCCATCGTTTTCACAGCTACATGTATTTCGTTTGTCCCAAAGCTGCTCTGCAGATACCAGAGAAAAATCTCTAAACTACAGATTTTTTCTTGGTATCGTTCTAATGACAAAAATACGACAAATAAAGGCTCAAGTATTTGTACCAGTTATAGTGTTTTGAAAAAAAGGCTGTTCATTTGTATGCTTGCTCGACTATCACCCCTCACTACAAAATCTAGTCGTCAAACGATGACCTAATGAAAGGCACGGTATATCAACTATCTTTCTAAATATTAATGCCATTAATATACCACCCATTTAAGTAATAGAAAACGTTTTAAGCGTTTACATAGCCTGATATAAACACGAGAGGCTGTTCGGAGAATTCGAGACAGTTACGCAAATCCCAGACGAAGTCGAGGGCTTCCACAACTTTCGAGAATTCTCCTAACCTCTCGAGCGTTTATACAAGGCTATGCAAAAACAGCAAAAAGTTCTATATTGCTTTGATGAAACAAATTAGGTCCTGTCAAAAAAGGAAAATTCTTTGTTTTGCACCCTGTTTAAAAGAGAAACTCTTACCGATTGCAAAGTGATGTACACGAAGTTATGTGAGCGTACCCAGTTCCTGTTTAACAGAATGGCGTAAACATGGAAAATCTTCTCGCTTAAAATATTAACCGAAACGGAAAAACTTCGATGAAAAATGTTTGCAAAAATATTTGAAGTCTGAGCCAAGTGAATTTGTCGAGATTTTAGCTAAAAACTTTTTTCAAAATTTAGTTTGAGCCAACACTGTGTTTTACTAACTATAAGCTATACAAGAATTATTTGTACACACAAAAATATCATTGTCCTCACCATTTTTTCTTTCATAGTCGTCATGTTTTCCTTCTAAAACAAAGTAAAATTGATTAAAATTGATTAATCACTTTAACAATATACAAAAGAAACCAACCAGGAACAACTACCTTTATAATTATAATCTTCAGAAGTGGATTCTGTGTAGAGAGGTCTGCAGACGGCAAAGTCATTCCTTGTTTCGTTGACATCAGGGTGCCAAGGACCGCTTTCCTTAGAAGACTCCTTTGAAACCTGGGCTCTTACTTCTTCAAGGCATTCGTCGTGATCTCCTTCACCCGCTGGACTTCTTTGCCCCTCTCCCTCTGCATACTGGCCCTGACCGAAGAGAATTATTTGTCTCTCAGCAGATTGGTTCTGAATTTTTCCGACATTCTGAGTATGCTGTCCCTCAGAGGACTGGTTATGGGTTTCATCAATAGCTTGAGTCCTTTGTCCTTTATCAGTCTGGTTCTGAATCTCTCCGACATCCTGAATATTCTGTTCCTCAGCAGATTGGCTTTGGTTTTCATCAATAGGCTGCGTCCTTTTTCCGTCAGCAGACTTGTTCTGAGTTTCTTCAAAAGCTTCCGTACTTACGTAATCCCACCGAGTTTCATCAGCAACCTGAAACATGTTTTCGTCAGCTGGCTGTGTCCTAGACGAAGACACAGGAGATTTATCATTGGTCAAAGTCGATTTCTTTCGCTCGATTGACTGAAAAGCGGTGTCACCCACAGCATTGCTTTTCTCGTCAGCAACGTAAGCATGAACGTTTTGAAGGGTTTGAGTTCTAGTTTCTCTCTCAGAAGACTGGATAAGACTGTTTATAAGCCGGATTCCGCTTTCCTGTCCAGGTTGAATCTGCGCTTTCTCTTTCTTCCTTGTTTCATCGGCAGCTTAGTAGGAAGAAAGATAAAAAAGAACCAACATCGGGCAAAAGGAAATGACACCAAGATCTCTATTTCAAATGACATTATTGTAAACTTAACCCTACTCCACAGCAAAAATACCCGAAGAAAAGCCAAAGTCATTATATTACGTTTTATGGAAAACAATTGTACATGATTCTAATAGGTTCTCTACCAGTTTGCTAAAAGCTTAGGTTTAACGTATAATACTGATATCATATATGTTTTAGGCCATTAACATTGCATTGTTTTTTTTTTTTTTTTTTTAACAGTTCAGTATATAAAAAAACTAAAAGAGAAAGAATCCAGCCTCAAAACAATACTAAAAAGTGAAGAAGTTGCCATGGAAAAAAAAAAAGAATTATAGTCACTCTTGCTAACACTAATCATTGTTAACGGCATTATCAAATTGAGTGCTTTTGCAAAAATTACGAGCCTAGTAAAATATTTTAAACTTATTTATCGTTAATTTGTATCACACACGTTTCTCTGTAGCATTTCTCAACCCACCTGTATTAATCAAAAGAAAGTTTTTGCACGCCAGGTAGTCTTCTTCCAAAATAGTTGTCCGTAACTTCACAGACGTCAGGTGAAATCTCCTCTTTATATCGTCTGTCAGCAGGCATTTCTCGGCAACTATATTCAAATGACCAGAACGGTAGTCCAGCCATAGCTGCTCAAGGATTTCCGTATTCTCACACTCCACTGCTACTCGTAGCGAATTAGCATTTTCCTCAGTTGGTCCTGAGTCTTGAATTAAGCTTATATTCTGCAGATAAGCCGGAAATTCCTGAAGAGATCTGCTAACTTCTTCCTTGTTTGCTAATTCCTCAGCAAAGGTCTGCTGCTTTCCGTCCATGTCCTGAGCGCTTTTTTGTTGCATGTTTGGGAACTGTCCTTTGCCTGAAAGATTTGTTTGCAAGGTCAAAGAAGGAAACGAACCTGGCTCTCCGTTGTACTTACTTACCGTACTTTCTAAAAAGACCTTTAGTTATAGTCTAAAAACATGTTAAGTCCGTTGTAAACGTCCTTAACGTAGAACTTAGCACTGTTTGAGGCATTATTGGTGAAAATGTCTGAAAATATGGAAAATGACATTTTAGAAATATTTATATAAATTTAGTAAAGAAGATACATCATAATTCCCTGTTATTAGATTACACACGTATCTCACTTGTTTGCTAGAGACCAAAAGGTAAAAAAACGTTTTGTTGAATATGTTAATTTCATGTAGAATTTGTACAATATTTTTTATGGTCTCTTCATCGTCTCGACCACTACCACCCTGATTAACTCTTTTCTTCGGTCCGACTGTAAGATAATTTCAATTACCAAACGGTAAAAGTGGGTAGTATCCTCTCTTGCAATTATACATCGCCGCAAGTGTTCCCCAAACTATAGTGACAAGACATAAATCTTCACACGATATTTTTGGGTTAAAGACTATTTTGAGTTTTGTGTTAACAAATTCACACACGTGTTTACCGTACAATGAACTCGAAATGTTCAATACTGCACGAAGTGGAGCTGAGAGCAGTATTGAAAATTTCGAGTTCATTGTACGGGAAGCAAGTGCGTGTATTTGTAAATAAAACACTAACGAAACAGTCTCTAATTCTTTTAATATCCAATCTGAGTTCACTGCGTACAATGTTTTTGCAATGGCTTTGCATTCTTGTTAGAACTTAGTTAGCCTTTCTGGAAGTATTTCTTTATTCAACCTTTCCAAATCCTCACTAGGATATTTGAGCTGCAACCATTCTGTGTTAAAAGGAGAAAACACTCATTTATAAGCGTATATATATTCCTTCAACGTTTACCAAAAAAAACCAACCACACAAAACTGACAAAGCTGCACTGCAGTCGAAATTAAAAATCAAACAACGACATATAAAGCAGAGAAAATTGCCAAAAAACACATTCTTTTTGCTTAACTAACCATTGCAAACTGAGACACTCCAGTTGGTTTGCCGCTTTGTATTTGCTGGTACGGCACTGTCGATAATTATACCAATTTTGTCCTCTTCAACCTCGGAAAATCTCAAAGTCGAAGCCATGTTGAACACTGCACAGTTTTTATGCGTTATATATTGTCAAAAACGCACTCTGTCACTTTGATGTCGTTAGGTAACGGTGACCAATTTTAACCAATAATGCGCACGGATTTTAGATAGTGAACGAAGATTGTATATTACAAAAAGTTCCAAAGCTAACATATTACGTTGTTTGGACAAAATTTTATTCTAAGGAATCGTGGACCAAACGAACAAGGTTGGCGATCATTTACTTAAGCCAGGTTCAAGGACACATAAGCACAGTAGCCTAAACAAAATAATACCCTTCCTCAAAAAATTGCCTCTAAAAGATAGTCCACAACCCCACTCCCCTTATAGCTCTGGCCAGCGCCACCTCCTAATAGTTAATGGCAGTGATTGTGTTCTATTCCTATTATTACGGGCTACAAGAGGAGCGCGCAATACTGATCTCCAGGTTGTTATTACGCATGCGTCACATGTAGGTAACCAGCATTCATTTGGACTCTCACAAAGAATGAATGAAATGCCCAGAACGCAATTTGGTGACGCGCGTATGGACCTTCTATCACTCGTAATCTGATCACGCTGTTTTGACCAGCTTTCACGTGAAACTTACGCAAAGCACAGCAAAAGCGTTTTGACCTTCGATCGTTGTCGCCCGCACTCCGTAACATTTGGTTATTACTAGTTAGATTAATATACCGTAAAATTACGAAAATAGGCCCCGGGGTGTTATAATATTGTAATTTTCACGCCCTGTGTTGAATTTCATTTGCACGTGCTGCTAGACTCATTATATATTCAGTTTCGTTTGTACCTTCGAGGCACTTGATAGAGATTAAAATGTCTGTTCAGTAACCGCTTGAACGTGTGGTTCGCTGTGTTATCACATGGTGGCAGCGGTGGCCGCTTCTGCTTCGTTTTTAACCGTCTACGTTATACAGCGTGCCCGGTGGTGATACCTCCAATGGACAGTCTGGTGCGGTAGCGCCGCCATCGTCGACTTTTCATCAGATTACTCCGCCGAAGTACCTTGACTTGAAACATAGTGGAGAAATTGCCGAAAACTGGAAGCTTTGGAAGAAGAAATATAACAATTATTTTGTCATTTCTCGTTTGGATCGAGAAACCCCGGAGTTTCAGTTGGCGATGTTCAAACATACGATCGGAGATCATGCGTTGAAAGTCATCAAAACATTCAACTACACCGAGGGGGAGAACTCGAGTGATTGGCGCGTTGTAATGGCAAAAATGGAGAAGCACTGCATCGGCGAAGTCAACGAGATTTACGAACGATACTGTTTTAATATGCGACACAAGCTTCCAACGGAGTCGGTTGATAGTGTTGTTGCCGAGTTGAGGAATTTGGCCAAAACATGTAATTTTTGCGATTGTTTGCGGGATAGTTTAATCCGTGATCGTATTGTGCTTGGAATTAAAAACGAGCAGACGACCAAGAAGTTGCTGAGAATGAGAGATCTTACTCTGAATCGTTGCATCGACGTGTGTCGCAGCGAGGAAGTTGCTGAGTTGCAAATGAAGTCGTTATCTGGGCCGGTGGATAACATTAATCAAGTAAAGTCAAGTTCTAAAAAGCCTCGAGCTCCAACGCCGGTGGACGGGCGGTCGGCAAAGAAAATTTCCTGCAAATTTTGTGGCTATGACCATCAACCTGATAGGAAGATGTGCCCCGCATCGAGAAAGAAGTGCAAGCGATGCAAGGAAAAGAATCATTTTGCCAAGAAGTGTAAGAAAGTTCCTGTCCATAATATTGAGAGCAAAGAGGAGTTAGAGGAGATCAGCGTTGTAAGAGTACAGGCTTTGAGAGGGAGAGCTGTGTATGCGAGAATGCTGGTTAGGCAGCAACCGGTGCAATTTCAAGTTGATTGTGGTGCTAGTGCAAATATTTTACCTCTGAAGTATGCTGAGGGTGAGGAACTCGACTCGTGTTCGCAAACGCTTGTCATGTGGAATGGAACTAAAGTGACGCCTGTCGGTTCCTGTGCGTTGCCTGTTGTGAATCCGAAAACTAATGAGAAGTACAAGGTCCGGTTTCTAGTCGTGAAAGAGGATTTGACCCCTCTGCTTGGCTTAAATGCAACGCAGAAAATGAAGCTGTTAACTGTACACAAGGAAAACTTCATTAATTTTGTGGAGAATGCAAATGATGATCTCACAGCTAATTACGCGGATGTCTTTAACAAAGGTCTCGGAACACTTTCAGGAAAAGTTCGCCTGCAAGTTGACCCAGATTGCAAGCCTGTTATCCTTCCAGCAAGAAACGTCCCTGTGTCTTTTCGGGAGAAGTTCAAAGAAGAGCTCCAAAGGTTGGAACGTCTTAAAGTAATCACTCCTGTTGACCAACCGACCGAGTGGGTTAGTCAGATTGTTGTAGCTGTAAAGAGAGTCCGGCGAACTGCGTGTTTGTATTGACCCGCGACCACTTAATACTGTCTTGAAGAGGGAACGTTATCAAATTCCCGTCATTGATGATTTGTTGCCCGACTTGACAGATGCACGTGTGTTTGCAAAGGTTGATTAAGCCTCTGCTTTTTGGCATCTGGAGTTAGATCGCGAGTCTAGTATGCTCACGACATTTGCTACGCCATATGGGCGATATCGTTGGCTCCGTTTGCCGTTTGGTCTCAGTGTTTCGATTGAAATTTTTCAGAAACGTTTCCATGAAGAGTTACAAGGTCTCCCGGGTGTAAAGTGTATTGCAGATGATATTCTCATCCATGGCACGTGCGAGGCTGATCATGACAGGAATCTAGATGGATTCATGCGCTTATGTCAGCAGAAAGGTATCAAGCTCAATGCCGAGAAGTTAGAGTACAAGTGTAAAGAGGTTCCATTTCATGGGCACCTGCTAACCACAGAGGGTCTAAAGCCAGATCTAGAGAAAGTGAGAGCAATCGTCGAGATGCCACGCCCAAAGGACCGAGGTGATATTTTACGCCTGAATGGAATGGTCAATTATCTTAGCCGTTTTCTACCCCACTTAACTGATGTGATGAAGCCTCTACGAGATCTTACCCATAAAGATGCAGCATGGTGTTGGGATGATTTGCAAGAGAAGGCTTGGAATGATGTCAAGACATTGATTGCATCAGCACCCGTTCTAGCGTACTACAAGCCCACTGAAGTGCTTGAGATCCAGTGTGATAGTAGCCAGAGTGGTTTAGGTGCAGCTTTAATGCAGAATGGTCACCCAATCGAGTACGCTAGTAGACGGAATCTCACTATGTGCAGATTGAAAAGGAGATGTTGGCAATCGTGTTTTCAGTAGAGAAGTTCAATGACTTTACCTTTGGTAGAAGAACTGTTGTCCATACTGATCATAAGCCACTTGAGTCAATTTTCATGAAACCACTTCATCGCGCTCCTAAGAGGTTGCAAGGAATGTTGATCCGTTTGCAAAAGTACGATTTGGTGGTACAGTACGAGAAGGGAAGCAGAATGTTCTTAGCGGACACTCTCTCTAGAGCTTATCTTCCCTCGGGTGCGCAGATTGAGTCAGAGTTTGAGACAATCAACATGATGAATTACTTGCCAATATCTGAAGCCAGGCTACTGCAAATTCAGCGGGAAACAGAGCAGGATGAATCGCTTCAAGTTCTAAAGGCAGTGATTCAGCATGGCCGGCCTGAAAATAAGAGTACCCTGCCGCTTCTAGCCTCTCCTTACTTCGATATGAGAGATGAGCTGTCCGTTCAGGATGGTCTGATTTTTGAGGGAGAAAGGGTAGTGGTACCCAAGGCTGCTAGGAGCGGTCTCCTAAAAATTATTCACAATTCGCACCTTGGAGTTAATGGTTGCCTTAACAGAGCGCGTGAGTGTCTTTATTGGCCTGGGATGACAGGAGATATCAAGAACTATGTGTCAACATGTGAAGCCTGCAGAAAGTACGAACAGGGTCAAAGGAAGGAAACACTCATCAGCCACGAAGCACCTAGTCGGCCGTGGCAGTTCGTTGCAGCAGACCTATTTGAGTTAAATGGAAAAAGTTACCTTGTGACTGTGGACTATTTTAGCGATTTCTTCGAGCTCGACCATCTGAGAAGTACATCCTCTGTCTACGTCATCAAGAAGCTTAAAGGTCATTTCGCGAGACATGGCATTCCCGAGCAACTCGTTACTGATAACGGGCCACAGTTCGTCTCGCGCCATTTCCTGAAATTCTCTAAAGGGTGGGATTTTGAGCACAGAACCAGCAGTCCGTATCATAGTCAGTCGAATGGAAAAGCTGAGAGCGCCGTTAAGCAAGCGAAGAAAATTCTGTTAAATTGCAGCAAGACTGGTTCAGACGCGTTTCTTGCTTTACTGGACCACAGAAACACACCGCCTGCGAGTATGCAAACCATCCCAGCACAGCGGCTATTTAGCAGAAGGACAAGAAGTCTCCTCCCGATGACTGCTGCATTATTAAAGCCATCTGTTTCAGACGAGGACGTGACACATACCAAGCTTCATCGCCGCCAACAGCAACAAGCCAAGTACTATAACAGAGGCGCAAGAGACCTCCAGCCCTTAGAGCCCGGAGATACCGTGCGAGTTCAGCCCTGGCGCGCGGGAAGAAAAGAGTGGAAAAGGGTGTCGTAAAGAGTCGCATTGACAAAAGATCTTACGAGGCTGAGCTGCCTCAAGGACTCCTTCGACGAAATCGTGTTGAGCTACGCAAGTCCAATGAAGCGCCTATCAAAGTTGAAGATGACGACGACATAGAGGCGCGCGAGCAGTCACCCACAGAGACACGCGAAGATACACGGGAACAGGCACCTCCAGATATACGCGTGGAAACATTCGACCAGCCGCGCGGTCCGTTGTCTTCGGTGGCGGACGCATCTAAGTCGCCCAATCGTTTACAGGTACCGAGAAGGTCCACGCGCGTCCGTCAGCCGCCCAGGCGTCTACAGGACTATGTGCTTACTTAAGCCTAAGAACTCTTTCCAAAGAACTGAATTTCATTAATATGTGCGTAGTCGTTTGTTTGTTTGGTTTTTTTTCCGTTAAGTTGTTTTCTTATTTCTCTATAAAAGGGAGGGTGTTATAATATTGTAATTTTCACGCCCTGTGTTGAATTTCATTTGCACGTGCTGCTAGACTCATTATATATTCAGTTTCGTTTGTACCTTCGAGGCACTTGATATAGATTAAAATGTCTGTTCAGTAACCGCTTGAACGTGTGGTTCGCTGTGTTATCACACGGAGCTTATATTTTCCAAAGGCCCTTTTTGAGGAGCTTATGTACGGAGGAAAATTTGCGTTGTAAAATCGGCTAGACTTATACTGGGAGGGAAGTCTACGTCTCAAAATCCAGTGGGCTAGGTTATAGTTGGAAGGAAATTTATGTCAGTAATTTGCAGCAAGTTTTCACTGAAACTCGCCTTGAGGACGTAGAACTTTCTAGAACTCAGCCATGCAAGTACTAAGTGTAATCGTCCAAAGATCCCGTGGTTTAATGATGACATTAAACAACTCAAGCGTAAACGTCGTCGTCTTGAAAAGAAAGCCTTGAAAACTGACCTCCTTGGCGACTGGAATAATTACCATAAAGTTCGTAATCAGTACTCTGCACTTCCTAAATCTGCACGTGTGAATTATTATTCAAACCCAATTGATCAATGTGCGGGTGACTCTCGCAAGCTATTTCGTGTGGTTAATTCTTTGTCCAGGGAACCACTTGAGTCGGCTCTTCCAGAGCACGATGATCCCACTAAGCTAGCAAACGAATTTGGCACCTTCTTCCTCAAAAAATTGAAATCATAAAGGAAAATCTTGACAAGTTTCAAGTTCAAGAGCCTCGACTTGCTCCTGTTACTCCAAAGGAGAATCTGGAGAATTTTTCTTCGCTATTCATAGGAGAAGTGTGTAAGATTGTTCGAGAATCCTCCAATGCCTCTTGTCGGTTGGATCCTATTCCTACATGGCTAGTGAAGTCCTGTCTTGATGTATTAGCGCCCTCTATCACTGAGATGGTTAATGTTCCTCTTCTCAGTGGCTCCGTTCCAGAAAATTGGAGAACCGCTGTTGTCACCCCTCTTTTGAAAAAACCTGGACTTGATTTGGTCTAAAAAAATTTCCGTCTAGTCAGTAATCTTCCATTCATTTCCAAGGTAGTGGAAAAGGCCGCACTTCAACAACTTCTCGTCCACTGTGAGAAAAATGCCCCTCTTCCTAAATTCCAGTCCGGCTTCCGTAAATATCACTCGACAGACTGCTCTATTAAAGGTTCAAAACGACATCTTAATGAGTATAGATAATAAGGAAGTGACACTTCTCGTACTTTTGGACCTAAGTGCTGCTTTTGATACCATTGAACATTCCATTCTTCTAAATATTTTGCAACAAGATTTTGGAGTCGTCGGAACTGCTTTAAATTGGTTCGACTCATTTCTGTCTGGTCGCAAACAAAAGTATACTTGTCGGTGATAAGACTTCTGACGACTTCAATCTGAACTGTGGAGTCCCCCAAGGCAGTTGTATGGGGCCTATTTTATTTACTCTCTACGTCTCCCGCCTCTTTAACATTATTTCTCAGCACCTCCCTTCCGTCCATGGTTATGCTGATGACACCCAGATTTACCTCTCCTTCCGACCTTGTTCTATCCATTCGGAAATTAACGCTGTCTCTGTGATTGAAAAGTGCATCGCTGATGTTCACTCTTGGTTTATTGCAAATCGTTTAATGATCAGTGACGCGAAAACTGACTTTCTAATTATTGGCACCCGTCAACAACTTGAAAAAACATCTATTGAATCTATTACCATTGGTGACACTGTCATTAAGCCTTTAGAAAGCGTCCGGAACCTTGGGCCCTGGTTCGATGCTCATATGCGAATGAATGTTCACATAGGCAAGATTTGTAGCAAAGCTTTTCGCGGACTATACAACATAAGACAGATCAGAAAATTCCTTACCGTGCAATCCACAAAGACACTGATCCATGCCTTTGTATGTTCGCACCTTGATTACTGTAACGCACTTCTATTTGGTCTACCCAAAAATCAGCTTGATCGTTTACAGAAAGTCCAGAATGCCGCGGCTAGAGTGACTTTTCAGAATGCGAAATTTGATCATATCACACCCGCTGTTATCGATCTACATTGGCTTCCAGTAACGTTTAGAGTTCAGTTCAAATTGGTCCTTTTTGCTTACAAGTCACTACACAACCAAAGTCCATCCTACATTAAAGATCTTTTATCCCTGAAACCGGCTGCTAATTATGCTCTTCGTTCGTCTGCACAATCTCTTCTGTTCGTTCCAAAAGTCAACTGCTCCACACTTGGGGATCGGGCCTTTGCTCATGCTGCACCTGTTTTATGGAACTCGCTGCCATTAACTATAAGAACAAGTAGTAGCCTCGCCATTTTTAAAAAGCAACTTAAAACATTTCTTTTTAAGAAAGCTTTTAATTTGTCTATATGGACCGATCGAGGAAATCCAAACTAAGATTGAAGAGTGAACTACGCCAGCAGCAATATACTGTGACACGTTTTGACTGCAATCCTACTGGCACCCGTAATAGTTGTTTGACAAATGCAAAAATTTATGTTACTGTATAGTTTTTGCTTTGTTTTTTTTTTTAAATTTACTTTGAATTTGAGGGCTATTTCCGAGTACAAGCCCTCGGGGCTTGTATTTGGAGGGGCGATTTATCGGAGGGTTTTTTGCGTTACTAGTTCGTGGGGCTTATATTGGGAGGGGCTTATTTTCAGAACTTTTCGGTATTACACACTTACCATTCACTGAAAAGTGCAGAGTCAGTGGTTCGGAGTCTACAACAGATTGACGATGAGTTTCGCTAGCAACTTGGAAGTAATCTTGAAGCAAGTTTCCTCTTTCCTTAGCCAGTGGCTCTTGATCGTATTCTGAATAATCTGAGACGAAAGGAAAGCTACAATGGATTTTTCTACTTTGATAGGAAAGTGGGTACTCGAAAGCAAACTTATAAAAAAAATTCAAAATATATCAAAGGTACGGAAAACCAAAATATAAACTTTTGAGAAAGAATGTAATATTAATTAAATTATTCTGGTACAAGGTTTTTGTCCACCGAAAATTAAAATTACTCAGTTTCCTGGTGGATTTCGTCTTAACATTTTTAGCGGAGATGTGAAAATGAGGGATGCGCTGACGTTAAATTAATTGTCCTTGAGAACTAATAAATCTATGTCAGGAAGCAATTCATACTTTCGTTACTCAGAACCTAACCTAGACAAAGGTCTAGGACATTGCATTTCGAATAAACTGTAACACTCATTGTCATACCTAGTTGACTTTCATTCAAAGCTTTCGTTTCATTATCTACAGGTCCTTGAGAAATAGCACATATACCGCCAAGCATTGTCAGAGGGAATAAATTGTTTGCAAATATTACAAATAAGCATCTCTATTAGCCTCCAGGCAAGCCCCTCCATTTAGGAATCGCACAGAGGAGGTTGGACACGGTCCGAAATGCACCTTGGTAGGAGCACTTGACCAATCGCGTCGCCGTATTCATTCATTGCTCATTTTAAAAGGACTGAACGCACGCAAGAAATCAGGGGTTTGTTTGCGTTTATTTCAAGATGTGCAACATTTTTGTCGCAACAAAAAAGGTGAAGTAAAAGGTAAGTTCCTAAAATAACCTTTTATTGCTTTTTCTTGCAGCCATTTCCATTGATTTTGCTATACGTTTAATTGCTCGCATGGCTGTCCAATATGGTCGCCGTTACCGTCGATGTGTTCACCCAACACGTTCGGTTTCACTGCCAATATTCTGAGGGTGCTCGCCCAAAAAAAAAATGGCAGTATCTATTTAAGGAAAAGCTGTTCTTTGAGTTTAGCGTATCGCACTCCATCGCACCTCTTGCCGTTTGTCTGTTATAAGCGATCAAAATTTGATAGATGTTTTCCGATATTGCAGGGCAAGGGGTCTTTTGATCTTGGGAAAACATCGTATCATTCATATAATCTGAGTGCAATACACAACTTGGACGTTTATAAAAAATTGGAACCCGGATCTACCTAGGATTCAAGAGTTCAAAAGTGGGTTGGCTTCCCAGCTAATTCGCTCATGTTGGTGTATTTTTCTTATTTCTAGGTTTTATTTAAAAATATGGCTTCAGTCCTTTTTTTGTGGCCCAGTTTCACCAAGGAATTCGAAAATCAAATGTTGTTATTGCTTTAAGAACAAAAATATATAGCTAACAGTAAGAAGTAAACTTCAGGACTCATTACCCTCCGTGTTCATAGGTCAAAAAATCTATACGTCCTAATGAAAGATTTTACCCTAAGAATGACACGAATGCAGACGACGATAGTTTACAAGGTGAGATAAAACTTTATCCGCCTGTCAGGTGTAGCCAAGAGAAAAATCCTCTGGAAGACACCTAAACAAATTGAAATATATTAACCCAAAATAAACTGGTATGCTGAAGTCTAAGTTGAAAGTAATGAAAATGTAATTTACTATAAAATGAAATTGCTTATATTATTTGAGTTTGCACGATGATGCATAAAAAAAGAAATGTTGCTTTTTGTAATAGCCTTGAATGAGCTTTCAACTGGGCAGCCACGCGTACGATAAACCTTTGCCAGTAGTAGACTAGGACTAGGGTATAAAAGGCAATGTAGGCCGATTCAGTGCTTCTTACAGTAAAAAATTGCTGTCACTGGAGATCTGCACTGCTCGAAGGTTTGATGCAGATGATTCCAAGGACGCTCTATGCGTTAATTCGCCCCATGTTGCCTTGCGGGCCGTGTCCAACCTCCTCTAGGAATCGCCCTACCTTTAGCATTTCGGTCTCGGCGCGTGACCTTCGCCTCCTGCGATTTCCAATGGAGGGCTTCCTTAGCCCCTCTAAACACTCATTTTTTCCCCAGAGGCTAAATAAATGTTTTAAAACAATATTTTCATAACTATGAGCCAACAGGAAATGTTAGGCAATTTACCTTGGGGCCTCACTTTAAAACGGTTCTTAATCTGCCTATAATCCCAAAACTGACAAATAACAGCCCGGATAAATTACCTGTTAGAAACTGTTTGCAAGCCAAGTAGTCTTCATCCAAAATTGTTGTGTTTAATCTAACAGACTCTACGTGAAATCTCCTCTTGATGTCATCTGTCAACAGATATTCTTCGGCAACTGCATTTAGGTTACCAGAGCTATAGTCCTCCCATAGCTCATCAAGGATTTCCAGAGTGGGACACTCTACTGTTATTCTTAAACTACTTTCAAATGCCTGTTTAACTTTTAGATGACGTACTCCTTCCAAATAATAATACAGGCACTTAGGCTTTTCTTCATTTGGAATGCCAGCTGCCATAGTGTCAAAAAACTGCATTGCCATCTCCTTCATCAAACAAGTGAGATCTCCACTGTGATTGTCTTGAAATGTCGCATTCTCCAAATTGATTAACACGGGCAAGGTACCTAAAGAAGCAATATTTATGTCCCTGAATATTTTATGTGAAAGATCATTTAACCCATCATTAGTTTAAAACGCATTCTTCCACATTTGAATTTTTTCAGCTTAGTAAGACAAAAGGAAAGTCAAAGGCGGAGAAAAAGCCAACTTAATCATATTATTAGTTTAATCCACAATGAAGACATCACCACAAAACTCATTATGTCCAGAAATTCCCGCTGAGGAGATTCAACCTCTTACTCGAAATGTCTCTTTTCCTCATTTTCACCTAAAACGCAAGCAATTCTGTCAAACATGAACTTACACAGAAATCAAAAATAATTGTGTCTAATATGAAGTACCCAGAGTCAGAAGTTACCGCATTGTTGGACCAAATGTCCTAATTAGTAAATAAGTAAGTCATTAAACCAAAAAGCGGCTCACTTTCAATGTTCTATGGTTGAGAAGCTCCATGAAGTGTGGCTCATTGAAATTGCATGGATAACCTCCTTAGCATACATAGTAACGGTAGTACATAACATAGTACAGCTGTGGTGACAGTTTCCGATCGATAAACTCAGGAGTATGTTGTTAAGCCACCTTAAATTAGTTTTTCTACAACGTTTTGAGAACATTTTCATTCTTGATTTTATAATCAAATTGAAAGGACTTCTAGAACTATAATTCTAAACAATTATTCTTCCAAACAGTTTGAACAATTTATTTTGTCGCTTATTGTAACAGCTGTCTTAGCTTATAATTGTATAATTATTCTTTCAAAATAATTCCTAGTTTAAAAACAATCTAAAACATGTTTAACTCCATCGATGTTAAAGGGACTGTGACACGCTTCTGCGCATGTGCGGCAACTTGATTTCTCTCCGGCGGACAGTTTTTCAAGATTGGCGTTTGGTGAAGAAATGCTCTTCCATCGACCCTGAGACGCCCGAGAGAGCCATAATATCAGTATTCAAGAGCTATTTGGTCCATTTGGGAAGTTTTAAACGCCATATTTTGTACTTTTGTGCAAGTATTGTCGAGAAAATTCGAAGTCATTGAGGAGAACCGTACGAAGCCAAGTTCGTTGTTGTCAGTGTTCCTACAAACGGATCAAATGTGGCCTTTAATGTGGTCATCTAGCTTTCATTTTTGTCTATCAAGGTTCTCCAGTCAACTATCTACCTTTGACGGATATTTTTCAAACGATAAATATGTAAAGAGGAGTTAAAAAGGGTTTCCTCGATACAGCCGTGGACTACTAATGGGACGCAGCGGCGAGTGAAGCTGATCTGCGACATGACTTCCGATTGTCTGCAGCAATTTAATTTATCGAGTGCCTGGAATCAGAAGGAGAAAACTCAGCAATCTTTTGTTGTACACGAAGTCGTGTGAGGTTTGAAGAGACAAACCATCGAACATGAAACGTTTTAACAGGCATTCGATTTATGACTCCGATCCGTAGTTGTACAGTAGAAAGTACTGACAACAGGCCGCGCGATCTTTACTGATGTAGTTGACTGGGAATGTTCCTTGTATCTTTTCTGTATGAGCGTAGATGTTTAAGAATTGATCTTTTAAAAATAAATTGTTCCCTGAATGTTCCGTTTAACATCTGGTTTCTTTATGTGTTGAATCGATAACGTTTGTTTTGCGGAACTCGCAACGCAACGACTCGGAAGGAATTTTGTTATTTGCTGATAAGCAGTTGAAATTTATGCCATAGTTATGGGCTCCTGTTTATTCCTTTTTTTGCGTTGTTCTTTTAGAATAATCTTTTTACTTACACGTTATGTGGCTGCTATTGCAATGAAAGCGTTTTATGATGAAGCGCTAAGAATTGCTTTCAAACAATTCTACGATTTTCAGCCGGTATCAATCGACTGAGCTAGCCGACCGCATGGCATGGCTTATTTTATTATAGCGCGCATTTAGCTGGCATTTTAAGCAAAACGTTTGCCTCATCCTATACTGTGTGTTTTGATCAACGGTCAGGAGCTATTTGCAGGTATTTCTAAGTTTATATAGGGTAAACAGAGAGATCAGTAAGTTTTGTTCACAAATTATTTTTGTTTGCGGATCGGAGACTTGTTTTCTAGCGTGGGTACGTAAAAATACACGTAGGTAAATGTTTGTTTCAAAGAAGGACAGGGTTGTTAATCTTATTCTTATCATCTGCAACATTTATCTAAGGAATACCGGAGAATAAATATGAATTGTGGGGATATATATAAAATCGAACATAAACGTCCGGAAGACTCCCACTTCGCGAACAATGGATCTAAAATTATGTAAATTTTCTCGAGTGCAGCTTACTCGCTTCCGATTCGTTCAAAGACAATCAGCTACTGTCACAGCTCACACATACGCACAATCGTGACACAGTCCCTTTAAGTTCATCTTCAATTGCCTGTTTATCGGCACGCTTAGGAGTTAAAAGGTTGTTCAGTTCTGCAAATTTTCTCCAAATCGCGGATGTCGTCCGTCGAGTTGTATTCTTGCTGTTCTTGCTATGTTTTTAGACAATAGCTCACCCATTACTTACTCGTCCCCAGGTCTTCTCGATTAACTGTCTAGTTTTCGTGGCAATTATGATGCTGTAGAATTGACGTCATTTTCCACATAATTATTCCAAATTTGGTCAACAGTAGCTTATGATGAATTATGCGTGGGATTGTAGCTAGTCAGAAACGGATAATTATTTTGAATGAATAATATTAGCTGTTACAATTTGCACAACTTTATCGTCATTTAAAATACCTATTTGTAATAAGCTTGTTAGGAACAGAAGCATCAACACGTTACTTGTCCGCCACTTGAGTTATTGCTGTGAACAATTATTATTGGCCATTTGAGGTATTGTGTAAGAATTGTACTATGGGACAGTCCAGTTGGAGGCCGAAATTTTGACTCAATAAAATAGCCAATAAAATAGCGATAGCGTCCCTAAAACAACCTCATAGTGCAATTCGTCGCAATACCTACCCATCCTCAGTAGTATAGGGCGCATCGGTTACTACGATTTTTTTTTGCCTAGGAATCTCATTAATATGCGGAGGAGTACATTACCGCCAATGCCGTCTTAGCCTTTTATGTTTATCCCATAATTAATAAACATAATGCGAAGGAATCTAATTAAAATAAGGTCATGTGCCATCTTTATAGGTGGTTTAACTCACTGGATATAGTCTGGTACACTGGAAACCAAAATGTGACATCTACGGCCATTCTTGCCTGATTTTGGCAACATAACTCGAGTAGGCTGACTTCAAAACTCATTGTTGCCAAGATCAATTTTTGTGTTAAGGTGGAGTTTCGGGGCATTTCACTATGACGTTATTGTCCAAATAAGGAATTTTCCCCCCTTTAACAATTCTAAGTTTAATAGAGAAAGAAATTCTTTTAAAGCGTTAAGAGTGTACTGTAAAGTTTATTCTAAGAATTGCTGACTGCTTTTAAGCCGCTCTTTTAATATCCAGCCATCATATGACACTTGAGCGCGCCCTCTTATAGAAAAATCACCTTATCAGGGGTATCTTTGTGACATTTTGTTGAAAAACAGTTCGTTGTAACACTTGGGAATACATGTACAAATTATTGTTTCTCATGTGCAATGTTGAATCTTAGTGATTTCACAAATCACTTTGTCTTTCTTGATGGAGACTTAGGTTGAATTCACGTAAAATTATCAAATGACAGAACATTGCTTCTCACTCTCGGGTTTCAATTTGTCGATAATATTGTTATTCAATAATATTGTAAATATCTGATCTCTTAAAAAACATTGACCTAATATATTTTTTATATACATTAGAGCGTGTTAGCTACGGTTGATACAGCAGTTAGCGTCGACCTTAGCGTACCCACATTAGGGAGTTTAAGATACGGAGACTACGGACTACGAACTACGGCTGGACGAGCGTTGTCCTTTGTTCGTAGCACTGGGTTGAGTCGTGCAAATATAGAACGTTAAGCTTGCACTACAGACAGTAGACTACGACAGAAGAGGCGGAGAGGGAAACAACACGCAAAGATTTTCTTGTTTTTATCACAGTTCACAAAAATGCAAGTCAGTTTTGCATGTCATCTTATCTTTAGAACAATGAACAAATTCTTCCATACTTGAAGGAAGCAATTACGTCGGGTGAAATTGGTAAACAAAGTTTTGGTTACACAGGTTTTATTTTTTCGCCCATGAATACTTATGTCAAATATTAAAGATATAGACAGAAATAGTAATAGCTCATTTATTAGATTTAGAAGATGGACTTCTCCGACTGATCTGATGTAGTTTGAAGTACTGAAATGCCGAGTTTCGATTGTCTCGAGCATGTTTACATCATTTTCATTCAGCAAATGGCGCGATACAAAAACTCGCATAAATAAAGGTTACACAAGTACAAAGACTCACTAATCAGTTTGAACAAACATTGAAACTTTTCAAGTGCGAAGAGAAAGTAAATTACCTGCATGATTTCTCTTCTCCTAGGCCGTCAATCTGAATTCTGCGTATAAACAGCTAAGCTTAATAAAATGTAGTCACAACAGTGGATTAAAAGCGTAAATCTAGCAGAAATTAGACACAACTTACATATTTCGCTTCCCTCTCACTTAAAGCAGGTGAATTGAAAACTTTTTAACGAAAAGACGAGATTCTTGAATTACCGAGACGGCAAAATACGAGCAAAATGTTCTCCGTAGTCCCGACTACGCGAAACGGCTCAACAACTCACCGTAGCCGCAGGACCACGCGGGAAAAATGAACAGTCACGTGGTTTTGATCATGCGCAGTAGCATATTTATCCGTAGCCGTAGTCCGTAGTCGCCGTATCTTAAACTCCCTATTGCCCAGTACACACGACATGCGACTTTCTGCATTTAAAGTGAAGATTTTCGCAGCCAGTGGTGCACCGGCATGAATTAAACCAACTCCACACAAGCCTACGGGATTGAATTAAGGGTCTTAAAGACAGGAACCAGTGAGTCTTCAGCTAGCGTCCAACCTGTCTCCTCTGGGCTCGGAAGCACTGGTTTCGGAATGTCCGCTTACGTCAAACCGTAGTATAAAAAAAGTATCCCACGTCAGTGTAACAGGTTCTGTAAATACCGGGACCCTATTGCCTTCCACAAGATCAGCTGCTGCATATAATGCTTCAGGAATTACAAGATTAGTTTTGTCAACAGGCCTCAAGCTTGCCAAACGCGCTGTTTTATGTGGCCCTCCTTGCCAAGCAACTACCTGTGTTTCGTGGAAACTGTTCTTTCCACCTAGTGACGAATCTTTGATGTCAATGTTATCAGTTGTGAACCGCAACAAGTTTTCTGGGTTAATAATAATAATGATTTGGAGGTAGTACATCCACAAAGTGGTTCTTTGTCTACCTGATTCCTGGTCGAATTGGAATTTGGAAGTGTTGGTTTAGATTGGCTAGGACAACGGTGCCGTTTTTCTCATTCATAGACACGACTGTGTTTTGTGCTCCCTAATCTACGTTTTAACGCGACATGAATCAACGACAAGAAATCGTCTCCTTGTGAAGCACAGTGGCTGAGGCATTGTGAGCATTTCGTCATCATTAGCAGTTTCATTACTTTGACAGAAACTGTCTGCAATGATCTCATGGCAATATTTGCGCAAAGCAAGGAGTGGGTCTCTGTCTAAAATGTCGCAGATCAATGGTTGGACGAAGTAGAACAAGTCTCCAACTTTTTTGATGAACTTCTCATCAAATGATAAACGACTGCAGTATTTGTGTATTGGTTGGGCTAGCTTATTATACCTCACCTATACGTCAGACAGCTGGAGTATTTGGTTGCGCTCAGCAACATAGTGAAGATCAGAACAGATAAAAATCATATCGATGTCTCTCTTTTGAGAATACTTTTGCCTTTGCCAGTGAGATACTTTAATATAAGCGCTCAGGCACCTTTCACCCTTTGCAGCAATGAGATCACTGACACCAGCAACGCGGAATCTCATTGTATTATCCAGATGCGATTATTCAATTGCAAGAATTGAATTGCTAACATTGAATGACGTAACTGATATGAGCGCCTCTCGGAGTTTTGATTCATCTTGGCAGAATACAAAAAGATTCCACTCTACAGGTGCGACATTTCTCCAGCTACTTCGTGTTTCTTGCCCTTGATATTAGGTAGAGGCACCTCGTTGTCAAAACAAGCACTTCTTCCTGCGTTTGTTTAAGTTTAAGTTTACTAAGTTTAATAATACTTCGTCATGTTAATTAATACAAATAAATTAATTACAGAAAAATACTAAAAACTGCATGACTGGAGATAACTGGGGAAACTAAATTCCCATACAAACTATATCCTCCAATATTAAATATTATACTAGAAACTAAGAAGTACAATTGAAATACGGCCCAAAGCTTACCTAATTAAATTACATGCTTGTCACTCACAAGTTACACCTGATTGACACAATGACTTAAAACTGCTTAGTTAAGGTGCATGCATAATGTTCGATGGAATCCCAGTCTGTTTTGTAGCGATTAAAAAATGAAAATTTGAAGTAATTTGTATTTTCTTAGGTCTTATCAAAAATCATATGAGGATGTATGTCACAGTGCCCAAAAATAATCAAGTACATCTGCACTAAGCCAATAAACTGCCTTCGTAACTCGAGCAAAGGCCATTTCAGGACCCTGATATTCTTTCTCTGATCCGGCCTCAAGTGTTTGGAGTGGCTCGCCACTGTATCGACTCTATACTGCTTAAAATGTAGATCGTGGCGGCATCTAAAACAAAAAATGGAGCTGTAGCAATTCTCTCAGTACAGACTCTAATGATGAGATATGGCTTTCCTCATACAGCGGCGAGAGGTGTGCAAAAGCTGATAGAAGCTGCAAAGGCGCGGAAAAGTGTTGAGGCAATTAAACGCGTAACAGATGTAACAGCTCCTAATGGAATCATTCCAGATTCATGCTGTCTACAGTGGCACAGGAATTGTTATTCTGACTTAATACACCAAAAGCATTAGAAGGAAAACCTTTTTTAAAAACAACCCGCCGCCAAACAGCAGCTTATCTCAGCTGCTCCAGCTTGTCCACGAGTGGCTTAGTATTCTCGATGATCGTGGCTCTGTGGATGCAATTTTTCTAGACTTCGCAAAAGCCTTCGATAAATTGTCCCATCCACACCTGCTACTAAAGCTTCAATATTATGGAATCAAGGGTCACTTATTGGAATGCATCTCAGATTTTTTTGTCTTCACGAAGACAGAGGGTATTTATCGACGGCCGTTCTTTCGACTGGTCTGAGGTGACATCTGGCGTGCCTCAGGGAAGTATTTTGGGACCTTTGCTCTTTCTCGTTATACTTAAGTGACTTTCCTTTAGCAGTTAAATGTAATTGTGGACTATTTGTTGTCGACGGTATTCTTCATCGTAAAGTTACTTCAAAGCCAGATTGTAAAGATCTTTAAACTGCCTATCATTGGTGTGAATCCTGGCTTGTAACTCTGAAGTCTGAAACGTCTAAGGCCCTTCACCTGTCAAGATCCAAGGACCCATAACATCATGAGTTCTGGCTGTCTGACAAACCCTTATCGGCGGTAGAATACCACAAGTACCTTGTTTTCTGGCGGGAGTCTTCCCTGTCTTGGGATTGCCGTATAAATTATATCTGTGAAAAAGCTAATAAGATTCTGGGTTTGATGCGGCGAACCTTTAGTCCAAATAATTCTGAAGGAGGCTAGAAAAAAAATAAGACCTTAGTGCCTCCAATTTTAGAATATGGTTTTTAGGTTTGAAATCCGTATTTTGTAAATCACATCAATGGTCCGGCTATTTCAACTAAGATGAATTTTGAGCTGTTCTGTTACTGCTACTGCTACTGGTACCATGTCACCCAGTACAACCTGCCGCATGGTCCGGTAGCCGGCGACTAAACTGGCTCCCCCACCAGCTTTTAGCTAGTGAGGAGTGTCGCACGACACCCTGCAGGATGAAAACCAAGACCTGTCAAAGGGCGGATGAGCTCAAAGTAAGCGAACGGTCATCGTGCAAATCTTGGCGAGGAGTTGCGACCAGCCAAGAAGCATCTTTCGCATTGTATAGCCCATGAGATTATTGATATGGAAAGACGCTCAAATCCTATACTTCCAGGGGCGGGAGTCCCCAGGAGACGAGCTGAGGACGGTGCCGGTTTATCGTACAACAATGATAGACAGAATGACAATGGTTTCGCAAACCACTCTTGGACGGAGCCATTTGATGTTGGTACTCAGTCTAGTGCTCTACTGCGCAGCAGGAAACCGCTCATTATTGCAAGTTCTAATGCTAACACAATGAAAGACAAAACTAAGGCTCAGGAACTGGCACATTGCATGCATGACAATGGTTTAGACATAGTCGGAGTTCAAATACATAAGCAAGTCATTCGGACCCTGTCATTATCAGTCGGATCGACAATAAATTTTTCGTTTTATCTTCAGCTTGGAGGCATCACAAGGAGGAGTGGGTCTGATGCTTAGTGCTCGTGCAAGGAAAGCCCTCAGAAACGTCAAGTCACTTACTGATTGTATCCTGAATGGCAGAATTTGACGGCAATCTAGCTTCAACAATCATCGTTGTCTATTCTCCTACAAACGTTGCACAATCTGAGGAAGTAAATAAGTTCTATGAGGATCTGCGGAACGTGTTGAGGGACGTGCCAGCTCCCAACTTTCTGATGGTATTAGGAGACTTCAATACCGGGCTCGGCTGAGAAGATGCACCTTTTACGTAACACGATACAACAAACCGTAACAGAGCTCTTCTCGCTGAGTTACTCTCAGTAACCGAACTTTTGGCAGCCAAAAGAGACGCGGGAAAATGTGGACATATCAGGACCATGGAACTGGGATGCGACGACAACTTGACTACATCCTCATCCGTAAGAAATGGAGGAAAAGCATCTTAAACGCTAAATCTTATTCCACATTCTCTTCAGTTGGTTCAGACCACAGAGTAATCTCTATGGAGGTGCCTTTGAGTCTTAGAGCTTTCGTTGAAGATCAGATATGACTGGAAAGTCTTCTCTACCGTGCCTGACTTGTAAAAACAGGGCACTGTGGTAGTACGCAATCGATTCAAGGTACAACGAGGTATGGAGAACTCGACAGCGAAGTATGAGAAGTTTATTAAAGTAAATCAGTTGGCGACGAAGAAATGTTTTCCAGTAACAAAGAACGCGAGAAGAACTTTACTGAGTAAACATCCTAGTGTTGTGGAAGCGAGGGAAGTTGTTAAAAATGTTCGCAAAATTTACGACAATGCCCATTCAATGGAGAACAAGAACCTGTAGGAAGAGGCTAGACAAAAACTTTTTGCTTCTTACGACTCATTGAGAGAAGATGAAAATGAAGTACTGTCAAATGTTCAGAGAATCAAGGCTCGATATAGTGAAGGTAGATATACTGAAACCTTGAAAGGTATCAATGAGGTTACCGACCGCAAGAAAACAAAGGAAGGTTAGATCTCTGGAGCTAGTCCACAAGAGAGAGTGAACACGTGGTTTACTCACTTTCAAAATCTACTCGACAACCCCCCATCAACAGATGTGGACGAAAGCGAGGTCATTCCCGCCTTCTTTTCTAACCTCGATATTAACGATGTTCCATTCACACTGGCAGAATATGTTAAAGTTAAAAGGTCTTTAAAACAAGGAAAAAGTAGTGGTCCTGATGGTATTCCACTACAGCTGCTAAAGAACTGCGATCTAGACATCATCTAGACAGCACTCCGGATAGTGAGACTGAAACCGACCTTGACCTTTGACATCGCTCTTTTGTCTAATGTGGTTGATCACGCTCGGAAACTACTCACATTAACAGAGTCTGAGTGCAAGAAAGTAGGCCTGCAGCTGAACTCAAAGAAGACGGAAGTTATCTAGTACAACTCGAGTGTTGATACTCCACTCAAAACTATGGAAGGAAAAGAACTGTGAGAAGTTCGGGATTTTAAGTATTTCGGCCTCTCATTGCCTCTACAAAGAGTGACATAAAAGAAAGAAAAGGTGGAAGGTGCTGAGCGACATGAAGAAGATCTGGAGATCTAATATGTCCAGGAGTGTAAAACTGTCATTCTTCAAAGCCACTGTGGAATCTGTTCTTCTTCATGGTGGTGAAACCTGGACCCTAGCCCCTACCCTTACCAAGTCATTAAATGGTTGCTACACTGGCCTTGAATGTTTCCTGGCAAAGCCACACCTCCAATTAAGATCTTTAAGGAGATTTGCCGAGAGTTGGAGACAAAGTAACAGCAACAAGGATGAGGCTCGCTGGGCACTGTCAAAGACATTCCTACCTCCCAACGCACAAACTCGTCCTTTAGGAGCCAACCCACGGCCATAGAAGTAGGGGACGGCCAAAATCAGTATTAGTTGATATCTTAAAGCGAGAAACTGGTGTAGACTCTAGTCAGAGACACTGATTCACCAAAATAATCTTTTCAAGGCTCGGCTGTGGCCGACTTAGTGGTAGAAGTAGTGAATTTTGAAAATGCCTTGTTCTTGTAGTTTATTAGGCCGAAGAAAAAGTACAGGAATGGGGAAGTTTCGCAATTGCCAAGAATTCGTGCTATCAAAGAATGGCTTATTCTGAAATGATCTTTATTTTATCAATAAAATTATCACGAAAAAAATATCACAGCTTTACCGGTCCCATAAGTGCGTGAATTTTACATCAAAGGGGGTGGCCAATTGTCACGTAACGCCTCGAAATTCGTAGAGTCGGCGTTTCAGAAAATACTTAGAACCCTTTGAAACCATTTCTGGATCTATTGTATTGAAATCTATGAAAGGAAAGAAAACTCCTTATTTGGACAATGACGTAGTGCGCATTAGATCATATATTTAGATGCTATTTTGCGCCTTATAAATAACAAATTATTATTTATATCATTATTATATTATTACGTCATAATTAAATACCCCAAAACTCCACCTTCACACAAGAATTGAGCTTGACAACAGTGATTTTCGAAATCAGGGTACTCAAGTTAGTAACAATAGCTATGTTGCCAAAAATCAGACAAAAACGCCAGTGGGTGTCACATTTTGGTTTGGTTTGTGTACCCGACTATGGAATAAGCGCTAATCACCAAATAAACTCAACCACTTGGCTGGCTCCCAACGTATGGGCCTAGACAGTTGAGTTGGAAAAGCATTGCGGTACTATTGCAGAGGCCATGGGCCATGGTTTAAGGCTCAAAATTACTTAGGCCTTAATTTGCGATTTCTTGAATTGCGTTTACAACTGTGGCGGTCATATCTTCCCTTAGATTTACGGCGTAAAGTTTATACTTAATGCGACTGCTTTTATTTAAAAACTGAGTACGACAAAGTTAATGCAAATTGAGATAGGCGTTAGGAGCCCGTTTCAAGTGTCATATTACTGCCTACAGGTGGCCCAAGCTGAAAATATGACCCCCGGCATTGGTGCGTAACCTTCAAAATATAAGGATCTGTATGGGGAGAAAACGATCGTTTCTGGATCTACGAATATGAAAGGATTGACGGCACACTTTGATTTTTAACGTTGCGCTAAAGCCTTGCCGAACTTTCTCTATAATTACAATTTAAAAGTTCACTAAACCGTTTATAATTATTATTGTCATCATTATAATTATATATCTTTTATTATTTTCAGCAACAACTATATTATTAAAAGGAATTAAGTTCGACCATGCTAGAGTCTAACTACACTTAGGAGCCGCACTTACAGTGGAGCCAGCTAATTACGGCAGTAGCGCTACAAATACGATAGCTATGTTTCTACGACAGAAAAAAAGACCTTCGCGACCCGCGACAATTACAAACTCTCCCGAAAAAACGATGCTAAAGATTCAATGTTAGCGTCCTACTGATCATCCATCCTTTTACATGGAAGTTGAAATTAGAATGAACTGTAAACTAGTTATCTTGACTACCAATAATGCGATTCAGCTGCTTCAATAATGATTCTGCTTTCAACTAATGAAGGGAAGGGGTCATAATTAGTGTGGCTGAAGATTATTCACGTTTTAAGCAGCCCTAAGCGAGTAAGAAGAAGTTATTAGGGAGCTTAAGCAACCGCGACGGCGCGACAGCGAAAACGTTAATTAAAAATTGAATTTGCACTTCACCACTGCTATTCTTTCCCGCTCATTTTGTCAAATGTTGGCGAATTTTCCCGGGAGTTGGATCCAAAGAACTATCCAAGTTCATAAAGACAACAAGAAAATCGTCTTCCAGCGTTCACATCCTACATAAAACGCGAAATTTGGCAAAGAAATTTAATGTACAAAAAAACGTGTTGTCTTCTGTTGATAATGTTTGCTGTTTGCCGTTCTCGTTGTCGTCACCTTCGTCGTTTCTTAAGCTCCTTAGGGACGGACCATTAGAAACGTTATGGGGGGGAAATTTTCGAGCCGCAGGAATTTTTTTTCGTTAGCAAATTCTTTGTAGGAATTTTTTTTAGGCCATAGCATGAACATTTTTTAGGGTTCATTGGCATGCCAGAATTTTTTTCATTTAATTTTCCCTTTTTTTTGTAGTTCGCCCGCGCGCCCCCCATAAGTTTTCTAATGGTCCGTCCCTTAATAGAAATAAGGAAGTTACCTGGATGGCGCCCACTTGAAACGTTTCTTTGTTGAGTTTCCTGATAAGATACTCTTTGACTTTGCCTTGATGAACCTGCTTTTTTAAAATTAAAACAAACAAACAAAACAAAACAGAACGCGAGCTTAAGTGAAATACTCAGTCTAGTTCTGGTTTACGCATAATTTTATAATCAAGACGAGACAAGAACCTTTTTATTTAACGTGGTTGCCTGAATACATAAACAGCGGGTGCCCGGGAGTTCGGGTATTTGTTGGTGTTGAGTGGTATATGCAGAGTCAAATTCGGACACTTTTTTCCGCCTTCCCTCACTCGCGTTGCTCGTTCAGGAGGGCAGAAAAAGGTGCCGGAATTTTTGACTGAATATACTACTTGGAGGGCCGAATTGTTTGAACTGCATACACTCTTGAGAGGAGTCCCGAACCCAGTCTGCCGCCGAACTCTCCTTTTCTATAGAGGGGCGGTAGGCTGGGGCCGGGGCCGGGGCCGGGGACCTAACCCACGGAAAGCGGACCAATTAGAGAATGTCAAATATTGTGTGTGATGGCGTCGGAAACTATGTCTGACGATGTCTTGGACGAAGTGCTCGAAAAACTGGCCGCGGCCCCGGCCGTTCAAACCGTGGTTCACAACATTCTGATCGCTCCAATCTCGGAGGCCACAAAGAGCAGGCTTTTGGAGCCGCTATTCCCAAAAAATTCGAGCCAAAGCGGCCTTCAAGACGGACGAAAATGATAAAAAACAGAGCCCCCGAAGGGCTGGAGAGGTTCGACCGTTTTCACACGCCGATTCTGGCGGTTTTATTTTTTCCCGCGGCACTCCACTTTCGTCTCTCATCTGCCGCACGTTTCTGTATGCTGCTGCAGATTACAGGATTTCGTGAAACGAGCTTGAAATTCCGCTCAAGAATAACTGTTTGTTTCTTTGTCGAGGTTTGTGATCAAGAACGCTTGTTTTCGATAGATGCGATGTTTATTTGCGGCTTTCCAGTATTATCGAAACGCGATGGAAGATATTTCAGAGAAAACCGTCCTTCTTCATCGACCTCATAGGCCGCGATACGTTGTTTGAAATCTGTTCTATCAGCGGAAAATGCCTTCTTATTATCTTCCGTTCGGGATGTCGTGCTCGACAAAGAACCTTTCCGCCAGCTGGCGACCTTTTTATGTTTCTTTTCTCATGAGCCCCTCAATGGACAGCGATGCACCTGAAAATACAAAGTTGGTCATCATAATTGTCCAGGGCGAACGTCCCCTTTTTGTGCCTCAGCCAATCAGGCAACAACCCTGCCCCCACTTGCAACGGCTGTTGTGGGTCTTCAATCCACTTGACTTCGACCATTAGGTACCCCTCAAACGCATATTTGGTGTATGGGGATTCGATATTTTCTGAGTCAAGACGCTCTTCTTTTGCACGCGCCACCCTTTCTTCGGTATCAGACAGTTTGTCAAAGCAAGGACTGGTAATAGGCTATCTTCGTCGGTTTCAGTGTTTCGAAGTTGAACCGCGAAAATGTATCTGAGTTTGTGCATTTTTTCAGTTCCCCTAATTTTTCCCATTATCTCCGGCGCGATGGATTTTTCGAGGCCTAGGTTAAACCCTTACGCTAGTGATGATTTGTCCTCTTTGTTTTCTTTTTGTATTATTATTCCTTACACACAAACAGTTACAAGTCATTACAATCTATCTAAATTATCGGTTACTAAATTTTACCCTACATTAAAACAGAGAACTATTTTTACAGAAGGGAAATGTGAAATAAATATAAGTAGAAAGACAAAGTCCACAAAATACTACAAATTACGCTCCAGTTCAAACGACCATCGGCACCTACATTAAATTTATAGACCGTAGAGAGCTTATTCAAACAAAATGGAAAAATATAATGTTACGACCCCCCAGAGAATTACCTCACATGGAGAGGGTCGTTCGAGATTATGATTGCGGGCGTGAAGTTAAGCCTAGCCTCCCACGCAGGCGTTTTTAGGGGAGCTCGTATTCCGTCCCTAACCACAAATACGAGCTCCCCTAAAAACGCCCGCGTGGGAGGCTAAGTTAAGCCCTAGTGAACAGCTTTCCTTGATTGTCGAGTACACCACTAACGAATCAAAACGACTTGTGCAAAGGCTCCGCAATGCATATATTGACAACCCTGGAAAGGGTTGAAGGAAATGCAAATTAGGAGAGACCTTTGGCTCAAACTCTGTGGTCACCCACGTTCATCTCCAGAAAAAAAACTCGTTCCCCAAGATAGGAATGCAAAACAAAAAACAGCTTCAAGAGTTTGGGGATTTGCTCCTAGAATTACAATGCGCCAAAATGATGGAAGAATAAAGGGTCTACAAATTCTCGATGAACCTGCCTATCTCGGTGAGACCTATCGTCGCCAAGCTCCCTGCTGACCTGCAAGGAAAATGGCAGACACGCATTTAAGTACAAAACACAGCAAGTGGTAAACTATCCCCTCTTCGCCGTTTTTTCTCGGTTTATTCAAGAAATCGTTCAAGAAAGAAACGAACCCTAACTGACGTTAGGAAGTTGTGATGGATCGGAGAGTTTCCATGGCATATCGAGCCCCAAAACTGCCGTTACCACTTCCGAGAGCCCTGAAAAGGCAAAGTCCGGCGAGAACAGTCCTTGCGAGTCTGTCGCGAACTCAGAAGTAGACATGAAACATGCAAAAAGGCTATGCTAGCGATTCGATTCATTGGCATATTGAGGAAGTATCTGAGCAAGGATCACCTTAAGATGATGGTCAATGCTTTTGTTACGTCGCGCTTAGATTATTGTAACAGTTTATACTTTGGCTTACCCAAGCGAGAAATAGACAAGCTGCAACGTGTTCAGAACTGTGCCGCACGCTTGGTGTCAGGGATAAGATCTGACCATCATGAAAGACTTGAACTGGCTTCCTATTGGGGCACGCATCGATTTTAAAATGTTGCTTTAAACATTTAAAGTTTAAAACGATTTAGTTCCTTCCTATTTGACTTCACTCCTTCTCAAATACCAGCCGGCTTGTTTTAATACTCCGCTCATCTAATAGATTGCTTTTACAAGTTCCTTCTGTTAATAACGTGGCTTATGGACACCGCTCATTTCATATAATGCCCCGATAATATGGAACAGTCTACCTAATTCTACCTGAATCTGTTTCTATTTTTGATCAACGTTTCAAAATTTTTGTTTTTAGGAATAATTACTATATATAGTTTCATTTAGACTTAATTTACTATTGTAAGCGCATTGAGAATTCTTTTAATGCGCCATAAAAACCTACTAATATTATTATTATTATTATTATCATTATTAATAATATTGTTATTAAAGACAAGAGAAAGCAATATCCGAAAAAGTAGGAAAAACGAAAAGGTGGCTCACAAGGGAGATGGTGTACGAGCGCACTTTGAGGAGAACGAAAGCGATTCTCGCGGTTGGTTTTGAATTGGTCGAGTGCTATAGAACACGAAATCCCCGGGCATTTGCCTGTAAGATGTCCCGACAAAGAGAACTAAAACGTACCCGCATGCAATAGTGTTCGATTTAGAGGCCGTGCTGGACACCTCAAAGGGAAGATAGGCGACAAAAGATCTGCTGTTTGAAAGCAAGCACGTGCCAGTGTCGGTGTCGCTAGCGGGCACTTTTGATAGAGAGCCAGAGCACACTAGTAGTGAAAACCCCGAAGAAGTGATCCAGTGCGGAGTTTGGGAGGCGTTAGAAAGGCGGGCCGCAGCGAACCGTAAAAAAATGACAGATCGCAGTCTGAAAGATTTTGAATTCCTGTCGGGGCAGCAACAAAAACTGATCAAGCAGTGGTGTTTCCCGGTTTTGGGGTTTAAGGTGGCTCGATACAGTTTTTCAAGGCCAATACCTCCCAAGTTTGATTAGTATGTATCGAGGCGCTTTTGTTAGCGGTTTTTGAACATTTTGGTCTACTTTAACAAATTAGCGAATAATTTTTAAACCACTCTATAGATTTTTTTAAAAAAATAAGATTCTTGGAATTAACCTTCCTTTTATATGACCCTTTAGTTTCAAGATTATTGATATATTGTAAGGCAGTAAAATAAGGGCTACAATTCGCTAATATTTTGGCAGAAATTTTGTGTTTACAAATGTGAGCCTCTCATTATTCAGGGTATTGTCTGCAAGTTTCATATTTTCGCGCATAACAATAGCTAGCATTTTTGCATATGTCAAATGCATTGTTAGTTACTGTTGTTCACGTGAAAATGAAACTTGGAGACAATGCCTTGAATAATGAGAGGCTTTCACTTGTAATAACGAAACTTCCGATAAAAAGTAACGAGTTGTAGCCCTTATTTTACTGCCTTACAATGTATCAATAATCTTGAAACTAAAAGGTCATATAAAAGAAAGGTTAATCTCAAGAATCTTAAATTTTAAAAAAAATCTATCGAGCGGTTTAAAAATTATTCGCTAATTTTTTAAAGAAGACCAAAATGTTTACAAAACCGCTAACAAGAGCGCTTCGATACATACTAATAAAACCCTTCTTTCTAGCAATCGGCTGGAGCTATCTCCATGATCCTTCACACACGTTTTCAAAAAGATTGAAACTACTATCAGGTGAAATTGCACGTCAAAAGCGCTTCATTTTCTACAGATAACAGCCGAACATCAAGATTGTCCATTTTTTACAGTATTTCTAACCACAAAATCTTGATCCCAAAATATCTCGATAACGCTCTTACAGATTTCGCTTAAACTTCACAAACATCGAGGCGGCTATTGGAGGAAAAAGCTCCGGTGAATAATTTTGGAAGAACAGTTCTCAGTGCCGAGATACACTGCTGCTGCTCCGTCTTTTCGTTGCTATGACAACTCCAATGCCGTTGCAACCCTGATCATAACAAATTTTCATCTTTATCTAATACAACTGTGGTGGCAATTTTTCCAAAACTTTGTTTATGGCGACGTAATTTATGCTCAAACTTGGGAGGTATTGGCCCTGAAAAACTGTATCGAGCCACCTTAACTCGAGGCGTTACGACCTGAAATTGATAAAAAAAACATTTAGTGACAAAAATCGCGCAGGCCGACAATATGAAAGTGGCCACCAAGCTAATGATGTTTATGTCAACAGAAAGTTTCTTCACATCACGAACTATCTCGGGCCAAGCACCAGTTATGCCAAATGGGTGCAGACGTACGGCGCCGAGCTTGCAAAATCGTGGCTTCCGTACGAGTGGTTCGACACCGCCGAGAAGTTGGACTTCCCACGGTTGCAGCCTTACGAAGAGTACTGGTTTTCAAATCTGAAAAACGCGCCGATTCTCACTCCTTTACCAAGAATCAAATAGACATTGAATTTGCCGCTGTCGCTCTCTGTGGTGGAGGGTTCTTTTTGCTCTGCAGGGGATGCGGGCGTTTTTTGGTTCTTTTTTCACTCACGTGCGAGGCGGTTTCGTAATGCTAATTTTTTTCCAGCAGCAACGCGACCAGGATTTTTTGGTGGCTTTGTTTCTTTCACTTCATTCGTGACAGCAGGCTGACTACAGGGGCGATCTTTTCTTCAGTGGTGTTGTTTGCGTCCATGCTTATATATTAAATAAAAGTTCTTGGATAAGTTGTTGCAAGGTTCTTATTCATGTCTTCAACAGGGTCTTAAACAGGTTATTTGTCAGGTTTTTGGCAGGTTCCTTTTCAGGTTCTTTTTCAAATTCAATGTGTTCTGCTGTAATCAGAGCGGCGCTGGCAACCGCAAGCAGACGGCCGCAGCGCAGTGTCATATTTCCAGCCACAATTGACACTGTCGAGTTAATTACGAAATCTTCTTGCAGGTCCTTTTGCAACGCTTCCACGTCATCCACTTTGACAACCATACCGGCCGATCGCCTTGCTGGCAAGCATAAAAAAGCTCTGCATCAACGTTTCGGTGGTCTTAACTTGCTGCACACGTAGGCCTCATACCATTTAAAATTTTTTGAATCCATAAAATCCACTCTCTGGGTGGAATTTTCGGGTCAAATCCAAATCCCCATTTTTGAGATTCACAATCAGAGCGTTTTTGGGGAAAGGATTTGAAAAAAGTATTTTTGACAAGCGGTTTTCCGAACAAAAATGGTACACAACAGATGACATTCTAACTGAACCTATGTTGGTGGCGCCTAACCTTTGAGCCATAAGTTAGATATCATTCCATGTTTGTCATCTATTTACATTCGTAGACTGTTTTTAAACCTTACTTGTCATGTTTTTTGTACGTATGTAATGTCTGCTTACGCCGAGTAAGGAGACATTACATTTACTTAATTTAAATTATCGGTTATAATTTTGCTATCCTAAGGTGTAATCTGTTGAGAAACGTTTGCGTTTCAAACCGAAATATATATTTCGTATATTCATATACGTAGTTTCTGTTGCTTCTTGTCTTCGCCGCGAGGATCAGTTTGTTTGTTTCTTTTTTTCTTTTTTTCTCATCACGAGGAGCACAAGGACATGCGTTTGTCATGGTAAATGATCCTTTTTCGAATCTTCCGTTATTTTGGTAGAGAAGAATCCATATGATTTGTGATTTGAGATCACAAATTCGTTTTTGGATTTTCCCAAAAAGCGCACCCTAAGACGTAGGTCACATCAGAATTGTGTCCCACGCGTCATACTCGGCAACTGGCTAATGCAATATCAAACGCGCATAATGTAATCCTATTTTTGTTCCCTTCAATAGACAAACAATAAATTACATTCCACAGCGAACTCGCATCAAAAAGATGTAAGTAGCTTTGGAGAAATCTTTGAAAAGCTTTTTGTAACGCTCTTTGGAAACCTCTTCAAAAACACCGATAAAAGCACCTTCATGACCCTCTTCGAAAACCTTTTCGTAAGCCTTTTCGAACAGCCCCCCTGACGTGTACCTATTTGCAAACCACCACGAAAAACCTTTTTATAAAAATCTTTAGCACTGTCCTTGTAAAAATCGATAAAAATCTTCAGATCGCTCTTCGAAAGCCTCTTCATAAACATCGACGAAAACCTTTTTAAAACAGGCTTCGATCCGCCGCAACCAGGTTCGATTCGGTGGCACACGGGCGCCCTGGTTCAATGTTATTAAAGTGTAATAGGGCTCGTATCTTCTATACTAGTGTTTTGTGAAAAAAACGACCCGGTCCCGGCCTACCGTCTCTCTATAAAAAAGGAGAGTTCGGCGGCAGACTGGGTTCGGGCCTCCTCTCAAGAGTGTATGCAGTTCAAACAATTCGAACACTCTTTTCTGCCCTCTCGAACGAGCAAAGCGAGTTAGGGTGTCCCAATTTTGACTCTGTATATACTACTTGTTGGGAAACCATTTTTGGTTCACTTTTGTTTAACAATGTAATGTGGCGTGGGTATTGTTCAGTGTCTTTGGCGCAGTGTGAAAAGGTATTCATACTATACCTGATAACTGTTCATGTCGACATGAAAAACTATTCGGTACAGCATGCGCAAAGACATAGCCTGTGTTCATATGGTACAAAGGCCCCGTACGCTACTGGAAGAATGTTGAAGAGCCAATATTTATACCACAGTTTGAGAGGGATGATAAGCCTTACAAATAGGAACAAGGCGCCAGGGTAGTCTAAATAGTATACTGCGCAGCGGATGCATAAGGGGCAGAAGAGAAGCTCATCACATCTTTCTCCAAAGTGGGCACCTCTCTCTTTTGCACCCCATACTCATCATGCGCTAACCTGCGCGCAGACGAAATTAAACTCTGGTTAACTCCGTCTGCGAAACAGCGCCGAAATCCTTGTTCTGGACTTCCAGCTGTGTACCCAGATTTGAGTACGCGCCACGATTGGCCAGTTAAAAAAGGCCTTTGTTTTGTTTGTCGTGATCGCCAATCAGGTTGAAGGGGAATTCGAAACGCACTTCCGGTAATTCGTTGAGTCCGTTGGGGATCCAGAACAAGGATCTCTGCGCTGCTTCGCAGACGGTACTAATCAGAGTTTAGTTATCGTCTGCACGCAGGCTAATTATGCGCCTGATACGCGGACTATTTGAAGGTCCACTAATTCGGCTCCTGGGATAAGTTGGATTTAAGTTTTTATCTATCTCATAAAAAATATTACCTTCAACCAAAGCTGTCATCTTTGAAATAAGTTCTCCACACTGTTTCTTCCAGTCATACCTCTTTGCATACAAAGAACGCAGTATTTCAGATTCTTCAAGCCTATCACTCCTTTCTTTGACCTGAAGGCGCTTAATAGCATTTGCCCAGACTTGAGCATCATCTGAATCAACGACAAAATACGATCCAAATTGGACTTTACTTAGAGCTTCTCCAAAGCCTGAGTTTTCACTTACAAGGATGGGTAAGCCAGCAGATAGGGCCTCGAGTGCTGTAAGACCAAACCCTTCTGCTCTTGAAGGCATTACAGCTAGATCCACTTCACAAAATAATCTTTCTAAATGTTTTCGGTCTGGTGAAAAGCTCCTTACAGTTAAATTGCTTGCGTGAATGCCACATTTAAGGAAACGGTTTTTAACGTCCTCTAACGCCCCCTCCGATGCACCAACAAAAACAAGTTTAATGTTTTCTAATGAGGCAACTGCTTTGGCTGCGACGTCAAACCCTTTAACTGAG